TTCTCTTTCTCTTTCTCTTTCTCTTTCTCTTCCTCTTCCTCTTTCTCTTTTTATCCATCCTCCTTTTCCTTCGTCTTCCTTGCTACTCGCCTCTTTATTAATTTTCTATCATGTTCCCTGTATTCTTATGTATTCTTATGCATCCTCCAATATATTATTATGAAATTTTCTAGAAGAATAGATGACCTCATTACCCCATCTTCCTCATAATCAGTACATTTTGACTCGATTTTCTACTTTGCCGTTTCCCAAACACTTTTTTATCCGCTTCATTTCTCTTTCGTAGTTGATCTATTCTTTGATTTTTTTTATCCGCAGAACGTTAGTGGCTGTATCAATATTGCTCCTTAATTTATCTTCTTTACATGGGACGTATTCTAATTGCTAATCTGTTCCTACCTTCTACGGTAGGCTTCTCCTTCGATACCGTACCTAGAGATGCGCTCGGTTCGCGTTTCCTTCAACGCGATGAATCCAAGGATTGGATCGAAGACGCTCCGCTCGACGAAAATGCCATTCTCTCCGAAGAAGAAGAGGACGTGGAAGACTCTGATGATGAGCGTTATCATCGTCTTTATCGGAGTGATAATACTGCCGACTCTGGTGATGAAGAGGATGAAGGTGGTACCGTGCTCTCTGATCTCCCTGAAGAAGTTGACTCTTCTTCCAGACCTTCCTCCCTCCATGCCTCTAATGCTTCCATGAGTAAACTCCGCAGCCACGCTGGTACCCCAACTGGCACCGGTAGTCCTAAATTAGATGACTCCCTTAGTAACCTCCAACGGTTATTGAAATCAAGGGGTCGCCGGCATCAAGCCTTGAACGATGAAGAAGGTCTCTCTTTACCTCCCTCTCGTCATCAATCTCCTCCCCCATCTAATGTCTTAGCCTCTTACAAACGCCGTAGCTCCAGTGACCGCGATATGCAATCGTTTGCGCGTCGTGCCTCCCGTTCGCTTTCCTTCTCTACTGGCCCTGGGGCAAATCTCAATTCCCGCCGTATGACCTTTGACGCCGAGGCTTGGCAGAAAATTAGTTATCGAATCCTCCCCAATTCCTACGGAAATGCTAGCTTTTATAATGCTGTGAATGCCGCAGACCGCACAGGAAAATTTAGCGATTATGTCTATATCGGTACTTCTGGTGTCCCCACTGATTCTCTTCCTGATGTAGTAAAGAAAAAAATTGCTGATGATTATCGCAATGGTCATAAGTCCATTGTCGTTTATCCTTCCGATACAGATTTTGTCGGTCACTACAATCACTACTGTAAAAATATTCTCTGGCCCACTTTCCACTATCAAATCCCCGATAATCCCAAATCCAAGGCCTATGAAGATCATTCTTGGTCCAACTATGTCAAGGTCAACCAAAACATTGCCGATGCAATTATCGCTAACTATCGCGAAGGTGACATGGTTTGGGTAAATGACTATCACCTCCTGCTTGTTCCTCAGATTGTTCGCGAACGTATTCCATCAGCTAAAATCGGGTTCTTCTTGCATATCCCCTTTCCCTCTTCTGAAGTTAGCCGTTGTCTTGCTACTCGTCAAGAAATCCTTCGCGGTATGCTCGGTGCAAACATCCTCGGTTTCCAAATCCCTGAGTTTGCCTATCATTTCCTCCAAACCTGTTCGCGTCTCATCAATATCGACATTCGCAAGGATGGCACTGTTTCTTTGGATGGTCGAAAAGTAGAAATTGTCGCCCTCCCTATTTCCATCGACCCCACTGCTCTAGATAAGCAACTTTCTAGCACCCAAGTTCAACACTGGATTCGTGTTTTGCGAGATCGTTTTAAGGGAAAGCATATCATCCTGTCACATGACAAACTTGATCCCATTTGCGGTCTTCGCTCCAAGCTTCTTTCTTTTGAGATTTTCTTGCACAGATACCCAGAGTATCGGGAAAACACTATCCTTCTTCAAATCGCTCCTGAATCCCTTCAAGATAATTCTCATCTGCCCCTTATATCCGACATTGTAACCCGAATTAATTCGTCCTACTCCAACATTGCTTCTCGCCATGTCCCTGTTATTTTGTTGAGACAAAAGATTAACATATACCAATTTTTGGCTTTGATGACTATTTCCGATGCCCTTATTGACAATTCTCTGCGTGAAGGAATAAGTTTGACGAGTCATCAGTTCATCTATGCTCAACGCGAACGCCATAGGCCCTTGATCTTGAGTGAGTTCGTTGGTAGTTCAGCAATTTTGGGACATAATGCCATTATTGTTAATCCTTGGGATTACTCCAATACTGCCAACGCCTTCTACAGTGCCTTATCTATGTCTCCTGGTGAATGTGAAGAGAGAAGCAAAATAATGTGCAATCTTATTCTTCGTCATGATGCTCTTTCTTGGGCCATTACATTTGCTACTCTCATTAAAGAATCTTGGAAGGAACAGCAGGCAAGTGATAAGAACAAGCTTACCTTCAGTGCAGATCTTATCCTCGATCCTTATCGTAATGCTAAGAAGCGTCTTATTTTCCTTTACTTTGAGGGCACTATTACGTCTTGGGGTTCTCAAAACCAGAGTGTGACAAGTGGCTTACAGAGAACGATAAACCTTTTGACCAATTTGACTGCCGATCCTAAGAATTTAGTGTATATTGTCAGTGCTCTTGGTCGACAAGAGTTAGATCAACTTTTCCAGCGTGTTCCAAGATTGGGTCTTGTTGCTGAAAATGGCTGCTTCACACGTTCACCTCCGACTTCTGATACCTTGCCTCCATCTGAGCAGCAAATAGCTTCTTTATGGAAGAATGAAATGAAGAATGTTGATCTCAGTTGGATGAAGACTGTTACTGAGATTTTTGAATACTATGCTGAGCGTACACCAGGAAGCTATGTAGAAGAAAAAGATGCCAGTGTCGTTTTACATTTGAGAGAAGCAGAAGATTCGGAGTTTGCTTCTTGGGCGGCTAAGGAATGCTGTGAGTCAGTTAATAACTTTGATATTCCTTGCCATGCTACGATTCAGAACGACACGGTCGTTTGTCGTTCCAGCAAAGTATCCAAACGTGTGGCTGCAGAAGACATTTATAAGTCTTATGGTGCAGACTTTGATTTTATTTTTTCTGCAAGCAACGAAACAGATGATGACTCTGTTTTCCGCTGGATTACCGGATTCAAACACACGGGACCCAAGCCTCCATTTACGCATACAGTATACGTAGGTGATCATGATTATAGTAATCATTCTGATTCGGAAAGTTCAGGTGTTTTTGGATTTTTGCAGGCATTTGAAAAAGTCTTTACTTGATTGTTTTCGTTACTTTTTTTTATTTTTTTACTTTATGTTGCATACGTTTCCGTTTACCTTGATATGAAAGGACAGAATATTTATTGATATTTAAGATGAAAGATAGGTTTCCGAGAAATATGAGAAATTACAAAATGAAGTGGTTGTTGTGTTAGAAGGGAAAAATAAAATATAAATGAATAACAATTTAAGACGTGAAGATAATGAAGATAGAAGAAGATTTTTTATTAAAAAAGGGTGTCCAAGTACTATTTATTGCTTGAGTTTGCATGAAGACCATAGACGTATACAGCCATGAAAAACAAAGTGAAAGGTACAATGGTAATCGTAGACAAACAAGGGCACAAAGGAATACGAAAGAGAAGTTAACGTCCAGAGTTGAAACCAAAATTAAACGATAAAAAAGGGTTCAAGATAACTCAATTCTGTCACATATAATTCCTTGATGAGTAGTTTTGTTCACTTGGACTAATTCAAGGAATGAGGGGTTTTCCCATTTCACAGAGCTGATGGAAGAAAAGGTTTCGACAGGGTCAGATGTACCATAATAATGATTTACAGACTTTGCGTAAACAAGCGGCATTAAGGGTTCTACAATCTTATTATCAGGAGTATCGTCTGCAAGCTCATAAGCAGCAGTTTGGAGTTCATTTAATGCAGGAGTTCGTTCAACCTGAACATAAACACGTTCATAGTATGTATCGCCGACAGCGAGTTTTCCGAATTTAATGTCCATGGAAGAAACCTTTTTTGAAGCAATGTGCCTTAAAACACTAACAAAAGACTGACCTGGTTTTAAGTTGATACCGCGAGCAAGCGTCACATGGGGAGCAGTAGGAAGTTGCATGTCTTCAAACTCATCCTCGTGAGACAAGGCCCATTTGGTAAATTTACGATATCTCTTTTCAATGTCTGAAGAATAAGCAGGGACTATCCAAATGGCGTAAACATAATCATCTGAAGAACCAACGACTCCTGGAGAATTAGTACGATCTTCTAAGTGAGGAAAACTCTTTGGAGATTGCATTTTCAGAAAAGTAGAATCAGTCAGTAAAAAAAGGAACTCTCAAAAGGTGATGATGATGGATTTTTTATTTAATAAAAGAAAAAAGCTCGTAAAGGTGGAAAAAGCTTGAAAAACGTAGTGTTTACCTACAAAACAAACAAATGACAACCAACCGTCAGTACAATGTAAACAAATGATAACGAAGAATTCCTATACGAAATTAGAGCATTCTACGTTAATTCATGAAGGTGTGATTTCCTTATGCAGGTTGCCTTTTAAATAATGTCAAAGGTGGGGAAAGCTTTGTCCGATGACATCATCAATGAAAGATTTGCGTGAACATCAATGAGTATGATCAACGGAATGTAAACAAACAAAAAAAAGCAGAAAAGGAAAAAAAAAAAAACAAGAGCCCTAGTTGAAGAGGATTTTTTTGTTTTCTATTTCTTTTTCCTTTTATGGTAAAAAAATTCATCTACCTTGAGCCTGAATTTTTTTTCGTATAACAATCCGGTATAACAAATTCAAGGAAAGGAAGGAAGTAAATTTTAGATACTAACTACAATAAAAAGAGTTGAAATACGTCTTTATTCATGAATGCTTTTTGTGTCTTTTACAGACAAAAACGTTGGTTCTTGAATGATATCGCTACCATAGTCTACTTTCTCTCAACGTCCAAAAGATTCATTCAATAAAATCTCTTTCTATAAAAATCATGTTCAAGTCTTTTGTTCTTTTGATCGGGACTTGCTGAAAGAAGATCGAGAACTGCGTTTTCTGTTTCGTCCCGACATTCCAGAAGATCCAGTTGAAGTTGTGCCCCTTTGAGAATAATCAATAATAAACTCGTCAAAATCAATTTTATCACGAAGAATAGAGAGAGCTACTAACTCCATTTTATAAACTCGTAAACCCGTAGAAAACATGTTGTAGCCCTCTTCATCATTAGCTGGTAAGCCTAAAATGATAACTTGTGGATTCTGAGCTTCTTGAATGTCTTCAACAACCTAGATATGTGTCAATAATATAAAAGTCTTGATAAAAGATTCATGTCACTTACTTTAGCACCGGATGTTTTCATGATAGAGTACAGTCCTTGGATAGAATCTCCTACCATGGAATTCCGCATAGCTGTAGTAATATAAAACTTTAATTCCTGTAAACATTTCCTTCTGTGAACAGCTTTTAAAGAAAACTTCCATTTTTCTTCTGCCTGTTGGTCTTCGTATAAATAAGCATGGTAATTGAGTAGCGTACCTTCTTTCATGGAATCCAGTATATATCGAGAAGAAACTGGTGGCTTCCCAAGAGAAGTTGCTAGTAAAAATTTATGTGTTCTACGAAGAGGAGGAGGTCCAAGGATAATACAGTCTGTTGTATCCGTAACAGAGTCTTGTATTTTGATACCTTTTCTTCTTGCAAAAGCTTGCATAGGTTTCGTCAAATTGAAGCTAGAGGTAACAATACTTATACCTTCCGGTTGCGATTGAGAATCCTTATGTTCTTCATTGGAAGCGGAAGATGATGGAAACGTATAATTCGTCAGAGGAATTTCTTCCTCCTCTTTCTCTTGTTCTTGGACCTCTAAATCTTTCGATTCATTTTCTTCTGTTTCCTGTAAAATTTGCTGACTTGTCTGTACTTCCTTTTGATGTTCTTCAATATCCTCCTTTCTCTCTGGAGTTGGGTCCGATAGATTGGCAGATACGGGTTGTGGGAACTTTTCCTCAATGTTTTCCTTGCCTTCTATATTGAAATCTTCTTCTGATCCTGATACATTGGGATGTGTCTGTTGGTCGTGAAGAAATTTTCCTTGCTCTTCTTCAGGCGGTACTTTTCCTTCCTTAAATTGCTGGTTTTCTTTTTCTGAAGTTTCTCTATTTGTTAAATCATTTATTCCTGCAGGAGTTGAAGGAATATTATTTTCTTCTTCATTCGTTGTGTCCGATTCATGAGCAGCCCCTTGTTCAAATGAACGGTTAGGCTTCATTTCAGCGACTTTTTCTTCATCAGCTCCAGTACTCTCTTTTAAATCAGAGTTTTCCACAGAAGATAAAGTATCTTGATTTTCTTTGGAGTCTCTCTCTTCCTCGGGTTTCATAAGCGTCGATGGTTCCTTCACCATGGTATCCTTGGAATCCTTTTCATTTGGTTGAGATTCTGGAACGTCGTGAGCAAACAATTCTTTTTCTAAATCAAGCGTGGTTGTTTCTGGAGCAATGTGCGAGAGCTGGCCGTAAGGAGCTGAACTTTTCTTTCCCCATACCGGTTGAAGCTTGGTTTCAGATTTTGTGTCAAAAATATACGGCTTGTTTACCCTAGGCTCTGTGAGGGAGGATAATTGAGGTTGAGAAGGCTTTTGTGGAGTATTTGGAATCTATATCAGAAATTAGCATTTCACATATCTTGGTAGTATCGTCATCTTACAGTCGTAGTTCCAGTTTTAAAGCTATTATTAACACCCTCAAAAGATGAATTCGAGCTTCCGGGTAGAATAATAGTTTTTATGTCATTAATATACAGTGTCTAAAAGTTAGCACTCACTCAGTAGAAGGCATCGTTATGGAAATAGCAAGTCTAGTCATACTTCATATAACGGAATATGGTAAAAAAGCTTTTTTTCACTAGGCGAAGGAAGCAACCGGAGCTTTTGAAATGTGGCCCTAGACTGAATATTGCGAAAGAATACCTGGCCGTCTTGGATATATATTTCGGCGATAGAGTCTGCACTTTCAAATTGATTCACATTATAATCGAAAATGTTTATAAATCCCCCATATTGGTATAGGTTCTGTCGTCTATCACCAATTTGAATCTCCATCTCAACCAAATTGAATGAAGTCCCAAAAAATCCTTCGTTTGAACGGTAATTAATTAGTAATCTAACCAGAATTTTATAAAAACCAACTGAAGAAGCTTTTGACTTGGAAATTTGCTTTCTATAATGAATTACTTTGGTACAAGGATAGTGTTACAGAATAGGTGTGCATCAGCACGACCAAAAGTCCTTCGATCGTTTTCAAATTGCCAAGCTTTTCTTGCAAAGCCAGAACCATCCCGACGTCGTTTGGGACGTCCTGGAAATCATTTAAAAATTGGTATTGTCGGGATGCCCAATATAGGAAAGTCAACGCTTTTGTAAGTGAGTAGAGATATTACGAAGGAAGTTTCTCCATTTTCTTTATATTGAATCCAATTTGGTTTTGTACTTTTTCGAAATTATGCTTGATTCTATTTCACTAACTCGAATATCCTAGTCAAATGCTCACCAGGACGACTCTTGGCAAACCGGCGAACTGTGAGTAAAAGCAAAAAATTTATTCACTAAGAATGGTTTTATTACTAACTTTTATTTCAGATCCCTTCGCCACTATTGATCCGGTTTCTGCAAAAGTTCCTGTTCCTGATCCCAGGTACGAGTTGCTTTGCGATAAAATGAATCCAGCAAAACGAATTCCAGCACAATTGAGTATTTATGATACCGCAGGATTAGTACGGAATGCAAGTAAAGGTCAGGGATTGGGAAATGCTTTTCTGTCCAACATTCGAACCGTGGACGCCATATTCCAGCTTGTTAGAGCATTTCCTGAACCCGATGTAACTCACGTTGAAGAAACAGTGGATCCTATTCGAGATTTACAGATTATCCAAGAAGAACTTCTTTTGAAAGATGCTGAGTTCGTAGAGTCATTCCTTAAGAAAGAAAGTCGATCTTCTAAGGTACCTGCTAAAGCAAAGGAAGTCGCAAAAAAAGTTTTGCAGTGCGTTTTAGATAATGGTTGTCCTGTTTCTAAGTGCTCTTGGTCGGACGAAGAAGTTGGGTTTCTCAATTCATTCAATTTGCTTACCGCCAAGCCTGTCGTATACCTAGTGAATATGGATGAAGATGATTTTTTACAGAAAAAAAAAGGTCCTCTTCAAAAAGTTGAATCCTGGGTAGAAAAGTTTAGTCCAGGAGATTCCGTTCTTCCTCTCTCTATTATTTTCGAAGAACAGCTTTTTCTGCTTACACCTCAGGAACTTGAAGAGGAATGCTCCACATTACAAGTTTCTAGTCAGTTACCAAGCATCATCCAAGCTGGATACTCAGCTCTTTCCCTTATGCATTACTTTACAGCTGGAAACAATATTGTCCAAGCGTGGACGGTTCCCTTGGATACAAAGGCTCCTGACGCTGCTGGAGCTATCCATACTGATTTTAAGAAAAAGTTTGTAGCTGGCGAAATTACCGACTTTAAGGACTTTCTGCAATATGGTACATTGGAAGCCTGTAAAGCAGCTGGAAAGACAATTGTTAAAGGAAAAGATTATGTCGTTCAACCAGGCGACATTATTTATTGGAGAATTGCACGATAAAGCTCCCTTTGCTCCCAAAAAAACATTTAGATATATACTTACAGTAATTCGAAAGTCTTTTTTATAAGCTCGTTTTTGTCTTGTAACATCTTCTTTCTGTTTGTTTGGCAAATTTTTATTTTATCATATTTGTTTACCAATGCAGCATAAGGGGCACCTTATAAGGATTTACTGTAATACTTCAAGCTCATTAATTGCTAAATATAACACGTATTTCAAACGTAGGAAAAGCAATTGTCTTCAAAGTACCAAATTTGAATTTTTTTGAGGAATTATTCCTTCATTTTTTTTAGTTTTTTTGAAGAAATATTCCTATAAGAGAGTGAAACATGACTGCAGCTTCTCAGGTGAAAGTAGTCGCAGATAAACAAATAGTGCCAAGTCTGGACGATCGGGAATATCGACTTATACAACTAGAAAATGACTTAGAAGTGCTATTAATACGGGATCCTGAAACAGATAATGCGAGTGCAGCACTTGATGTTCATATTGGAAGCCAAAGTAATCCTGAGGAACTTTTGGGATTAGCTCATTTTTGCGAGCATCTACTATTTATGGGAACGAAAAAGTATCCAAATGAAAATGAGTATAGAAAGTACTTAGAAACCCATAATGGAATGTCAAATGCTTATACGGCATCCAACGACACCAATTATTATTTCGAAGTATCACATGACGCATTGTATGGAGCATTGGACCGCTTTGCCCAGTTTTTCATTGATCCCTTGTTTTTGGAAGAATGCAAGGATCGTGAAATTCTGGCTGTAGACTCTGAACACTCCAAAAATCTTCAATCTGATGATTGGCGCTTCTGGCGTTTATACGGTATCCTAAGTCACCCAGACCATGTGTTCAGCAAATTCAACACAGGGAATGTGAAAACACTCGGTGATGTTCCTAAAGACATGGGTCTCGATGTTCGTGAAGAGTTGTTGAAGTTTTATGATAAATATTATTCTGCAAATTTGATGAAACTTGTTATCATTGGTCGTGAACCATTAGATACTCTTGAAGAATGGGCTATTAAGTTATTTTCACCTATTAGGAACAAGTCTGTTTCTAGACCAAGGCATCCTGGGAACCCCTATAAAGAAGAGCAGCTTCGTAAAATATGCTATATGAAGCCTGTGAAAAATCTTCGCCGAATCGACATTCTTTTCCCTATCCCTGGACAGTATTCTCAGTATGAATGCCGCCCGGCTGACTATGTATGCCACTTATTGGGACATGAAGGTGAAGGTTCGTACTTGGCATACCTAAAAAAGCTGGGTTTAGGAACATCCTTAGTCGCTGGATCCATATCCGTCACGGAAGATGCAGATATCATCGTTATCTCCATTTCCCTTACTGAACAGGGTCTTGCTGACTATGAGCGAGTAATTCGTATTCTTTTTGAATACGTCCAACTGCTCCACCACACAACAGCTCACCATTTTCTTTTCGAGGAAACTCGAATTATGTCAGAAGCTCAATTCAAAACTCGTCAAAAGACATATGCTTCCCAATATGCACATTCGGTAGCAAGCAAAATGCAACATAACTATCCTAGAGATAAAATCTTGTATTCTGCTTCAGTCCTTACCAAGTTTGACATGGATGGTATACAGGCTGTAATTGATTGTTTCCGACCGGACAATTTCATAGTTATTTTATCTTCTCACTCTCTCGAAAAAGATTTTAATCAAAAAGAGGAGTTCTATGGTTTAGAGTACCTAGTGGAACCCTTAGATACAGCTTTCTTAGATTCACTTCGTACTTGCAAGCCGCCTAGCGAGCTTCATCTTCCCGCCCCAAATGAGTTTATCCCTTGGTCATTAGAAGTACAGAAACAGCCTATCAAAGATAAAGCAAAATCTCCTAGCTTAATTCGAAACGACGAATTTGTTCGTTTATGGCATAAGAAGGATGATACGTTCTGGGTTCCAAAGGCTAATGTCTTTATTCAATTCATTTCTCCTGTCGCTAGAAAGTCACCAAAGATCAGCGTTATAACTACTCTTTACGTTCGACTTGTTGAAGATGCCCTTAATGAATATTCGTATCCTGCTGCGTTAGCCGGACTTTCTTTCGTCTTATTACCGTCTAGTCGCGGTGTCTCGCTGTATCTTAGCGGATTTACTGACAAATTACATGTTTTATTGGAGAAGGTAATTACTGTTATGCGCGATTTGAAAATTCATTCTCAAAGATTCGATATTATAAAAAATCGACTTGAACAGGAACTTAAGGATTATGATGCTTTGGAGGCTTATCCTAGATCTAGTAGTGTTCTCACATGGCTGACAGAGCACCCTGTATGGATGAACTCCGAACTTCGAGAAGCCATTAAAAGTGTAAACATCGAAAACATATCCCAGTTTATTGGCGAATTCATCGATCAAATTTTCATAGAAGCTTTGGTCCATGGAAACTATGTCAAGGAGGATGCCAAAGCACTTATAGAGACTGCTCAAAACCTTCTAAATCCCAAGCCCGTATTTGCATCCCAGCTAACTCGTAAAAGAGCAGTTGTCCTTCCTGAAGGAAGCAATTATATTTATAAGACAGTAGTACCTAACGAGCAAGACAAAAATTCAGCTATTATGTATGCTTTGCAACTTGCGCCTATGGACGATCAAAGGTCTGGAGCATTGGCGCGCCTTGCTCGTCAACTTATGAAGGAACCTTCTTTCTCTATCCTCAGAACTAAAGAACAGCTTGGCTATATTGTATTTACGCTTCTTCGCCAGTCTACTCCTTATGTGTATATGACTGTTTTCGTGCAAAGTGAACGAAGTAGTTCTTATTTGGAGACACGAATCCGTGCCCTTTTGGATCATTTGAAAGAATCATTCTCAAAGATTTCCGACAAAGAATTCAATGATCACAAGGCAAGCTTGATTAATTTTATGTTGGAAAAGTATACGAACTTGAAGGAGGAAAGTTCTATGTACTGGCTTCGTACCTCTGATGGTTTTTATGACTATACTCGATTAGAAAAACAAGCTGAAATTGTGTCATCCATCACGAAGGAAGAATTTTACGACTTCTTCATCAATCGTATCCACTACGACGGTAAAGCGACAAACAAACTCTCAGTACATGTTCTGTCTCAGCGCTGTCAAGATCAAGAGTACGAAATACCTGGAGCTACAGTCATAAAAAATGGAAATATATTCAAAGAAGGTCTACCTTTCAGCAAAGCTGCTGCGCCTATTGAACCTTTTAGTGATATTGATGAAGCTCTGTTTATGAACTAAGGGACCTCCTTATGACCATGTACCAAATAATTCAGCTGAGTACTTGAAAATTTCTCTTATCTTATACTTTTCTTTTATTCCTCTAAAAAATCATTTAGTATTCAACTCCTCGCTAGGTTTCGTTCTACTTCCCTATTCTCTTCGTATACCAGGATTGACCGAGGTAGAATGTGAAGAAATCAAAGCAGAAAGGACTTCACAATTTCAGTGGGAATTTCCCCATAAAATTAGCCAGAATGTCGTCCAAACTAATGTCTATGAAGGTATGGTCACGGCAATAGGGAAAAGATGTTTAACTTTATGAATTGACAGTTTATGCAAAAAGCTCGAGGGATAGATCCTAGGCAAGCAGAAGAGGAATTGTCTAAGCCTGTTGTGACGGACGAGCATTGGTCATTGAAGGAAGCTTCTAATGTTCCTTCCAACAGGAGTGCCTGCAAGTTCGAGTATGAGTCCAGCTATGGAAGTTTGATATCGGCTGCTGAGGATAATGGTGAAACGCAAGGTACAGTTGAGCCTGTCGTTGCTGGAAGAGCTAGCTTTGGATTGTTTAATAAAGAGTTGGAAGACACCAAAAAAGAGTCCGCCGAAGAAGATGAAAACGTTGACGAGCCTGAGTCTGATGCTCCATACAAGATGGAGGGATTAGAGACAACAGAGCGTGAGCGACGAAACCAGGAAAGATTATCCAAAATGATTCGAGGCAAAGCAAATACTCCGAGCAAATCCCATAATGATAGCTCCAAGAAACGAAAGGCAACAGATATGGATCGCGATATTATATCTCTAGATACTGAAAAGAATGATGCACCTGCGAAACCTAAGAAAAAGAAAAACAAGAACAAGAAAAAGAAGAATTGAACTGCTTATAAAGATGTCCTACGCTACTCTCATATTTATTTGGTTTTAGTGTACGATCGCGCTTCACATGAGTTGGTTGTCTAGAAAAGCTATTACTTTTATAGAATATATACTCATGAGAAGCGCTTTTGGTTTTGGTTCGAGGAATGCATGACGGATGGTTGGTTTAGTTTTTGAAATGAAATAACATTAATAATTTATGACAGCAAACCAGAATTTATTACTGTAAAACATCATTCAAGGATAACATATAGTAAGCAGGGAGTATAAGTGATCAAGAAGCAATTTAAAAAGAAAGTAAAAGGATCAAAAGAATTGCGATATTCCACGGATTTGTACGTGGATTCAGAATTACATTTCTCTTTGTTCGGGTACAGGACTAATAAGCCTAGAAATACGTTAATAAAAGGAAAAACGGGTCATAAGCACATACTTATCATGTAGAACACCGCTCTTCATGTTTTCGATGGAAAAAGCTTCCATCTTATGTTGAGTTTCCAAGGAGTTGGTGCCCAAATGAGGAAGAAGGATGACATCTGGGTTTTCAATAAGGCCAGGATGCACTTGAGGCTCATGCTCAAATACATCAAGTCCGGCGGAATAAACGATACCTTCCTTCAAGGCATCGACGAGAGCTTCCTCATCCATGACGGGGCCACGGGCAGTATTGACAATGACAATGCCTCGCTTCATCTTCTTAAATTCGTCTTTGCCGATAATATGGTATGTGTGCTTGTTTAAGGGCAAGCTCAGATACAAGACATCTGATTCGGTCAAAAGCTGGTCAAATTGAACATACTTAGCACCGGCAGCGTCTTTTTCACTAAGAGGACGACGGTTGTAATAGATGATATTCATGTCAAAAGCACGAGCTCGTTTTGCGACTGTTCTACCAATGCCGCCCATACCGAGGATGCCAAGTGTCTTTCCTTCGGGGTCATGAGAAGGCTGATTGTTAAGGCTCCAATGTCCATCTCGTAAGCTAAAGAGACCTTTATTAAAGCGACGGAATGCTCCAATCATCAAAAAAATAGCCGTATCAGCCGTTGCATCGTCTACAGCGACAGGACAGTTCGCGACTCGAATACCACGTTTGGAGCAAGCATCGACATTGACGGTTTCATAACCAGCACCAACATGACAGATGTATTTCACAGATGAGGGGAGATGCTGAATGACATCTTCATCAAATACACCCATGAAGAACTTACTGTTGTAGGTACGAAGGATAGCCTTGACGTTTTGAAACTCAGTTTTGCATCGTTCATAGAACACTTCACGACTTTCATCGCAGAATACCTAAGGGTAAATGTTAGCAAGTATTGCAGATAATAGCTCTGCAGGTACTATCTAGTTAACGAAATCAAAGAGTTTTCAATAAGTACCTAAATTGGATGGCATACCTTTAAGTCGGCGTACTCGTTAAGAGATTTCCATTCCTTAAAGGCATGGCGTAAAGAGCCGACTAAAAGAATTGAAGGTTTCGTAGATGAGGAAGGCATAGTGGGAGTATGATTAAGTTATACAGTGATGAGGGAGAAGAATAAGCAAACTAGCAGTAAGAACTTGTGAACACTCGGATCTAATGAGTTATGCTAGGAATTTTTGGAATGGAAATGCAAGTTTTTTGGGGTCAACTTGAAAGCAATATTAACTTTCGATGGTAGAGGTACATAAATTGATGTGTTGCCAGTCATTTTTGGTAAAGCAATTAGATAATTAGAAAAAGAATAAAAAAATACAGAGAATTCTTTCAAGCAAAGCTTCATCCTTTCAAGAAGCAAGTATCATCTTAAGCTGCGTTATGCGATAGGATGAAAATTGGCGACAATTGGGTTAATTTCGTATTTGAACAAGTATTTCCATCAATTAATTCTATTAAAGATTCTATAACTTAATTTCCTCAGGACAAGTCATTGCTACTCGTGTGATACAACAAGCACAAGCCAAAAAGTGCTATGGATAGAAAGAATGGGCTCTATGGAAGATGAAGTCTTCATTCATAGTTGGTTGGAATTTCCTTTATGTATTCAACGATTGTAAAGCTCCTAATACAGTGTCCCTTTTTAGGACGATCTCTTGTTGTATATAGTATGGAGGAACACCTTAGGGAGCATTGACTTGCTTCTGAGCAAGTAAAACTTGAACTGGTCTTCCATCTTCAATAAAACCTATCTCTTCTTTTAGAATTTTCATGGCAGGTGATGAAGACCGTACGAGTTCTGCAGCCTCCCCTAGCTCGAGCCGATGCTCTTGACCTTTGGGATACTCATAGTTATGGATGCCATCATTTACAAAAGTACAAAGAAACAGGAATCCATTGTCATAAAGTAACTGGTCTGTTTGGGTTAAGAGCAATCGATGCAAAAATCGAATTTGCACGACCAAGTCATACTTTAAATCCTGCTGACCAGATTTTGTAGCCAGGGATGTTCCAAATAGTTTTAAAAGTTCTGAAGTTGAGAGCTCTGGAATATTTAAATCTCTCTTTCCTTCTTTATTGTAGCACTTCCATTTGCCTACAGGATCCAACTTAGCGATTTGTCTATGTTCGATACAGTCCTTAAGCCCTAATGTTTCAAATAAACTTGAAAATCTATAAATAGCTCGTTTCTCTGCATCCACGCCTGTAACTTTATACCGGATTTTGCTTTCTCTCGAGCACAACCAAGCCAAGTCCCTTCCGGATCCACATCCGACATCCAGCACTCGTGCCTCTGGGTTATTTAGGCGCTCCTCAATCATCGGCATAGTCTCTTTAAGATGAGGACTGGGATCAAATAATACTCTCCTATTTTCTCCTTGTTCCATCCAGCCCTTTTGCTCAATCCATTGCCAAAGCTCCGTGCTAGCACGGATTGATCCTTCAATTTTCCAGCCTTTGAGCTGTAGTTGCTCAGCGCACGAACTCCCTTCATCATCGTCAATATAGCACCCATCTTGTTCTAAGACAACAAATCCTTCTTGCTTCGCTGGCAGTTGAAACCAACAACCTGCAATACTAGCACTAGGAATATTCACAGATCCATATATATGTTGTTTTTGAAACTCATTTCGTGCTCGCACATCCAAACATTTAAGTCTTCCCTGTACTATAGAGCTCACCCACCGAACAGTATCCTTTGATATCAATCCTGCTACCTTTTCCATGCTTCCTTTTCCTCTTTTTTTCTTATAGATATTTCTAACAAACAAATTATTCCTCTTTCTTCTATAGGAAAGACCTTAGGATTTATTTCAAATAATATTTTTATATTATATACGTAGCTAGTAATAGAAGAACTAGTTGAGTTTTGAGCATTTATTACTCAAATTGTATCCAACAAGAAATAATAATTAGTAAGTTTAGTGAACTTCCATTGAGATAATCATCTTTATTATAGAATCGCTAACTAAAGGTTGAGATTTCGTTTTCTCATAGCATTCTCTACTATGGTAAAATCTACTGTTAGTTCTTTACATATATTCAATGATTTTGAGGTTCATATATTACCTATAAAAAGATTCAAGCAAACCATAGCCTAGATTTCTCTCCAGTTAAGCCCATATAGCTAAAAAAAGTTCAAGTAGTCTTTCAACATAGATCCATCCACTCTTTGATACTATATCTGTAACACAATCATCACATAGCTTACATACTAAGATTTACTAGGTACTTTGGATGATTGCATATCAATAGTATACTGATATTATCGAGCATTGAATATAAAGGGGCCAATTAACAGGATTTCAATTACTAAATGAAACTCCAGCACATAAATCAAGTCATTACGGCGTATTTATCATAAACAAACGAGAGTTGCGTGTCAATGTATTTCTTTCAGGGACTAATTCTTAAATAATATAACAAAAAAATAATCCTCTTGGAACAGCTAAACCGGGATTCTTGGACTCCATAATCAAACCTTGGAAACGACAAAAAAGTTCACTGTCTCGTTGCTACGCAGCACCAAAGAGTTTGGTCAAAAAAAATTTCGACTTATATGAATTTTGAATTTTGAACGGAAAAACTGCGAAATCATAGTCTGTGGTTCTGAAAAGCCATAGAGATCCATTCACTCAAACGATGATATATAGCAAGACTAGCATTGTGATAGCTGATAGAATGGGCGCTATCAGGAAAAACAGCCATATCATAATTGTAACAGTTCGCAAGGTTCAATGTATCCATAAGATGCATTATGTGTTGAAAATGCACATTGTCATCACCTGTGCCATGTGCAACTAAAAACCGCTTTTTCTCCTTAAGCATCTCATAATTATGCACTTTCGAACTCTCATAACCATCTTTATTAAATTTTGGAAGGTTCATATATCTCTCCGTGTAAATACTGTCGTACAAACGCCAATCCGTAACAGGGGCGACTGCCATACCATAAGAAAACACGTTGGAAGCTTCCAATGTTTTTAAGGTTAAATAACCACCAAAACTCCAGCCCCAAATAGCTATTTTATTTTGGTCAACAAAAGGAAACTGTGCCCAATGTTCAGCAGCACTCACTTGGTCCATCGCTTCCAAAGCACCTAGGTTTTGGTATACAGATTGACGAAAACCATTTCCATTAAATCCTGTTCCTCTGCCATCAACAGTAACCACAATATACTCAAAATTTGGATGAGAAGCTAGATAAGTCTGGAAGTCTATACGGAAGAGTTTGGATACCTGTTGAGATCCAGGCCCACCGTAAGCAAAAAATAAAACAGGGTATATTTTGGAAGGATTGAAATTTGTGGGCTTTCGCTCCATATAAGGTAATAAAGTATTATTCACATTGAGTTTGCCATATTTGATTTGCGGTAGATTATAAGAAGCCAACAATTCATGTAAACGTTCATTATCCTCAATTGGGACCGTAAAGTTGCTTTGCTGAATAGAACGAAGCTCCTGCCAAGGAACTTTGGGACCTTGATAACTCAATACATAAAAATTACCTGAAGGTGAAAAGCTAGTCGAGTAGTAACCATCTTGTACACCATCATCAGTAACATTGTGTACTCTCATATCATCCAAAGAAACATAGTACAAATGGCGTTCTGAAGAATCCTTCAATGTTCCAATGAAATATAAGCATCCTCGAGAAACATCTATTGATAGCGGCCCTTCGGTAACGTCCCAAGTACCGGAAGTCAAAAAGACGGGGGATGATTTGTTAAAAGGAATGAAAGCTAAATGATTGTAATCCTGATAAGGCATAATATCAAAAAATCCGTTGGCCCATACTTGATATCTTGGATTGTCCTCAGGCAGCGTCTTTGCAGATTGTTGCACCTCAAACCACCCATCAGTAAGACACTCACTAAGAACTGAGTGAATCTTTTTTGTCTCTAAGTGTAATAAATCTGCTTTTTTGCAAGTACTGTTGCGATTGGTAAATTGGACAAGAGCGCTTGAGTCATTGACCCAGAGCAAATTTTGTACCACAGTCTCTTCGAAAATTTGGTCATTCCAAGAATGCAACGAATATGTATCATCAGATTCCAGATCGGTAAATAGCAACGAAACAGTTGGATTCGGTTGACCAACTTTCGGATACTTTATTTGAATGTTTCTATTGTAATTAAATTCATAACTTGAAGTATCACTTTCAGTAGTATATAACGGAAACTGATAAACCGGTGTAGCACTTTCATTTAGCCTGAGGAATGCCAACTTACGAGCATCTGGAGACCACCATATTGTGGAAGGGCTTGAGAGGACTTCTTCCTCATAAATCCAATCGGACAACCCATTAAAGACACTCTCGCTTCCATCAACCGTAAGGGTGATAATTTCCCTATTTCCCATGAGTACATGTATGTTATTTTCATACACAAAGGCCTATAGAAAGGAAGAATTAGTGATTAATACATATCATAATAAGTATTTACTTACCAATCGATGTCCTGTAGGGGACCAAACAGCCAAGCTTACGCGCAGATTTTCTTCCTCAGGAACAAGCGGACTCACAAATTTTTCTATGGTATCGTACAAATAATAAGAAGCAAAAAAAGAATGCCTCCATCTCTGAGTTTTGTTCACACTTAATAGAACATATCGAGCGTCTGCAGAAACAGAATATCCGTCATAAACGATACGTTGATCCTTATACACAAGATCACTGTCAGAAAATAACAGTTCATTTAAATCAAAAGGATCACGAAGATATAAAGACTCGTTCTCTTTCACTAAAAACGTATCACTATACTTTTCATTGTAAATCCAATCAATTTGCTTATACTTAGGTCGAAACTTTTGCAATATAATGTCGTCTAAATCCAAAGGCTCTTGATAGTTTTTTCGTAAAGAGTTCTTGTTGGCGCCATATTTCAAGAAAACTAAAGTGACCAAAAGGAAGATAGATATTAAGATAGATTTCAAGACAGGCTTTCTCTGCGTTCCAGTTGGTGTAAGCTTCATTCCAATTAATGTTTCGTAATACATTCCACAATAAATGAATCTTGATAATTTCGCTTAGACAATCATACAATATGCAAGGTCAGAAAAGCGGTTTAATAAGTAGTTAGAGCACAGAATTCACCAAATTATACGTAAAGAAGGAGATTATTAAAGGATGAACGATAGAAAAAGTAATAGAACTCGCATAAAAAAATCCGAATTATAATCGTTAATGAGTATTAGGTTTACATACGTCAAATAAGGGAAAAGGTCAATGGTCCCTTTTCTTAGTTTAGATAAATTATGAATAAATACTAGTAAAGTTCAAGTAGACTACGTTCACATCTAGTTACTTTGGAGGTTTCCTAATCTCGTTATTGCTAGAAAGAAATATTATATAATACTATCGAAAATCAAGGATATATTATTAACTGACAGTACAGCGCTACCTTCTAAGAACGATTCACCAACTGAACAAGTGAATTGCTTCAGTGGAACAAAAAAAGAAGGATTTCTCATGGGAAATTCTGGTTTGGTGAGTAGTCCAGACATCAAGTCTGGGCAGCTTTATATAAAGCTTCCCGCATTGTTTCATTTGTACATTTGGCCATTTGCCTTGTTCGTTTATCCTTATGTCGCATATGTTTATAAGAATCATTTATATTCCGATGAAGTTCGCTACTTAACTTACATTGCTGCTGGAACGTTGAATGTATTGGTCTGGCTAATCGGCGAGTGGAGTACTCGCGTGTATTGCTTTTTGACTTCCAAAAAGACCAATTCTGTAGACCATGCTTCGCATATTCTGGTGATTCCTAGCAAATCTGGAGATAGCAGTAGCGTGGAACCAATTGAGAAAACGATTCTTCCTGATGGTCAACACATCCAGTATTCATTCGTTTTCCAAAAAAAGCGCTACTTATATAAGAATGCTGAAAACCATTTTACCAACGTAACTTTTCCTATGGATTTTCCTCTTACCATTGGCGTTTTAAAGAATAGCTCTGGTCTGAATTCGGTTCAAGAGGAAATGTATATGTGTCAATATGGTAGAAATGTCTTCGATATCCCTATTCCCTCATTTGCTAGTTTATTTAAAGAACATGCGGTTGCTCCTTTCTTTGTTTTTCAAATTTTTTGTTGCGTTCTTTGGTGTTTAGATGAATATTGGAAATTTTCTCTTTTCTCAATGTTTATGATTGTAGCTCTTGAATGTTCAGTCGTCTGGCAACGTCAACGTACTTTGGTTGAATTCCGTACCATGAGTATTCAGGCGTATGATATTCAAGTATACCGTAACAAGAAATGGATGGCTATTTCAACTGAGGATCTTTTGCCCAACGACATTGTGTCCGTTGTACACACCAAAGAAGATCTCGGACTTCCTTGCGACATGCTTCTACTTTCCGGAGTCTGCGTAGTCAACGAGGCTATGCTTTCTGGTGAGTCTACTCCTTTGGTAAAAGAATCTATTGAATTGCGTCCAGAGGAGGCTATAATAGATTATGGCGATGTTGACAAAAATGCGGTTTTGAATGGTGGTACCCGGGTTCTTCAAGTGACTCCTTCTCAATTCTCAAAAATTCAAACTCCCGATGGTGGTGTCCCTGCGCTTGTACTTCGTACTGGTTTTGAAACAAGCCAGGGTTCTCTTGTCCGTACCATGGTTTTTTCATCTGAAAAGGTTACCGAAAATAATTGGGAAAAGCTTTACTTTATTCTCTTTTTGATGGTGTTTGCAATTGCTGCTTCAGGTTACGTTTGGCATATTGGTAGTCAAACGGAGAGAAGCCGCTATAAGCTTATGTTAGACTGTATTATGATTATTACGTCCGTCGTCCCTTCTGAACTTCCTATGGAACTTTCGTTAGCAGTGAATGCTTCATTGGCTGCTTTGTCCAAGTATTACATTTACTGTACTGAGCCTTTCCGTATTCCAGTAGCTGGACATGTCGACATTTGCTGTTTTGATAAAACTGGTACTTTAACTGAAGAACATATGGTCGTTCAAGGTGTTTCTGGCTTAAACAAAGAAGATCCTTCTCGCCTTGATACTTTGGAAAGTATCCCTACTAACACCGAATTGGCTATTGCTACCGCGCATACATTAGTGTTGTTAGAACAAGAGGGAGAACCCCCTAAAACTGTTGGTGATCCTATGGAAAAAGCTACCGTCGAAGCTTTGGGCTGGTCAGTAAGTAAGAATAATGTTGTTATCCCTCCTGAATCTTCAATCTTCCATAAAGGGAAGGTTCAAATTACTCGTAACTTTCAATTCTCGTCCGCCTTGAAACGGCAATCCTCTGTTGCGAATGTACGTGTCGCTGGTGGTAATCATAGAACATTTGTATCCGTTAAAGGTGCTCCTGAAGTAATTGCTACCATGTTGAATAAGGTCCCTGAAAATTATGAGAAGGTTTACAAAGAATACGGTCGTAAAGGATCTCGTGTTTTGGCTCTTGCCAGCAAGTATTTCAAGAACTTTGTGTCAGAAAATAAGGTAACCGATCTAACACGTGAAGAAATAGAATCTGGCTTGGAATTTGCAGGTTTTTTGGTTTTCAACTCTCCTTTAAAGGAAGATGCTAAAGCTACAATTCAAATGTTAAATAACTCATCTCACAGGTGCATGATGATCACCGGTGATAATCCATTAACTGCTGTCTACGTTGCCGAACAAGTTGGTATCGTTGAAAAACCTACTTTAATTTTGGACGTCAATGAAACCTCTGGAAAAACCATGGAATGGAAGAGTGTTGATGATGCTGTAACTATGCCTATGGATTGCTCAAAGACTTTGGACGCTTCTTTATATAAGAAGTTTGACCTTTGTGTCACTGGTCGGGCTCTTTCTGAGATTGAAGACCCCAATGTATTGTTGTCTGTATTGACACATGCATGGGTATATGCTCGTGTTTCACCTGCTCAGAAGGAGCTAATGATTGCTACTTTGAAAGACAACGACTATGTCACTTTGATGTGCGGCGATGGAACGAATGATGTTGGTGCTCTTAAACAATCTCATGTTGGTATTGCATTATTGAACGCTTCTGAAGAAGATATGATGCAGATGCAGGAACGGGCTCGCATGAGCAATTTAATGTCCGTGTACGAGAAGCAGATCCAACTTTCCCATCGCTTCAACCTTCCCCCTCCTCCTGTTCCTCCAGCTTTGTGTCATGCGTTCCCTCCTGGACCTAATAATCCTCACCGCGAAAAGACTCAAGAAAACTTGACTAAATATTTGGATGGTTTGAAAGAAAAGAAGGAAGGTGATACCGGACTGACAGAAACCGAGCGCACTGCTGAAAAACGTGCCAATTTGGCTAATAAAATGTTTGACACAATGGCAGAGGCTTCAGATGATGATGCACCGAAGATTAAATTGGGCGATGCTTCTGTTGCTGCTCCGATTACATCCAAATTAGCAGTGACCAACTCTGTCATTAACATCGTTCGTCAAGGACGTTGCACTCTGGTTGCGCTTGTTCAGTTGCACAAGATTCTGGCTCTTAATTGTTTGATTACTGCTTATTCTCTTTCTGTTCTTCACTTAGACGGTATTAAATTCGGTGATACTCAGTATACAATTTCTGGTATGCTTATGTCCGTTTGTTTTTATTGTGTATCAAGGGCTAAACCTATGGAGACACTTTCGAAAGAGAGACCTCAGCACCGTATATTCAACACTTATATCATTGGATCTGTATTGGCGCAATTTATTGTCCACGTGATTACACTGATCTATATTACAAGATGCGTGTATGTATATGAGGATCCTTTGGAAAATGTTGATTTGGAAGAAAGCTTTCAGCCCTCATTATTGAACAGCGCAATCTACCTTTTGCAATTGATTCAACAAGTATCAACATTTGCAGTCAACTATCAAGGACGTCCTTTCCGTGAAGCTTTAAGTGAAAACAAAGCCATGTATTACGGACTTTTGGGAACTGCATTTGTTGCTATTGCTGGCGTTACAGAGTTTATTCCCGAACTGAATTCTAAACTCCAACTTGTAAAACTTCCTTTTAATTTTCAAATACAATTGCTATCTACTATGGTGATTGACTATGGAGCTTGCTGGATCATTGAAGAAGTTATGAAGAAGTACTTCCGTGACAATAAGCCTAAAGATATCGTTTTGCGAGACTAAACCATTAAAGAATAATGTTGCTACTTGATTGTCTATGATGTATGCCTAAATAGACTATTTAAAGCACAAAAATCTGTCCCGAAATGCATGGCTATCATGGTTTCCCTTCATCGTTTTGACAACGACGCATCATATATTTATGACTACGTAAAACATGTTTGCTTTATTTCCTTTTCCGGCATTTTTGTTTAAATTATCAGTGATATTCATGAAAAGACTTTTTGCTTCTGTACTAATAATAAAATAGAGCTTTCATAAATAATAAAGAGGTCTCTTTGAATCCGAGAATAGTATATACACTGTAAAATATTAAAGAAGAAAACAACTGAAGAATAGAAAAGATACTTGATCTCTTGTCATGGTATTCAATTTTGTTATTAAGTTTTTCCATAGTAATATTACTCTCTATAACAATACTTTTTGTTATATTACGAAAAGAAGGTAATGGAGACAACAGCACGATTCGAGAGCATCTTCTTGAGTTCTTCAAGAAAACACTCAAAAGGGCCTGAAATCGTGGTATTTTTTACGTGTATAGTAACTTTATGACTAATTTTTAATGATTGGTTTGGTGGCCCTATAGAATTGAAAGCATTATTGTTCAATTTCATTGAATAGGTAACAATCCATAAAGTAAGAAGTTTCTAGAGAGTCTGAGGGTTTGAAATCAGTAATATAGAAAATTGACGACATGCCTTTCTTCTTAAAAGAACTTTCTCTTACGATCACGTTACATCCAAGCTACTTTGGCCCTCGGATGCAGGACTATTTAAAAGCAAAGCTTTTGGCAGATGTTGAAGGAACGTGTTCTGGACAATATGGTTATATTATATGCGTACTTGACAGCAATACTATAAATATTGACAAAGGACGCGTAGTTCCAGGTCAAGGTTATGCTGAGTTTGAGGTAAAATATCGAGCGGTCTTATGGAGACCATTTAGAGGCGAAGTGGTAGATGCCGTCGTTACTACTGTTAATAAGATGGGGTTCTTTGCCGATATAGGTCCTTTGAGTGTGTTTGTCTCATCGCACCTTGTACCTCCAGACATGAAGTTTGACCCTGCTGCCAATCCCCCAAATTATTCAGGCGAAGATCAGGTTATCGAACGAGGATCCAATGTTCGATTAAAAATAGTCGGTACTAGAACGGATGCTACTGAAATTGTATGTCTCTCAAAAATCTTATTTGTTAAATCTACTAACCTTTTTTATAGTTTGCCATTGCTACTATGAAAGAAGATTACTTGGGAGTCTTATAGACGTCTGTATAAGCCCCTTATGTGAAAAAATTAACTCCCTTTTGTAATCACAAAAAAAAACAAAGCCCGCATCATTTTTTGGAATCAGCTGCGAAACATATGACATATCCTACATATATCCTTGAAAGTAACGATTTCAGTCTTTTACTCTATTATACTATATTTTCTTCATCCCTGTATGCTTATGCTCTTATGGGCTCATGTATATGTCAATTCCCTATTCAAATCATAATCTCTTAACTTCTGCTAATTGAATCTGTATGTTAAATGGCATTTGAATCTTTTCTAAATCCGTGACATCCTTTGAAATTTACTTTTATTTTACTGGTTATGATATTATGGAGTTACAGTAAATATATATATTGTAGCTTTCTGTTACAGCAAGTCAAAAAAAATTATATATATTAAACTAAAAACGTTATATGATTAAAGCATTTCTTAAAACATCTCAAATATGCTGCAAGGTAACGTGTAGACATCATTTGTCTTTCTTTAAACCACGCGTGAACCCTTTGCGCATTTTGTTGGTTATTTGAGCAACAGATGTAACTCCGTCAACAGCAGCATTTATTCCACCAAAGGCAGCTTCACTAAGAGAAGATATACCCTCTAATGGCTTAGCCATTAGTTGGGCAGTCTGTCCCAATATATCCTCGGCAAAAGAAGAGCTGCCTGCACGTTTGGAACGCAATACCCATCGAGGATCAAAATAAATTCTCAAGTTTAAGATTCCTTGATTACTATCGAGAGGTAACTCAAAACTTGTATACTGGCGCTGCTCAAGTTTACTTAAATCGACAAGGCAGTTTCCTAAAGGATCATCCTTGTTTCCAAAATCTCGGTCAAAAACTCTGGCGACAAAATGGCTTGTTTGTTTGCAAGGAAGCTCAACCTCAAATCCTTCATTGAAAACAGGATTAAGGTTTTTCTTGATAGTCTTCGTACGGAATACTTCCTCGCCTTGGAGCTCAAACAAAACGAAAGGATCAGATTTACCATTGGAATCAGCGCTAGCAAGATCAGTAGCATTAAGGATATCGACAATCATTTTTCCCATGTTTTCATACTTCTCGGTTTCATCCAGTTCCACCACTACTGGTGTAAATCTGAAAGCAATCGAAAAGGAAGCGTTTCTATCGAAAGCTAACTTGAAAGGTTTTGAAGAACCCTCTGTTACTAATTTTTTAGTAGAACAGGTTTGAGAGCCAATAATCTTTTCTCCGTCTAAAAGTTTGAAAGAGCATTCAGAAAATTGAAGTTGCCTGATAAATGTGCGACCAAGCTCATGAATGATACTGCCATTGTGAGCTTTTAAGTCTGGGGACATATAAATATGATGAGGGAGATCGTCAAGGAAGATTGCCAATTTATAATTACCAGAAAGTTGGCATGAAATTATATCAAAAGCCAAAAACCCAGAGTTATACTTTAGACAGTCACCCACATCTTCAGGAGGAGATAAAAGCTCGGAAATCTGTTTAGCGGGTTGCTTCTTTGCAACAGGATTCTTTTCGGTCTCAGGTTTAGCTTCCAAAGTCTCTTTGCTAGTAGCGACCACAGATGGTGTTTTATCCGATGGAGAATTTTGAGGAGCTTTTTGTTCAGAGGTAGAAGCCAAAGGATAAAAGTCATATCTATAAGTAATACTGGATTTGCCTTGTAAGCCACGTAATGAAGTCAAATTAGTGGTAAGCTCTTGGGGCTCATGATATTCAAGGAATGATCCGTTTTCGCCTTGCTGAATGAATTTAGACACAGGAATAGAGAGACTGCTAATAACGGTATCAGCGCCATTAGATTCATATTGCATAACTTGAAGCTGGCAAGTGTCATGTTTTGTCATGACAGGAACATAAACATATTCATCCCAGTATGGATTTAAGCTATCCTTAATTACCACTGTTCGACCTTGTTCCATGCTGTAGGAGAGAGCACGGACGTAAGCATCGCATTTTTTACCGGGAAGCTTCGAATGCAAGCTATTACATGAACGGACGTGAATGCGCATAACACCTATAGGAAGAGCAACAACTAGAGAACCAGGGTCACCAACAGACATTTCAATAGGCTTCCATGTTGCTGATAATCGAACTCTTCCACCATTAGCGGTTGGGAACTGAAACCAGCTTAAACCCTTTTTAGCAGCAGAAACCAATTCTTGAAGATTCATATTGATAGTACCAAACGGACGACTGTGGTCATCTGTAAAAACCTGAACGCCAACCATTGCTTTTTCACCATTGGGAACAACAGTACCACAAAACTCATCCCAGGAAGGATTATTATTCTTCTTGATTTTGCGAGTAGTGTGCATAATTTTGTCATTAATGATTAAATTGGCATATGCAGTGTGACGTTTAGAAGGGTCCTTACTCAAATCCTTACATTGATGGGCAGTGAATTGTACGATACCAGGTCCCTCAATTTTTTCAGAAGCTTCTTCGTCAACATCAACCGTGGGATAGAACTTAGTATCGTAAATCAAAGTTCCTCGGTGTTTGTTATTCAAAATAACGGGTGTTTTGACATCGTTCGAAGCAGGCATGGCTTCTAAAGCTGAAAGAGGAATAGTAGCGGAACCAATCAGTTTATCTTTGCGAAGATCATTAAAATCGTAAACCTCAAGAATTAAGTTCTCAGCATATGAGTTGATAATAGCATAAAACGTTTCATTAAAAGTAGGAGAAGTGGAATTCTGAACAGTCTTAGAAGTACCAATTTTCTTTCCGAATGAATTCTTTATAACAACATATGGGTCAATAGAACCGAGGACGTCACCCTTCAAAGATTCACAACGCTTTAAATGAATTTCTACAGCACCAATAGCAACTTTAAGATCGGAGGAACCTACCAATGACTGGATGTCCAATTCAAATACATTAGGACTATACATCATAGGTCCTAAATTCTCGTGAACTTGATCATTAATAAACGAAGTGAGTCCTGGAATATTGTTGATATCAAATCCAAGCTTATCACCTCCGATGGGTTTGAGTACATAAGAGAAAGCAGGCTTTTCAATGAAAGTAATACCCACATTTTTAGCATGAGGGAACTCATCGATAAGTTTAACCTTAACACGAAGATGACCAGAAAAAGAGACATTTTCCACAAGAACAGGCATTTTTGCACTAGCGACACTCTTTCCTATCTTAATATCCAAAGCAATCTTCGGATTGACTCGGGAAGCAATTTCGCGACCAGTTAAATCACTTAGGTCCTCAGGAGTAAACGAAACCTTCCAATCCATCATAATTTCATCTTCTTCGGTCTTTGGATATGAGCGAACATATTCAATACGAGGAGATTTTGTACCAAGAGTAAAACTCGATAAAGCCATTGAGTCAAGGAAATTAGGAATGTTTTCGGACAAAACCTGATCGGCTATTTCAATGACCGCAGTACTCAAAGAAGGCTCAAAAATGTACCAGAATTGTTGCAAGAAAGTGTTTAGCCATGTCACACTTTCTGGGTTACTCTCCAATCTCCGGAAAGCAAGGTATCTGGTATAATCATCACGAAAGCTCATACGTACACGGCGGCTGCTTATTCTATGATACTGAATGCAAATAGCCATGACGACGAATAGACTCAAAAAACCAAACCTAAAGTAGCCGAATAAAAACGATAATAAACCGGTCAGAAGGACCAAGCGTGAGTCAGAGAAGTACTGAATAAAGATTTCTTTCCATCTCAACGCAAGATCAAGGGCTTCTGTACTTAGCCCAGGGAGATATTTCCTGCAAAAATCCACAAGACGCTCGTTTCTTTCAAATAATACTTCGCTATCATACTTGCTTTTCGGTTTTTCATCTTTAACCACTTTAATAGCCGGGAGCTCTTCCTTAACTTTATCGTCAGATACTGGAGCTTGCATATTTTCAGGAACTTCTAGAGCCTGATTTGATGCATCAGTATCTTGCACACGAACTTCCTTGATCCCCTCACTCTGTGAATTCGTTTTAGATTGTTCAGGTTCACTCGACGGTTTCTTCTCGACAGAAACGTCCAACTTCCCTCCAGGACCATCCGTAGGAAGACTCATTTTTTGAGATCGCGTAATTTCATTCGTCTGAGACTCATTTTCTCGTGAGTCTGGTTGGGAACTCATTCTTTCTCAGTTCCAAAGAGATGTGAAGGCTTTACTGAATTTATTTTCTGAAGAAAAACAAGCTTGTTTATATATAAAGCCACAGGATATTACCAGAAAGTAGTTAGGTGAACAACTAGTTGGTTCATTACAAAATGTTTTCCAACATGCTGAGGTATACACCCTAACAAGCAGGACAGACATCATATCAATATTGTTAATACAATATTTTTTTAGGGTCACGTACAGAAGGAAATAAGAGGTTAGCAATGATTAATATGTGGCTGGTTATTTTTATATTAAAACAAAAACTACTGCACAAAAGACTTAAAGTATTTTCAACTATTTTTATTTAGATTCAAAATGCACAAAATTTATTCACTTAAGTTAAGCCCAAAACTAGATAATTTAAAGACGATCATAATATTCAGTATATTCAGGAACATTATCCTTAAGACCCTTACGCTTACGAGCTTCAGCAACAATAGCACCAGGCTTAGAAGTAGGATCAGTAGGATCACCGCTCATAGGAGCCCAGTGATCGAACACCAATTGAGGGAAAGCTTGACCACCAGTAGCTTGACGAAGCTGACCAGTGAAACCGAAGGACTCATTGACAGGAAGGTAGGCCTTAATGTTGTACAAGGGAGTACCAATACGTTGCTCTTCAGCGAAAACTTGACCACGCTTTCTGTTAAGAACAGAGTAGATACCACCCATAGCGCTTTCAGAAACTTGGATTTCGACCAAGAAAACGGGCTCTTGAATAATAGGTTGAGCCAAAAGGGTAGAAGCGTAGACAACACGACGAGCAGTAGGAATGATTTGACCACCACCACGGTGAATAGCATCAGCGTGCAAAACAACATCAAGAATGTTGTAGCGGCAAGAACGCAAATTCTCTTCAAAGATAGGACCTTCCTTAGTAGCCCATTGGAAGGCAGCAACAACAGAGTCCTTGATTTCGCTCAAGTAAGCAACAGCCTTGGATTGGTCAACAACAAGGTTAGCACCAGTGGTTTCAGGACCGAAGCACCAGATCTTACGGGCATCGGTAACATCCCAACCGTACTCATCGGCCATGACACGAGCACGAGCCTTGAAATCGTCACGAGGGTTAATCTTACCAGTCTCAATGGCCATAGAGAGTTCTTCACTCATAGGTTCAGCGGTCATGAAAAGACGGTTATGCTTGTTAGGAGACTTGGACAAGGCAGTCATGCTGGAAGGTTCGCTAACAGACTCACGATAGGAGACAACGGGAGGAGAGATCTTGAGAGGGATACCAGCATGGTCGTTTTGTAAGTCATTCAAGCAAATTTCCAAGTGCAATTCACCGGCACCAGCGACAATGTGTTCACCAGATTCCGAGGTCTTGCACATGACACAAGGGTCAGACTTGGAAAGACGCTTGAGACCTTCAACTAGCTTAGGCAAGTCATTACCGTTCTTGACTTCGACGGCGACTTGGACGACGGGAGAGACAGAGAACTTCATGACCTTCATGTTGTGAGCAACCTCAGAGGTGGTCAAAGTACCAGACTTAACCAAGAATTGGTCAATACCGACCAAACCAATGACGTTACCAGCAGGGCAGTCTTCAATGGGGTCAATCTTAGAACCCATCATAAGAACGGTACGTTGGATGGCCTTGATGAAAAGGTCTTCCTTTCTACCGGGAGTGTAGTTAGGACCTTGAATACGAACCTTCATACCGGAACGGACAGTACCGGAGAAGACACGACCGAAGGCATAGAAACGACCACGTTCGGAGGTGGGAACCATCTTAGAAACGTAGACCATAAGAGGAGCCTTGGGATCGCAGTTGCGAATACCAACAGCACACTCATCATCCATGGGACCTTCATACAAGGTTTCGGCACGGTATTGTTGAGCCCTCTTGGGAGAGGGAAGGTGAAGGACAATCATTTCCAAAAGGGCATCAGCGGCAGGCAAGAACTTACGCATGACAACCTTCAAGAGAGCCTTACCGTCAAGTTCCTTCTCATCGGGCTTGAGGTTGACCTCAAGCTTGGTCAAGAGTGCAAAAACTTCGTCCTTACGGCCGTTCATAACGGCATCGAAGATACGGTAGATAGGGTCCAAAATGAACATGTTGAAAGCACGTTGGTTTTCGTTGCCATCAGCATCAACGGCAGACTTGGACCACTTCTTGGTCTTAGGGTTGAAGTAGCTTTCACCCCAAAGACGAGTCATCATCTTGTTACGGTCGATACCGAATTTCTTGGCATAACGGTTGGCAAATTGACGAATAGTGAAACCCCAACCGTGGAGACCGGAACCAAAAGCGACAGTACCTTGATCAGGGAAAACTTGGCAGTCACCAAGGACCTTGTCGTAATAGGTAGAGATAACGACGTTGACAGATTCAACGACACGAGCAAAGTTTTGGTAGAGTTCTTCCTTGGAAATTTGAAGTTCCAGCAAAGCACGGTCAACCTTGTTAACAACGACAACAGGCTTGATACGTTCAGCTAAAGCTTGGCGAAGCACGGTTTCAGTTTGAACGCAGACACCTTCGATGGTGTCAACGACAACCAAAGCACCATCAGTGACACGAAGAGCAGCAGTAACTTCGGAAGAAAAGTCAACGTGACCAGGAGAGTCAATCAAGTTGACCAAAAAGTCAGGGTGCGTAGTGGGTTCCTTAACATCCTTCATGTTGTCTTCAGACATCTCAGCAAACAAAGAGATGGCAGTGGACTTGATGGTGACACCACGCTCTTGTTCGTCAGCACGGGTATCCATGAAACGAGCATCACCGGCCTTAGCAGCAGAAATAATACCGGCTCTTTGAACCAAAGAATCAGTCAACGTAGACTTGCCGTGATCAACGTGAGCGATCACCGACATGTTACGGACGTTCGATGGCTTTTCCATCAAATTGCGGACCTCTTCAGGCGTGAACGCAACCATTTTTTTTTAATGTTATTTTCTTGTCAGTGGTGGAGAACAGGATTTGAATCGCCCACCAAATTTGATATGCCATATGAGAACCCTAACCCAAGTGCGCGTAATGGTATCAATTTTTCGAAATCATGTAAATAAACAGTAAGGATGAATGCGAGAATTCGAAGCAGAATCATACATTTTTTGGTCACAATAAGCAAAAGAATTAGGTTAAGTTTCTAATTCCTAGAAGAGAAGAAAAAAAAACAAAGTCGAATTTGAGGTGTTCGAAAGCTAATTTGAGGTATTTTTTTTACGGCTCCTTGGGCATAGGTATGCAAGAAAGAAAAGTTTCTTTTTATGTATTTTTTATAGAGACATTTCTCTTCTTCATTTTCCACAGATACCCTAAATGCATGCCTCTCTTTTCTCGTTTTCTTAATATCATAGTAAATATTCATTATGATATTTGTTTACAAATGTAGGACCCTTTTCCAACGGGTTTCTAGTCTACCAAGGAGCAAGAAACTCATTGTGGAACCTTTTTCAATTCGTGAAGCTTCTATACTTCCAAAAAAATTACTGCCTTGCCAGTCGTTGATGGTATACTTTATGAAAGTTCAGACTCCTTCTAAAACTTTTCATTTCAGGAACTTACAGCTTCAAAGTAGGAAATAATAAAGTAAAAAGGAAGCGAAACCCAACCATGCATGATCCTTCCTTTTGTTTGATTACCCTCTTCATATGTCATTGTTCCAAATTATTTGTTTACTACCCAATAAAACAAACCAAATGACAAACAGAGAGAGAGGGAGAAAGAGAGAGAATATAGAGTATAGAGACCAAAAATAAAAAACCTATTGCACCCTTCTTTTCTTTTTTCTTTTTACCTTTTTACCAAAAAGCGCTGTTCTTCAATACTCTTCAATCCAAAAGTTCCCATCTCTGGCGCTTTTTCAAATATCCAGTACCTAATTTTTCAAAAAATTTGTTGATACTGCTTACTTCAGTTTTCGACTGATTTCCTGATCAAGTCCCATACTTTATTCTACAAGAATTCTGTGTATTCTCAACAACATACCCAAGTTTTGTTAACATCTTCTTTAGCAGTTTCAGTGGTTTTCTTATAGTTATTAAATCGCTATTAATTTCTTTTTTTTTTGCTGTTTTTAAAAATTTTTGGTTTCTCTGTTTAATATGGGTTCTACTACTCCTACTCATCTCCCTTCTTTTCCTGGAATTCTTCATCAATATGACCCAAGGCTCATCGCGTTTGAGTTTGCTGGCTCAAGCGGAAAAACCGCTTCTTCTTGCAAAGACCGTCACTTGCTTCTTTTTGTTGGAGGACTTGGTGACGGTCTAGTAACGGTTCCCTACGTCCCAAAATTGGTAGAACCTCTTGATAAACTTGGTTGGGGTGTTATCCAAGTCCATACCCAGTCGTCTTACATTGGATGGGGAACAGGAAGTCTTGTTCGTGATGACGAAGATTTGCATAAAGCCGTTGAGTTCTTTGCTCATCTCGGCGGTTCTGAATACAATACCAGAAAAATCGTTTTGATGGGCCATTCAACAGGATCTCAAAATGTCCTGTACTACCTTTCACAATCTTCTCTCGATAACCATTTGGCTGCTGCAATTGCCCAGGCTTCAGTGTCTGATCGCGAAGGTTGCTACAACACAGTCGGCATTGACGAGACACACAAGTTACTCGCTTGGGTACAAAACGAGTACATTGACAAGAATCTTGGAGACGATGTCTTGCCTAGAAGCAAGATTAGCCACGTAATGGGTGACACCCCTATCTCTGCAAATCGGTTTATGGATTTAGTATCTGTTCGTGGTCGCGATGATTTTTTCTCCACTGACTTGACCTCTGATGACTTTGCCAAAACATTTGGCAGCCTGAAACCGATCACTGGCACTTGTAAATACAGTCAACTTGCTTTGTTCATGTCTGAAAAAGATGAATTCCTCTCAAAGGATGTCGATCGTGGAGAACTTGTCCGTAGATTTCAGCAAGCCATTCGTCCTCAAAGTTCCAACAGCGTTTTCAGCGGAGTCATTCCTGGTGCTACTCACAATGTAGGAAACTCATCTGAACCTGGAGCTTTGGAATGGCTTATTGAACACGTTGTTGAAGTATTGAGACATCTTTAAATTTCTTTCCTAGCTGCCTATACTTTACGATAGAAATGATGGAATAGAATGACTTCTACATGACTTTTGCTAAATGTATACGTTAGTCAATGTTATTACTATGATGCTTACAGTAGAGTATTATTGCTTACTCGTGTTTTAATGATTAATGCTTCCAGCCTAGACGAAATGTTTCGAAAAATAGGAGGAATCACTTTTTATTTTTCAATTTACGAAATGAATACCTTCAACTTTTTAGTAGTAACTAAAGAAAAAGCCTTCTTTTCAAATACGGGTCTTTCCTATTGTCCTTAAATAGCTATCTGCGCTCTACATAACATATAGTAGCATTTTCATACCAGTACACTGAATTTTAAAACTTGTTCATCAAATATAAGCATACAAAAAAAGGACACGTAGGAAGGAATTTTTGCCACTCCAAGGTTTCCATCTCATTTACCAACATTAAACGTGCAAGCTAGTTATTTATATACTTGCTAATTCCAACTGCTTTTTGGTAAAGGGTTAAAAATTAAATGACGGTCAACGTAGTTGAGGAAGCAAAAAAGAAAGTTGTTTTATCTAGCACAGAAGCAGAAACATTTCTATCCAAAATTGACAAACGTTGGGAGCGATTAGTTCAATTGGTAGGCGATTATCGGCCAGTGGTAAAACACCCATCCAAGGAGCCATATGAAGAATTGATTCAAGCCGTTGCGGGCCAACAATTGCACAAGAAGGCAGCTGACACTATATTTGAACGATTCAAAAAGCTAGGAGTCGATGGCCATTTTCCTTCTCCTAAAAAGATAGTAGAAATGGATGCGGAGACTTTACGGTCGTGTGGATTTTCCGCTAGAAAGGCAGAAACCATACGTAGCATTGCAGAAGCATCTCTTACTGGAACCGTACCGTCTAGGAAAGAAGCAGAAACATTGACAGATGAAGATCTGATCGAAAGATTGACAAAAATAAAAGGAATCGGTCGATGGACGGTGGAGATGTTGCTAATTTTTTCCCTCAATCGACCAGACATCATGCCAGCAGACGACTTGATTATCCGGAATGGATATAGATACTTACATGATTTGAGAAGTGTACCTACCAAAAAATATGTTTTGGAGCAAAGTGAAGTTTGTGCTCCATACCGATCAATCGCTGCTTGGTATCTTTGGAGGACTGCAAAGCTACCTGACTATGTAAAAGTGAATTCCAAGCTTACCAAGCTCAAACGCTCAGAGACCTTGTAGTTGTTCTTCCGAAAAAAGCCGTTTTAATTTTTGTCTTGTCCATTATATTTATTACAATTATAGAAGCTTATCCGGAAATAATTTCTATATAGGCAAATGAAACCATTTTTATTATCGTTTTGGATATGCATAATGGCAATCATCCATCTTGTAAATGATATTGAATAACCACATTTTTTTTGGTAAGGAAAAATGCATAACTACGTAAAATAAAACGGTCTGTTCAATCACTTTTCGTTTTAGAAAAGGGTCTTTTTGGATGCAATAAGAGGAGTTCTCACAAGCATGCTAACGATGTCCAAAAAAATGTTTGCGGCAGCCATAGTGGTCAAGTCAGCAACATCGTAAGCAGGAGACACTTCCACAATATCAGCACCGACAAACTTCAATCCATCCAATCCACGAATGATGTCTACAAATTCACGGGTGGACCATCCAGCGATTTCTGGCGTTCCCGTGGCAGGGGCATAAGCAGGATCTAGAGTATCAATATCAATTGACAAATACACCAAATTATCTTGTACGCGATCGCGGATTTTCTTTATAACACCCTCCACGCCAATCTTATCGATTTCGCGAGCCTCAATAACCTCGAATCCACAGCTCACATCATCCTCATAGTCTTGTAAACCGGAAAGGGGACAACGGATCCCAGCATGAATGTTTGCATCCTTGCTCATCACACCTTCTTTACTAGCCCAGTAAAAGTACGTGCCGTGGTTGAGACCATTGTTATCGATACCATCTCCCAAAATACCAGGTTTCCAAGTATCCAGATGGCTGTCAAAGTGGATGACAGAAATGGGCTTATCATAAGCACGACTCAACGCCCGAAGGATGGGAAGTACGATGGTGTGGTCTCCACCCATGGTTAAAAGGCGTGGCAAGACTGTCTCGTTCCGGGCATAGCCTTCATCATTTGTAAAGGAAGCCGGTTTTCTAGCAAGCAAGTGATAATAACCTTCTTCCAATTCCTGCATGGCATTCGGTATATGATAGTTCGTCATGGGAATATCTCCACAGTCAACAACTTTGGCCCACGATTGAAAGGGATACACATCTAGTGGAACGTGGTACAATGATGGAGCGAGACGACGGGATCCTTCACGGATGCCGCTAGGGCCAAAGCGAGCCCCTGGTCGATAGGAGGTTCCCATGTCGAAAGGTGCACCTACAAATGCAATGTCGTAATCAATTCCTCGACTCTTTAAGCATTCTGTATAAGGTAAGTGCCCAAAAGTACTAACTCCCGAATACAATGTATGAACCTTGGGTATATACTCATCATCAAAATTTTGATATTCATCTGCTAAAGAATAGAACGGTTTTTGTTCTTTTGTATCAGCCAACCATCCAGCGTTCACAACGCTAAAACTCAACGTTACAGCATACACGAAAGCTTTCATTGTTGCTAACATCTTATTCATTCGAATTCTACTACAGACCAACCTAGTTTTAAAACGACACTATATAGTAAATTTGAAGATACATGGTGTTAGTGTTCAGGAACAGAATTCACCTTACCCTTCCAGTTCCCCGTACATTGCCTTGTTTCATCCTCGGTATACCTCCGTGGACTCTTGTTTATCGCTACCAAATATCCTCAAACTACCACTTATTCGGTGTCTTTATAGATATTCACATGTAAACAGTAGTTATCACTTTAGATAAAGAACGTAAGGAAAAAAATGTAATAATCAATTGTAGAAAGAAATACAATGGCAAACATGAAAGCTTAAACCGTTTAATGTCGTGTTATTATGGCTGTTAACTTTACTGAACAATGAAGAAGGGAAATCGCGATATCAATATCTGTCGTAAGGCTTTATCAAATGCTGTCTACAGAAAATGCCTATATAAATGATGAAAGGGTCGGCTCCATCCATTGTAAACAGCATTCGCTTCATTGACTTAAACCTGTGGTTTGTCAATCGTTAAATTGAAACAAAATTGGATGAAGGCTTGGGTAGAGACGTTGACACACAGTTGAACATTTGCGGCTTCTGTTGCATTGTCTTTTCGTTTCGCTTTGCTTTGCTTTGCTCTGCTTTATTGAACTAACTTCATATTGCTTTCGTTGTAAAAAATAGTCTATTTTCAGCCATGAGTTCCATCATCGAAAAAAACCAAAAGGATCTTGTGTCTGAAACCACCAAGGGAGCAAGCTCTGTCCATAGTCAAGGCTCAAAAGATATCGAAGTTGGTGAATCCCACCATCTGACTGATGATGACAAAGTGCTTATAGGTCTAGGCTATAAACCCGTATTCCAACGCGAATTTTCTTACTTGAGTGTCTTTGGTCAGTCCTTTGGTGCAATGGGTCTTTGGTAGGTGTCTATTTGTTTTTTTCTCAGTCTAACATTTGCTCTAGCCCCTCCATATCTGGCTCAATCTCATTCAGTATGAATTGTGGTCCAAGCGGTATGGTTTGGTCTTGGTTCTTGGGATGTGTTTGTTTACTTCCCATTGCCATTTCTATGAGTGAACTAGCCTCTTCTATGCCTACCTCCGGCAGCTTATATTATTGGGTAGCGTACCTTTCGCCCAAAAAGTATAGAGCCTTCCTTAGTTGGTTTTTGGGTTATGTGAGTATGCTTGCTTATGGAACCGGCTTTGCTTCCACCATTTACGCCGCTTCTTCCCTTCTCATTGCTACGATTTCTATTGGAAGCCCTAGTTTTTCCCCTACAAAGTATGAACAGTACGGCATTTATCTTGCCTTCTGTTTAGTTTGCTCTTTCCTTATTGCTATGCCAACGAAATATTTAGCCCGTTTCAACAAGTTTTGTGTGTTTTTCCAAATTTCCACTGCATTGATTTTTATTATCAGCCTTGCAGCTTCCTCTAATTCCACTACCAGGACGAGCGCTAGTCATATATTTACCCATTTCCACAATTACTCAGATTGGAAAAATATAGGCTGGGCGTTCATCATGTCATTCACCACTCCAGTGTGGGTTGTATCAGGTTTCGAGTCATGTGCTACCGTTGCCGAGGAAGCCACGAATGCTTCTGTAGCCGCTCCAATTGCTCTTATATCTAGTTTATCAGCAGCGTTAGTTTTGGGGTTTTGCGTAATAGTTACTTTCTGTGCTACCATGGGTTTTGATTTTGAGGCCATTATGAATAGTTCTACAGGTGAACCCGTTATGCAAGTTTTATTAAATAATTTGGGAGTCAAAGGTTGTCTTGGGGTATCATCTATTTTAATTATAGGCCTTTGCCTGAACTGCTCTTCTTTGGTATGTGATATACGTGCTTCTACTTTCTAACATTCCATTTTTATTTAGTGCGTGGGAGCTACACGAGAAGTCTTTGCTTTTTCCAGAGATGGTGGTCTTCCTGCTAGTAAGTATCTTCAAAAGATCACTTCAAATGGAGTTCCGATAAACGCGATCATTAGTGTAAACATCTACACTTTTCTGATTGGTTTACTGATGTTGGTGAATGAAGCAGCCATCACTTCTGTCTTCAACTTGGCCATCATTGCTCTGTTTGTTTGCTATTCATTGCCTATGCTGACAAGAATCTTATTTGATCGCCTTCAACCCGGTATGATTCATGCTATCAAACTTATTTTTTATTAACCATTTTTTTAGGTAAATTTTATTGTGGAAAGTTTAGTAAACCCCTAGCAATTTATTCAGTTGCATGGCTCTGGTTTATAGCAATAATGCTTTTTTTTCCAAGTTACGAACATCCAAACCAAATGGAAATGAATTGGGCTATCGTCGTTTTCATCTTTGTTTGCCTGTTTTGTCTTGTATATTACTATTTTCCTAAATACGGAGGTAAAACATTCTTCCAGGGACCCGTGAAAACAATTGAAAGCGATCATGAATTCTTATACTAACTTAGCTTTGGTTGTTCATTATACTTCTCTTTGTTATTTACATTTCGTTTTATGCTAGTTGTCCAATATCTACGTTCGTTTAATTTAAAAGGTAATTATCAAGTCTTTAGGAAATATGTTCGTTTTTTTACAACGCATTGGATAATCAGTTGAAATTAACCAATCAATTAAAAGTTATTTCATGAAATCACCATGCTTTAGTAACTAGTTAAGTAAAGAACCCATATATATACACCAAGAAAAACAATAGTAAACCCTTTGAACATACTCCAATCCGAATTCGAAAGATAAATAAATAAATAAGTTAAATCAAGAAATTGGTTAACTCAAAAGCATCTGCAGTAAAAGCAGGTTGTAAAGCAATGTAATGCTCCGCTGCATGAATAAAGTTTTCAGTGACCGATGCAAGCTTTTGTGCTAACTGGCCATTAAGGTCTCGCATTTTTATAAAAAACTTATAGACGGCATACATGCGGTTTAGATCTTCTAGAAGTTGGTCAGGATTACTTTCTTTCCCACTCACTGTGCTAGAAAATAATGTTATAAAAGGGGTAAAAGGATTATAGAGAAATATCCATAGGTAGCAAACATTTTTGGAGATAGGATCTAGCACTACGAAAAAATTCTTTAATACATCAACTGCTCTCCGAGCCGTTTCTAAGCAGATGATGGAACCTTCTTCCGTATCATTTAGCCTTTGAAGAAATATGACAGTGTTGCAGTACGAGAGATAGATTTCTATACAGGCCGAAAAAAGTCTCTGCTCATCGCTATTTAAAGTAAAGAAAATGTTCTCATTTTTGTTTAGACTGCTGAAATAATTTCGGATTTCCAACGGTAAAGAATTCTGCCAATTTTGCATCTTTTCAAAGATAGACCATATAACCTTTAAACGCGTACCCTCAACAGAAGGTGTATTACTGCTATATAGCTTGGAGCGGATTTCATTCTTCAAAATAGTAAGTGAAATTTCTGCAATGAAGATAATATCCCCATGGTATATGTTTGGATATAGCGGTTCTTTCTCTGCCTCAGGATACCCGCAATCAATGTCCATATCACTTAAAACAGAAGGGTTACCAAAGACCAAAGAAGTAGTAATCTCAAAGACATAACAAACCCAAAATATACGTCGATAGAGTTCAGCAGACTTCTTAGGCAGTTTCTTAGTTGAGCTAGCACGATGCAAATTTAAGTCTCGAATCATTAGGCATGCTTGACCACATAATGCCTTACATAGAGTGAAAAGTGATAAATGAGCAGTGAATTGGATCATAATGATAAGTGCCTGAATTTTTTCCACTTGGGGTATCAAGAAGAATCCAGGCTTCTGAATTAAATGCCAGGCGGCACAGAAAAATGAGTCAGAAACCTTTTGATCATTTTCAATTTTACTTCTTGAAATCGCCAAAGCAAGAACAGCATAAAATGACACTAACCAAACACCCTTTACCTGATTTGGATCCAGATATAGCTTCTGCAGTTCAGCCATGAAGTCTCCTTCGTAAAATACAGGCCACCAACAGTTAATAAATCGAAAATACCACTGAATACGAGCAATAGCCCATTCCTGCTCAGGTAAATCAGGAACGTCTTTATCCCAAGTTGGAAAAGAATGAGCAAATAAGTCGTCAATATTTGTATCCGCGGGAGATATTTTAAATAATTTGGAGTATTCCTGTAATTTATTATCAACTAAAGAGCTGGCGTCTCGAATTTGAGATATCAACGAGGGAAAATCTCGAGGTCGGAATCCATTAGACGGTTTATAGGAATCCTCAACAAGACTTAACAGCTTGTCTAATTTGTTCTCAACGTTTCGAAGGCGCACATGAAGTGAATCATTATCTCTCAAATCGGGAGACGTACTATTCTCGTAATTAGGACTATCCTCCGATTCATGTAAAGGCTGCCAATTCTTCGCTTGTGTATCACATTTCATTTTGAGACTGTACCGCTTCAATCTCTTTGAATAATGACATACTTCATTGTACACCAAACAATTTTGACATCTGGGAAGTTCACGATTACATCGAATTTTTTTTCTCCGGCAAAAGTCACAGGCTTTCTTGGGCTTTTCGACGCCGTCCATCTATGAGTTTGCAAATGATATCTGTTCCATATAAGCAATTCCAATAAATTTTATTCCTAAAACCTTGGAGAACCTACTCAGATAGTTTTGCCCGGCCCTATATGGTGTTAGTAAAATTTCGTATAAATGAAGCAAATAGTGATACAAAGGTTAAATTTCAGAAGCAAATAGACGAAGATATTTTTTTGGATTTCTTTTATTTATACTAGTACATTACTTTTTGTTTCTTTAGAAATAAAACATATCCAGATTTCCAACAAAAACCGAAACGTATTAAAAGGCACTTCCTGAGCTGCTCAAAGTACGTGATAGAACCAGAAGATATAAAAGGCAAGCCAGTTTTTTAATATGAAGTCCCTAATGCCCCAATCCATTTTGTGATACAATACCCTTGAAAATGCAACGAAAGTTAGTCATAGCCTTCACGGATCACAAATCGTAAACCTTTTAGACATTCTCCTTTGCTTATATATCTTACAATTCACCTTCTACAAAGTCAAAATTCGTAAATAGTCAATTATACTTGTCACCAATCATCACTGCTGTCAGTTGCAAGGCAATTGACAGGTGATTAACATGATTACCAAGATGAAATTTTCATGCTTCCTCTTTCAAGAAAAGAAGTATGCATTTTGAAGGCTTTATCCAAAAGAATGGGCTCGTGTCCCATCTTTGCTTTTAGACATGCAGATTCTGCCAAAGTAAAATAATTCATCAGGATGGGACGGTAAACAGGATGAGCACACTTCTCAATGATTTCCCTTCCTCTTTCTCTTGGTGATAGACCACGAAGATCCGCCAACCCTTGCTCTGTAACAACAATATCAATATCATGTTCTGTATGATCGACATGTGTCACTTTTGGAACTATGGTAGAAATACCCACCGGATCTATTTTAGATGGTCTTACGGAAGGAGTGTGCATAATGCTAAGCTTTGCATTCCTCATAAAATCTCCAGATCCGCCAATACCGTTGAGCATCCGACTTCCCATAACACAGGTGCTATTCACATGTCCATACAAGTCTACTTCAACGGGCGTGTTTAAAGAAATACATCCCAATCGGCGAATTATCTCTGGACTATTGGTGATTGCCTGAGGGCGAAGAATAATATGATTTTTGTAAAATTCCCAATGTTTGTAAAAATTTTCCAACTCCTGAGGAGAGAAACGAAGAGACATGGATGATGCGTACTGAACAGTTCCTGATTCCAATAGTCTTAAGAATGAATCTTGTAAAACCTCAGTCCAAACTTGAAGGTTACGGAAGGAAGAATTACCAAGTCCTTCAACAACAGAGTTTGCAATGGCACCAATTCCAGATTGGATTGGATGTAAATTGTCTGGAAGTCTTCCTCGACGAGCTTCATGCTTAAAAAATTCTATGATATGCTGGGAAATTGCTTTGGTAATACTAGTTCCTGATTCCGTACGATTTGGAAAATTCCCATGAAATCCCTCTACAATTCCAATCACTTTCTTAGGATCCAGAGGTATTGTACTTTTTCCAATCCTATCTGAAGAGGTGCATAGGTTTAGCGGGCTTCGACTGGGAGGTAAAGCAGGCACATACAAGTCATGGATCCCTCGAAGCGATGGACTGTTAGTATTTATTTCGACAATCACCTTTTCAGCTACTTGAATTAATTCAGGTGTCACACCTACCGAAGCTCCAGGAACAAGCTCTCCCTCTTCCGTGATCTCTGTAGCTTCCACGATTGCTATACTTAAGGATTGGGGTTTTCCATTTTTGGCACCCAAATGTCCAGAAGTCAGCTGTTCCGCGAAATCTATAAGCGAGTGGTCATGAAATTGTATCCTTTTATTGTTTATACCTTTGTTTATTGCTTTGCTTACTTGGTAAGGCGATCGGCTAGAGACCATGCCTAGCTCTGCCAAAGTCGACTCCGTCGCCGTACCTCCAGACGAGCATACCCTTAAATCGAACACAGGTTTTGCGTACGATGAATTCGACCTGACCTCGTGTATCAATGGCTCTAACGATTGTAAAGGATAATCGACTCCAGTAAATCCTGACCAACCTATAGCTTGATGACCTTGGAAACTTGGAAGCAAACCAGAGGGCTCTATTATCTTGCTCCGCAATTGTTTACATTGAACTCGAGACAGTAGTTTTGAGGACATGAAGAAATTTTTAACTAGTTTAAGAGGAAGAAGAGTATGCGTCTAAATATCCACTAGTTCTCACGTTGCACGGCACGGCACGATTAAAGGATGTTCATGTATCGTTGGGCATTCCTTCCAATATTATACTCAATCTCTACCATAGATAAATGCTCTGCTCTTAAATTTGTTCTTTCAACTAATAATAATGGATCTGTATTTTAACTCTGAGAACCCGTTGGTAGGCAAGAGAACCTCCTTCGGTCGTTTAAATCCGAAAGCATTGGAAGCAAAAATTCTTCTCTTATAAGATAATTCCCTTTGCTGCGTTCTTATGGTCGTACTCAATTCTACTCATTTATATAGGCTTCAGTAAGGAATTCTTGAAACAAAGTTACTTTAAGCGAAAGATCAAAAGCATCATCAAAACTGATTTTTTGGGAATTGTGAAAAACTCTCACGGTTTGGATTTTACAATTTGAAGATTTCAGGAGCCTTTCTTTTACTTCAATTTATCTGTGTTTAAGATGCTATTGTGTGCAAGAAGCATCAAGACTCAAAAAAAGAAAATCGGTGCATTACCGTTTCACCAATTGATAAAGTCGTTTGCAAGCGAATCGAAAATTGGGTTCAATTATGATGCAGCGTTTCATGGGGAAATTCAAAAAAGAAAAGAAACAAGTACCTATAGGGTGCTAAGCAACATCAACCATGTCATAAATAATCAAGGACCAAAGGCATATACGAATGATCACGAAAAAGTAATTGATGTATGGTGTAGTAATGACTATTTGGGAATGCGAACGAACCAAGAAATTGCTGACGCTATCCATGCATTTGTTGATCGGTACGGTGTTTCTTCAACGGGCTCCAGAAACATCGCCGGGCATAACCAAGTATTCGTTGACTTGGAAAATTCTTTAGCACAGCTTCATCAGAAGCAAGCCTGTCTTGTGTTTAACAGTGGGTATGTTGCTAATGAAACTACACTCGCTACTTTGGCACAAAGGCTTCCAGGCTGCGTTTACTTCAGTGATGAGCTGAATCACGCCTCCATGATTCACGGGATTCGAAACAGCAGAGCGGAAAAGGTTATTTATAAGCACAATGACATTAAAGATTTAGAAGAGAAACTGAACAGATACCCAAAATCATCTCCAAAGGTAATTGCCTTTGAGTCAATTTACAGCATGAATGGCGATATCGCTCCTATTGAGTCCATTTGCAAACTGGCAAAAAAGTACGGTGCATTAACGTATCTTGATGAAGTTCATGCCGTTGGAATGTATGGAGAGCAAGGCGCTGGCGTTGCTGCTGCTCTTAACATCTCAGACCAGGTGGATATTATAACTGGTTCCTTGGCTAAATCTTATTCCGCTACAGGTGGATATGCGGCAGGATCTTCATCTTTCGTTGATTTCATACGTTCTTTTTGTCCTGGATTCATTTACACTTCTAGTCTCCCTCCTCATGATGTTGCCGCTGCCTTAACTTCGGTTGAGTATTTGAAGGCTTCAGAAACTGAAAGAGCCCTTCAAAAGTCTGCCGTACGTAAATTAAAAGACATGCTTACTGATTCAGGGATACCTTTCCTTTCCAATCAATCTCATATAGTCCCCATTATGGTTGGACATCCAGAGTTCGGGAGATTGATTAGTAGAGATCTTATAAAGGATTACAATATTTACCTCCATCACATCAATTATCCAACAGTTGCAAAGGGAACTGAACGCTTGAGAGTAACGCCTACGCCTTTACACAATGATGAGGCTACTTTGAAACATTTTGTGAATGCCTTGAAAGAGCTTTGGAAAAAATACGATTTGCGTGGTATAGATCACTGGAGAGCAAATGGATTCTCTGTTAATGAGCCATGTCATTTTCCTCTTGTTGCATAACCTTTTTGACTCTATCCTTAATAATAAGCTAGTGCCTATCCAATGATTCCTTGATTAGCAGTTATAAAGGCGTTTTCCCAATTCGCGAACCTAACTACAAGCAAGGACTGCAAGATTTCTGTAAAGATTCAAAGCAAAGTCATTGATGGCTTTTTGCTCTATAAGCAAGTTACGATCTCAGTGAAAGATGGTATGCCTTACACTCTCATAAAGCTAAGCCAAAGTTACCAACGGCAAAAAGATTGCTGGGTCGTTCCACATTTATGTGCATTTATTTCTACTCTTTAAAGACTTTTTTTTTAACGGATATGAACGATTACTGAATACAGATAGCAGAATCAGGGAAAACAGGTTAGTTTGTCTCTAATAAGAAATTTCATTTTGTGTACATTAATTTTTATGAAAAACCATAACAAAAAATCATTCATATCCATACTGTGATTATAACTTTAATGACAGTTCTGACAATCCTTCTTTTGTCCATCATTCTGTTCAAAAAAGGTCTCACCAAATGCAAGTCTTGATGTAGCATCCGTCAGACTCTTCAGCAAGTCTTGACCATGGTGGGAAGATTTCTCTTGGTTGGCTTTCACCTCAGAAGTCATGACATTGCGAGAAGGGGGGACGTCCAAAGCAGGATTACGGAGGAAAAAGTTTCTAGGGCGCAAAAGGAGACTGATGGGCTCAGCAGGCATAACGGGGAAGTCCTCAGGAGCGGGAAAATGTGTAATTCCAAAAGTGTGCCACACAACAATATCCGTATTATTCACATTTTCATCAGGATTCTCTTGGATCCATTCGGGTAATCCTTTGGAAGGCTGACCAGAAGTTTGAGGTACATAGTCACCGGCAGGATAGAGTTGCCCATCCTTATAAGGAGTAACGTGCATGTGATGACGGGCAAAGCCAGCTCTGTTGGAGACTAAAGAACCGGGGCGAGCCAGCAGAGGAGGGACTTCACGAGAGACAAGCTTGTAGGAAACTGGTTTTTTCGAGTAAGGATGCAACTTGTTGGGATTGCAAATTTCCCAAGTACGGGAGGTAGAGCCATCATAGTCACTGATGGCTTCTTTCACATTATTGGCAACGGTACGTTTCGAGGTAAAGGCATTGCCGTAATAATTCTGCTTGGATCCAGGAAGACCCTCTCCGCTAACAGCGTCATTGATGGCAACCGAGTTATCTAAACCATCAATCATGGGGTTGAGACGAAGAGAAAACAAGTGTTGATGGTTGTGAGCATTGACTTGAGGATAAACTTGAGTACCCCATCCGTTGGTGTCCTCGTCGGGGTTCATAGCGTAAGTATTGAGAATACCGGTAAGTTTGAGTTGGCATTCAATGACACCGTCCATGTGGAAGATCCAATAGACCATATATTCATAGTTGGCAGCAGTGAAGATTTGAGAGACAACGAGTTTGACACCGCGAGTCGAGATGGTGGTTTGAAAATGATCGCGGAAGTCGGAATGTTTGAAAAGGACGCCATCATCTTCTTCATGGATGCAAATAGCATTTTTCACATGTTGGACTTCACCAGTATGACGGACAAAATGAGCATCCAAATAATGAATGACACCCTTACAATCACATCCCAAGGCCAAAGGATTGGTTAGGAAACCGGCACCGTATTCACCCAAATCAAAAGCGTGCTTTCGTTGATGAGGATACTCAGGGTTGCCGTAAGGGACTACCATTTCAGCAAGAGACATACGATAGAAGAGGGGACGAACATTGCCATGGTCGTTGTAGGTGATGTCGGACAAAACGATACCTTCGCGATAGTTGAATCCGATATGAAAGCGGAAGTTTTGCCATTCAATGTATCGTCCCTTCAGCGTAAAGTTGACACCATGAGGTTGTGTAATGGAGATAGGCTTGACTTCGCGCATCTTACCATATTCTTGTTCGGCATCTTTGCGGTTGAAATTGGAAGGCTTATGCTTGGACAAAGGTCTTCTTACAGAGGGGATGTCGATGGCAATGACTTTTTTTGCTTCGGAATCAATGATGGGACAAAAGTCTAGAGGATGAGAGTACTGGGAATCGTCTTCGTTGGATCGATAGTACATGAGAGCTTGCTGGAGACGACGACTATTGCCAAAACGTTCATCGTAACCAATAGTCCACGGATCACAGTAAACGTGGTCCATTTGGTCGGCAGGTACGCCGGATATTATGCATTGTTCTTGAACTTTGGGATCATTGCGAACAAGCGTTTCAGTTTGTTCCATGGTATCAGCTGTAATAATGGGGCAAACGCCGGTCACTTGTTGCCAATCCAGAATGCATCGTTTCGTCAAGTTAATCTTTCCTTCCACAACGCCTGAAACTCCGTCTTCCAAGACAACCACAAACGCAACTCGATCAGGTCGAGGCTGCACATTTGGGAACTGTTTCCATCCCAAGTACTCGTACTTGGCCGGTTCGCTCAAAGTGATGACATTGAAACTGTACTTGTGGTCGGGAAACGCCTTCCGAACAAGCTCGACGGCCAATTTTAATTCCTCTGGGCCCAAAGGGTCCAAGGGATCGGAATAGTCATGTTGGGATTTCGTAGAAAATAAAGTCATTGTAGGGAAAGCAACCAAGACAAATAAATCTATAGAAACACAAGGAGAATCAAAGACACGAAAAAACTATGGTTCAACACAAAATCTTGTGTAGAAACTCTTTGAAGGAAAATAACAAAACAAAAAAGAAAAGCCTACTGGAACAATCATTAACATCCGTCCGACATGTCTCTCGTTCTCCCTCCTCTTCCTCCTAGAACTTACCTCTTTTTTTCTTTCTTCTATAAACACAAAACGCACGCTTTACTCTATGTAATTCTGTATCTGGTCTTGTCGCTAATTGTTCGCCTTCTATATATACCTAGCCATGCAATCTCACCTTGATTTCATCAAACCTAATATCACCATAAACCATATCTCAAACTTTGATAAATCAACCATCTTGGCCGTTCAATCTATCTTATAACAACCCTTATCCTGCTCATACTTTATCATCATCCTTCTATTGGGTTATTGAAGCTTCGCCATGGCAAGTGAGGATTTTAGGTTGATTAAAACCGAGAAGCGATAAGCAATGGTATCTGATGGAATCCTATCATCATGGGTTGAAGAAGTGGTGACGGAAGGTGGTGGAGTTCTCTCAAGTCATTGGGTTGCTAATGTGATATCTGAATTCCAATTGAATGGAATGGATTTTAAGGGTTGTAGGAAGAGGAAAAATGTGTGGTGTTTTGATAGTTTTTCTCGAGTCGCTAGAGATAAACAACATGATCGGTGTTATATAATTTGAAATGGATTTCTTCATAGATGAGTTGAGGACGAGAAATCGTTGTTTTTCCTTTTTTGAGCGATCGCTTTTTTTTTGTGTGTGTGTGTGTGTGTGTTTCATCTGGATCATTGAGCTTGATTGGAAGATAAGTCAATTAAGGTAAAGTAATATAAAGACAAAACAAAACAAAAAAAAAAAGAAGGTATGGATCATGATGCGTTGGAACAGGTTGCTGCTGCGACGAAACAGGGTGCAGGGTCGCTTCCTCTTTTTCGTCGAAATGCCAGCTCTTCTATGTCGGAGGCTAGCAACCTCATGTCTAATACGTATTCGCCTGCCGACATGTCCTATGTCCTGCTCTGCTGTGTGATTGTTTTTCTTGTCACCCCTGGCATAGCCCTCTTCTATGGCGGTATGGTCCGGAAACGCTCGGCGCTTTCCATCCTCGTGCAATCTTTCCTCGTTACTTCTGTCATCTTGATCCAATGGTATATTTTCGGGTACTCGTTGGCCGTTGCGCCTGGCTCTTCGTTTTATGGATCCCTTTCTCTCGGAGGTTTACATGATGTCTGGTTCTCCCCTTACACTACTGGCTCTACAATCCCCGCCATCGTCTACTTTCCCTTTGGTGGTCTATTCGCCGTCACTACTGCGCAACTTCTGATTGGCGCCATGGCTGAGCGAGGCCGCCTCGTCCCCTCACTTGTCATCGCCTTCTTGTACATTACCTTCGTCTACTGTCCTCAAGCGTATTGGACCTGGTCATCGAGTGGCTGGCTTTATACCATGGGTGCTTTGGACTTTGCCGGCGGCGGCCCAGTCCATATTTCTTCTGGATTTGCTGCTCTAGCTTACTCGTTTGTTTTGGGTCGCCGTCGTGACCCTTCCAATCCCGAAGACTGGACAAGTTCGCTAGATAGCTGTTCTTCTTCTCAAAGATGTAGCTCAACTACTCTTGTCCCATGGGGATCCGTCAGCTGGAAATACTCTATCGGCCGCAGCCGTATTCCCAAATTCCCTGCCCATAATCCAACAATGCTATATCTTGGAGTCGTTCTGATCTGGTGTTCTTGGCTCACCTTTAACTCTGGCACCCTGCTCGCCATTAATTTACGGACTGCTTATATTTTTACAAACACTCTGATTTCTTCTAGCTTTGCCTGCGTTACCTGGGCCATCATGGATTATGCACGTTATCGAAAAATCTCTGCTGTCGGAATTTGCGAAGGTGCAGTCGCTGGTTTGGTTGGCATCACACCCGGCTGTGGACATGTTTATCCTTGGGGTGCTGCGGTTGCTGGCATTTTCACTGCTGTTGTCTGCAATCTACTTCACGACATTGGTGACTGGCTTGGTATAGATGAAACCCTTCGTGTATTTAACTTACATGGCATTGGCGGTGTCCTGGGATCAATTGTCTTGGGTGTTTTAGCTCATCCAAATGTCGCTGCTTCCGATGGGACCACTGTAATCAAGGGCGGATGGATAGTTCATCATTGGAAACAGATGGGATATCAGTTTGCCGCTTTTACCTCAGTTGCTGTATGGTCATTCGTCGTCACTGCAATCATTTGTCTACTTGTCGACATGATTCCTGGACTTCAAATTCGGTGTACCCCCCAAGAAGAAGAACAGGGTATGGACTTTGTTAACTTGGTTGAACAGATTGATGAGAAAGCTGGCCCGTCTACCATTCGAGTGATTCAAGCACAAGAAGTGGAGGAGTCCACGGGAACGTCTGTAACTAGCAAGAAGCAATGATTTATGTTGACAAGTCTCCAACTTGTTTAGAAGAAAGCAATTGCTGTTATTCCATTCTCGTTTTTCCTTTTGCTTAATAAAGTCATACTTTTATTTCTAAATGCATGGATATTTATTTTCTCTAGATTTCGGCAATGGATTTATGAATCGTTGTTTCCCAGTTTTATGTTTTATGTTTTATGTTTTATGTTTTTTGGTTCTTGGTTTTGTTTTCTTATCCTTATGCTACAGTTTATGAATGAATAATGAATGATAGTTACGATAATGACTTGTTGCTTGTCTATGATTTCCATTCCTTGGATCCATTTCTTTTTACATCGAAAAAAGATTTAAGGGAAAAAAAAAAAGAGTGAATATTTCATTTATTTAAACAAAAGTTGATTCGATAGAAACTTTTCCTAAAAATGAAATAAAGAATAACAAAATCAAAAAATTATCATTTACTTTAAACATTAATGACAAACTTTACAGCACTGTGGTTCCCAGATGCAAACTCTCTTAAAGCATCAGGAATCACCTCCAAACCACCATGAAACTCCCTAGTAGCATTGGGAACTATGATGCCTTTTTCTAATAGTGTAGACACCAACTCGAAAAGCTTTGCGGTGTGTTCATAATCCTCATCGTTACCTACCATTTTCTCACCAAAAAATTCAAACTCCTCATTGAACGCAGTAAAACTAAAAACAGTTATCGTGTCGACTGCTTCTGCACGAGGGTTCTCCGGAGGCCCTAACACAGTGACTAATTTAGCAGCTTTTGCTTCTGAGCTGAACGCCATGATAGATTTCGTAATAGTATGTGGAAGACTGATGGCATCATAGCCAAAAAAGACCGAATCATTTGTAGCTTGCTTGATTTTTTCAACAACGTGACTATCATGGTAATCAAAAACGAAAGATGCACCGAGTTTCTTTATCTGTTCAAAATTATTAGGAGAGCAAGTTGCGACTACGTTACAACCGCCCAGTTTTGCAAATTGGATGGCGTATTGACCGACTGACGAAGCGCCTCCCCAAACCAAAAACCATTTCCTACGTATCGGATTAACAGAACCATCGGGATTAGGCATTGGTAATCCAATGCGCTGGTGGATTCCTTGTGAAGCTGTAGTAAGAGCTACGGGAACTGCGCAAGCTTTTGAAGACACGATGCTGTCCGGAACAAAGAATACAAGTCTTGCATCCGTACAAACGTATTCAGCCCAAGCAGAGCCCGAAATCGAGAGAAATCCAGGGACCCAACCTGAAACTCTAGCTCCTATGTACTTGGATGCGTCCACTCCTTCCCCGACTTCTTCAACGATGGCCACAAAGTCTGTTCCGCCAATCGTACCCTTCGGAATTGGAACATTGTATGCGATTTTCCAGTCAATCGGATTCAAGCCAACTTGTAAAACATGTCCTAAGATCTGTCCCTTGTTCGGAACCGGTTTTTCTGCGTTTGTTACAAATTCTATCTCACGTTGTCCGTTCGCAACTACTGCTTTCATACTGCCTTCCAGATTTCGTTAAAAGAAGTTCAATCTCAATCGTAATCCAAAAACAGTGGCCTATACTTGAAAGCAGAAAAGATTAATCTTAAAGTACTTTTAATTGATGATACGTAAGCGAAATATTTGGCAGCTGGTTTTTAGTCCATAGATATGTGCGTTTTAGGAAGGTAAGTGTGGAGGAGAGGATAGATAAGGATGGCGAAGGATGGCGAAGGATGGAATTCTTGTAAGCGAAGGGTATCGTCTTTTAGGCCGTAGTATGTGATATAACAGAAAAAGCAGTTGTTGAATGGTAAAAAGTTTTGTTTGATCTTGAATTGTTTACAGTTGTTTGATTTTGGCTTCGGCTTTGGCGATACAAGAGTTGTTTATATTTTGCTTTACTTGTTTGTACGTTCAGTACAGCCTATTACTATTTAAATAACATGTCATTAGACATTTAACTGGCAAGAAAAAGAAACTAAACGAAGAAAGAAAAACGAAATGGAATCAAAAAGTACAGTCAGATGAGTCAACCAAGTCATATATTCGTAAAATTACTTAGCTTTGGCAAATTGTTCAGCACGCTCCCAAAGCTTCGCGGCAGTGTCGATGTAAGTTTGCTCTTCGCTATAGTACTTCAGACCGAGAGATTTGGAGAGAGAGTTGTCCAAAGTGTAATGCTTCTCATTGAAGGGAACATCAGAAGGTTCGGAAATGACATCCTTCTTTTCAGGGAATCTGTCACGAAGAACCTTGCTTATGCTATTGGTGGAGAAAGGACCACAAGAGACAAGCAAACGGCCATTGCTCAAGTGTGGGCTTTCAAGAGCTAAAACGTGGGCATTGGCAACGTCACGAACATCGACTTCTACGTGTTGGATCGAAGGTTGAACCTTGGAACCATTGATGACTGTCCATAAAATCTGGTTCGAAGTGTTCAAAGAGTCCATACTGTTCATGGGGTGAATAGGAGGGCCAAACACATAAGGAGGGTTGACAGTGCTAATATCGAAATGGGGTTGCTTTTCCTTTACCCATTCACGAGCAGCCTTTTCAGCCAACTTCTTGGAGGCACAATAGGCAACAATACCATTGTTAGCAGATACAGCTTCGTCGTAAGTAATGGGGTTCCAGTCCTTCTCAGTATAGGTATATCCATTGGAGGGATCGACGGTGAAGTTTCCAATCGCAGCAAAGGAAGAAGTGATGACCACGCGCTTTACCTTGGGTTCAGTGACGGCTGCCTCCAAGGCACTGAGTGTACCATTTACAGCAGGGTCCAAGAGTTGATCCTTGTTATTTGTGATGTTTTCGACGATGAAAGGAGAAGCAATATGACAGACATAGTCACAGTCCTTGATGACATCCTTAAAGGCATAGGGAGCCATAATGTCCTTGACAATGACAAACTCGATCTTGTCCTTGAGCTCGGGGTTCAAACGGACAAGTTCGTTAGCCTTATCCATGGTACGGACGGTACCACGCACACGGTAACCTTTGTTGAGCAAAGATACAGCAACATGGGCTCCAATGAAGCCTGTAACACCGGTAACTAAGACGAGTTGTTGGTTCGACATTTTTTCAATATAATCGATAGAAAACAATCAATATCAGATCCTAAATAAACCAAAAAAATAAAAAATAAACAACACAGTTGATTTATTTAAGATAGTCTCGTAAATATCGTAAATTAGATGATAAGTATTTTTATTGAAATGAGCTAAATATATAGTACTGGTTCATCCCAAATTAGTCATCTTCGGTCGCCTGAAATTTTTGTTACGTCACGGCTATACTCGGTCGAAGCAGCTTCGCAGTCATAACAAAGCCGTGCTGTGGTGTCTTGGACGGAAAGGGAATTTCGTCCGTTCGAATCGGAAATTCAGACATTCCGTCTTTATGTACGCCAGGTATTTTTCTGGAAAATCAAAACAGATATCATACTAAAAAGTTTACAAGGATGTCTTGGATTGCGGGGGTTGATGGGTTTGTTTTGGTGGAAGTAAACAGAGAAAGAAAGAAAAATTTTCCCGTTCCAATGGGCGTTGAAGATTCTTTGACAAAGGTTTTTTGAAGCAACCTGATTTTGAAGAGATAGAGAAAACGAATGAATGAAAAGTTCGCTGGGTACATGAAACGACCAGTACATTTTTCTCTTTGTGAACTCATCAAGAGTAAAACATGCAGGACCTACGATTCAAAAGGATTTGCTACGATTGATTCCCGTTTGAAAAAAAAAAAAAAACCAAACAAACTATACTTGATCGCTTTTTTTTTTTTCAAATGATAAATTTATCAACGACCAATTTGCTTGAAAATGTTTACAAGCAGAAAGTGGTCCTTTAGCTCAACATGAATATCTGGTTCCAATGATGTCGTTCTGAATTCCTTGCTCTCATGAATTCTACTGTTTTAGTATGGCTCTTTGGTAAACATAAACTTTTCACAGACAAGTTTGTCTTTTGTTTTTGTTTTTGTTTTTTTTTTTCAAGGCAAAGGGGAAGGGCTGTTTACCTCCTTTCTTTATTTACATTTGACTATGTAGGAATCAATCTCGCTTATATTATATAACCTATAAAAATAATCCCACATCCCTTTTCCTCATATCATGAGCTTACAGTGATATCATTTTCCCGGTGCTATTATAATATGATGACCGATTTTTAAAAGGAATGTTCTAAAATTTAGGACTTTCTTTGTGTGTTTTTTTTTTTTTTTGTGATATTTTTACTTACATATAGGAATCGTTTACAATTTGCATTTTGTGATTCCAACACAAGGTTTCCTGAATCTTCGTTTCTGCTGAAAGCTTTCAATACCTCAAATTCTCATTTTCATACGGTATACGCCTTTTTTTTGCAGCTATAATCCAGGATTTTTCTCTTATTTATCTTCTTTTTCCTTTTGAGTTTCTCTTTGGTTTGGTCCTAGCACATATCAGTATTTAAACATGACGATTGCACAAAACTCTGAAAACGTACCTGTACTTCGCTGGGGATTCCTTGGTGCTGGCCTAATTGCTGCTTCATTCGCAGAAGACCTAGTTCAAGCTCAGCAACACCATAAATATCAGCATGAAATTGTTGCAGTAGCTACTCGAAATAGCCAAGAAAGAGCCGCTGCTTTCACTGAACGCTTCAAGGGTAGCTCCTCTTTTCCTAAAGCATATGGCTCTTACGAAGAATTGGTTCAGGACAGCAATGTAGATATCGTCTACGTTTCCAACCACCATCCTCAGCATTATGATACTGTCAAGTTGGCTTTACTAGCTGGCAAGGGTGTCTTATGTGAAAAACCATTGACTATCAACTATCCCGAAGCCCTTGACCTAGTAGAGTTGGCTCGCGAAAAAAAGGTATTTTTTGCTGAAGGTTTTTGGATTCGTTTCTTCCCTATTGTGAAAAAAGCACAGCAGCTGTTACATGAAGAGCGTGTTTGCGGAAAATACCTTCGACTCTTTATTGATTTTTGCCTAAATTCGCGCTTTCGCGAACTACCCAATGAGTCTAGAATGTGCAATGTTTCTTTAGGTGCCGGTGCACTTCTTGATATGGGTGTATATCCTCTGACTTGGTCACAGGTCCTTTTATTTGACGACCCCTTGAATGGGAAAAACGATCCTACAGTTTCCTCGAACGCTCTCACCTTTACTGATAATAATGATGACGTTGGCGATTATTCTACTGCTGTCACTTTGGTATTTCCCAAATCTCAAGCTATCGCGGTTTTATGTACTTCAATGGATCGTGATCCTGTTACTCAAGATTTTTTGCGAGTCGATGGTGACAATGGGGTTCAATTGATCATTTCTGGAAAATGTTTTCGCCCTCAAACATTAACCCTCAAAAAGCCGGATGGAAGTTCTGAGATCATGGATTTTTCCTTTGATGCCACAGGGTTCTTTTACGAACAAGATGCAGTTTTTGAATGTATAATGAAAAACTTGAATGAAGCCTCTGAAATCCCCCATGGCGAGAGTCTTCGAATGATGCGTTTAACGGACCAAATCCGTCATCAATTAAAGATTTCTTACCCAGCCGATATTCGTTTTACTACAAATTGATCCAATTAAGATACGATTTCTCTCTCATGTTCACTTTTAATGAATTTTCCTTTCTTATTTAACATTCAACATTTTATGATTTAGTAAGCTGACCAACTCACTTTACGATGTTTATGCGAACCAACTACTACAAGTCTAATTTTGCTACCGTTCCTTTTATAACAAACAGTGTAAACTAAAAAATCATAACAATCTTATTCGGCTCATCTAATTCGTAAATTTATAAAGTCAGTTTAAATGATGCTATTTCAAAAGCCCTTAGCTCAATCTGCAAGGAGCAATCAGCTTCATCTTTTTGTAAGTTGACTTGCCCTATGTCTTCTTCTAAAATATTGCACTTGGTAGCGCTCTTAATTCCACAATTTCTCAATGTCAATCTGCATCTGGACTTACCTCCTAATGACTCATAAATACGAATAATAATGGCATTCTCATCCTCAGCTTTCTTGACGTTACTCAAAATTATGCTTTCATCACCTTCCACTCGGATAAAGTCCAAAGCTTCTGTATTTGTCTCAATAGAATTCTTGTTGACAAATCTAAAGAGACTATTGAGCTTGTAAGCTGCTCTTACGATTTCTGGACTAAGTCCACCTTTATGAGGCAAAAGTGAATAACGGAAGTAATGCTTACCCATATCAGCATGAGCATCCGGTTGCTTTGGAGACCTTAATAATGAGAGTCGCATTAAGTTCCCATGCACAGAAAATCCATACTTGCAATCATTCATTATAGAGACTCCATAATTATACTCGGAATAGTCCGCAAACTTGTGATGACACACTTCAAATTTTGCAATATCCCAGGACGTGTTATAGTGCGTGGGTCTGCGTGTGATACCAAACTGAGTCTCGTAGCTAGCATATTCCGCATGGATGTCCACAGGAAACTCGACTTTTAAGAATTTGTAATCTTCGTGCCAATCAACTTCACAAGAGAAGTCGACACTTGGACGATCAGCATCATTATTAAAACCTGACAATGAAATGATGGTTTTTATACTGCTATTTTCACTAATAGGAGTTTCTACGAGTACTGAGGCTTTAAGAGGTCCTGTTTCATAAAGTTGCGCCTTCCCTTCTGTAAGGAGTCGATATTTATCTAGCGAAAAAATTTCAGTGTCCCAAGCTGGAAAACTCAAAGGAGTATCCTGAAAGATTACATACTGATTGGCACCAGTTTTGTTAATCCCGGATTTTAGATCGAGAACTTCTCTGTCATTCTCTAAATCGTGAATGCTCTTAATTAACCCAGCTTTGGAAATTCGAACTAAAAGCTTATCCGTGCGAAGTACCAAGCATCCATTTGACTCATAGGCTCGAGCTGGATGTTTAACTGTGTTATCTGAACGTGCTAAAATATTTGGGTTTTTATTTGCTTCATAAAAGGATACAGGACTCGCTTGTACACTTTCGTCCACGACACCTCCTACATTCCAAGGTAAAGTGCTTAGAAGGTAATCGGGCAAAATATTATGATTTGTGATTTGTCTGAATCCTAACTGATCTAGAATATTTTTGATCAATTTTTCCGATGACTGGAAGACGTTCTGCATCATAGGTATCGCGTCGTCATAAACCATTTGAATACAGGATCCAGGAAGGACATCATGGAATTGACATAACAAAGTTGTTTTCCATAGTTGGTTGATTTCTTGAAAGGGATATTTGAAATTAGGAATGCGAATAAAGGCCAGAGTAGCAAAATACTCCAAATCATGGAGTGAAAACTCTGCCTTTCTCATTGCAGATTTAAGTTCTGACTGTGTCACATAAGTACCTCGATGGAATTCAAAATATAACTCGCCTACCCATGAGGGTAATGTTGCAGCATTACTCGTGCGTTTGAAGATTCCATCAAAAAAATCATCAACCGAATTTCCAAATTTAATATCAGGTAGAAGTCCCACTGTGTTAGCAACTCCCTTACATCGACGAAGTTTTTCTAGCATTTCAGGAGTAGGTCCACCCCCTCCGTCGCCAATTCCAAACACTAGTAGACCAGCCTGATCGTTGGCTAAGTTTTTGTGTTGAGAAACAGAGTGAATTATGTCTGAGACGTTTGTGTCTGCCGTATAGGTATCTGCAGGTGGCATATGACACAGGACTTGAGATCCATCCAGTGCAACCCAATTGAAAGTAGTATGAGGAAAAGAATTAATGTTATTCCACGAAAGCTTTTGAGTCAAAAACCTACTCATACCAGCAAGACGGCAAATCTGTGGTATCTGACTAGAATAACCAAATGTATCTGGTAACCAAAAAGTGTCGCAATAAATATCAAATTCAGATTTGAAGAAGCGTTGGCCAAAAAGGAATTGACGTATGAGAGACTCACCGCAAGGAAGATTAGTATCATGTTCAACCCAGCTTCCACCAATGGGCAAGAAACGCTGACTAGCAACGTATTTCTTCAGTCGTTCGTAGGTTTCTGGATGGTCTTCTTTTAACCATTCATATTGCTGAGCTTGAGAGCAGACAAAACGATACTCTGGATACCTATCCAGCAGATTTAATTGCGTAGTCCACGACCGTACTATTTTGCGTCTTGTCTCTGCAAAAGGCCAAAGCCAGGCTGTATCAATATGACAATGACCGACTGCATACACCTTTGTTTGATTAGTATTTGTTTCTTCAACGTTTTCGGAGTCGATATGCTCTCCAAGGTATAGTTTCGCAAGAGATCTACATTCTTCAATAGAAGAACCTTCCTCAGGGAGGAATTTATTCATTATTTCGTTACAGAGCTGTCTTGCTCTGAATTTTTGCCAAGAGCTTGATGGGAATTCCTTAGCACTTTGCTGTAGTATCATGAAATCACAGCGCAATGCTCGAGCTTGTAAATTAGGAACTACGAGATCTGCTTTTTTGAGCACAAAATAACGATCGGGATCAGGTGGGGCAATTTGGTCGGTAGATCCGCAACCAAACATCCCATTGCATGCCATTTCGATATAGAAAATATGGATATTGTGATCCCGTTGCCATTGTTCAGGAAGAATGTATTCGGTTCTTTCAGAGCCGCTGAATGCTTGAGCTGGCTGACGATCTTCTGTGTAAACTAGACCCTCATTATCGCAATCCCATTCAAAGATTACTTGCTCATAATCCGACCATGCATCAGGAATACGAATTTCAACTTGGACCCAAAAGGTAGTCCAACTAGGACCAAATACGTCTCCCTTATAAGCAACTTGTTCGAAGTCTACTTTACCAATGATTTCATTAACGTTAGGTCGTTTCAAATTGGGAACCGAGTAAACCTTTAAATTCACATATCCCCTTGAGGGGTCATTTTCGACATCTTTAATAGAGTGGTCAATACGCTGATGATCGTATAAATGCGGAAGATTAAACTTTTTATATTCTCCTTCTGAAAGGAATTGATCAAGATGACTTTCGTAGATCGAATCGACTTGTTTTGCAACTGGAGTATTGTTGTGGACTGGATAGCAACTCATATCAGTAATTATCTTTTGTAAAAAACAATTGAAAAAGAAGGATGATCAGCAAAAGTGTTTCAATTGCAAGACGCTTAGAACTGGACGAGGGTTTAATGAGGCTTATAAAAGTTCAATTGCAGCTAAATTTCTCAACAATAGAGGACGAGGACGATTTCCTTAGACTAGAATTATGTTTATGAAATATAATTTGATTAAAGCGAATTCGGTTTTATTCAACTTGTAAAGCAAGCAGTTCACCCTTTAAGAAATATAGTAATAACCACGTAAATAATCGTCATGGGTAGCAATGGTCGTCCTAGGGCTATGTTAATATACGAAAGAAAAAGATCTTTATAATATAGACAAATAGTGCATGAAGGTCTCTTATAAGGTTTTTTTTGGTTTAAAAAATCAAAGATTGGTGGTAATGCTTGAACTTTATGGTATGTACCAAGTTATAGTGAAGATATTTACTCCTTTGACTATGATACATAATTACTCTCTGTTCCGTAGAATGCATCATTCATTTTCTCCTTTTAGTTTTGTAAAATAAAGAAGCCTTAGATTGATGAAAATTACTTCATACACAAAAAAAAGTGGATTGATCATATCACTAATAAGATGGTTGCTTTTCAAATGGAATTTATCAATACTTCCTATATAATTCTACCAATTGTTTGTAACTCTTTGAAATAAAAAAAAAAATGTTTTCAGGCATATTTGAATCGTTCATAATTCAATAATTCATGTCCTAAGAATTAAATATTCTGCATGGGATTTCGGATAAAAGACGTAAAGCGATGGAATCCAAGACATTGATATTATATACTAGCTTTTGCTATAATTACTCATCTACTTGTCTGGATATTTAACAAGAAAACACTGCTTTATACGTTCGTGTGGGAGTAACATTCTAAGTCAATTCATCAATGAACTTATTGTTTCTAAAAAAAAAATATGAGTACCCTTTATCTGCTTCTTTTTCTGATTGAACCCATTTTTCTTATGTAAGTTTATTCAGCTCTCTTTTCCTTTTACGGATTCGTCACCCATGAAGTAACATGTCTTGTTTCTGTCATGATAGATTCCTTGTTAATCTTATATATATTACAGTACGCAGTAATAGAAGAATATTCATTGGATATTACAAAATGTCATAAGGCTAAAGGATAATATATTACGAATATGTAAATAAACAGTTAAAAGCGTGATACAGAAATCAAGAATCGTGCAATTGGAAACAAAGACGCTTGTGATGATGGAATAATAATTCTTTTGATTAATATTATAAGGAAAGCTTCATATGTATCTGCGTCTACAGTCTGAATCTTCAGATTGGAAGATAGATTCAACTGATCAGGCTAAATAAGGTTGGTTTCAAGAATTTCATTTAGTTTACCAGATCCCTGGATGTTATTACTATTCTTTACGTAATACCAAGTCGTCCAATGGAAATAGACAATTCCGTCCTACTTATTTTTTTCTGCTTGATAAACATTCCCATAACATGTGAGTTTTTTTACCGTGACACACAGATACACAATTAATCATTGTGTAATATAGCGCGACGACAATGTTGCTTCAAGAGTTTTTCATAAATAGATGGAATCAACGTACCTTTCAGCCCAATTTTACTGTCTATCTGGAAAATGCTAATGAACATTCTTTCCCTCTAAGATAATGTAGCAATCGTTACAGCTGACTCATGTGGTATCGGAGCAAAAGTGGCTGAAAAATTGGCACGTCGTGGTGCTAAAGTAGTCATTACCTTCACATCTGACAGCAGCATGGATGCAACTGAACAGTTGGTGAAAAAAATAAAGGGTTTTGGCACCTCAGCAGATGCAATCAAGATTCAGGCAAATTTGCGTGATGTTTCAAGTGCTAAACATATTGTTGATGCCACAGTTCAAGTTTTCGTTTCCATCGTTCATAACCTTGCTAATAATGCAGGGTACGCAGGTCAGCCAAAACCTATAGGGAAGGCGACATTGGAAGTTTTACCAAGACTTTTTATGTAAATGTTCGAGCAGCCTACATCATGACGGAAAAAATAGCTCCGTATTTTCCCAAAATAGGAGGCAGGATCATTAACGTTGGAAGTATTGCTGGAAGGGAAGGCCTTCCGCAACAATCTCTGTACAATGCTAGCAATCTGCGCTTGAAGGTTTCACAAGGTGCTGGGCTAGCGAGTTAGGCCCCGAAGGTCATACCGTAAATCAAGTCAATCCAGGAGCCGTTGACACGGATATGTTATAGGGACTTGGAGAAAGAGCTGGGGTTTTTGAAGAAAATACACCGCCTGAGAATTGCTTCGGCTCCCCTCAAGATATAGCAGATGTAGTTGCTTTTCTTTGCTGATGAGAGTAGTCGATGGATCACTGGACAGGTGATTTCAGCTTCTGGCGGGTTACGAATGCATTAGTCTAATTTATTTCAGCAAAGTGCCTGAACAGTCCTAAAAAAATTTTTACGACTTAATTAGACCAGATCAGACAACTGAAAGTTTATTTTTTATTTTCGGATGACTCCATATCTTGATTTCTGTATCACTTTTTATATCGTTTATTTACAATTTGTAATATATTATCCTTTAGTCTTATCACAGCTGATAATATTCGAAAGTATGATTTTATGATGGTCTATTGTAATATGTATTATATTAACAAAATACCTATCATGTCAGTTTCGTATCATCAGGTTTTATTGAAAAAAAGCAGAAAAAAGTAAAAGAAAGGAAACATAAACCAAGTTTCCTGTCTGATTGAAACTTTATATAAGAAAGAAGGGAAAACAAGCATCTTTTCGTCCGCATTCTCTTGTATTTATCATCCATCATACAGCTTTTTTGACGCTTACATATTTAAGACAAGAAGGGAAATCTTTCGTTTAGTCCATAAAGACTCTTTCAGCTTTTGCATTATAACCAAAATACTATCGTCGATATCTGTAAACATAAGCAGGTATCATTTTTTGTTTGATCATGTATTTGCAACTCGCAAACGAACTTTTGCATTGTGGATAATCAAAGCCATTATGTCTTTGAAAGCTTATGTTTTGTTACAATTGCGCTTTAGAATTGGATGACGAGCATACTTTGACGTGTTCGATAATGGTCGCTTTGTTTGTGAAGAATGGGAACAGAATAGGAACAAAAACAAAGAGAGTCGGGGCTAACTAATTCAGTCCTTCCATAGAGGGTATAAATAGGAGTCTTTCAAAGTGAATTCTTCATCCAAAACTTGATTTGCTTTTACGAAACATTTACTTTTGTTTTTTGGCCAGAACGAACTTTTCCATTCATCTGCAATATGGACACCATGAACAACGCCAATAACTCTAGCTCTTCTTCTTTGATGAACAATGCTCCCTCCAAGCCTACTGTTACTACCAGTGGAGCTTATTGGTATCAACCCAAGCCTCCTGCAATGTGGTATGAAACTTACATTTTCGTTTAATGGATGATGCTTCATGAGTATTACATACTAACTTTTTTTTTCCTTAGTATTATTGCCTGAAACTTATTTGAATTTTTTTGATGTATCCTCTTTGCTTTTATGATTTTCTTGAATTGCTAGCTACTCTGATTTTCAATGACTCTTTTGTGCTCATTATGAATATATATTGAGAACGTTTCCATTAATTTTGCTTTTATAATTTATACTTTTAATACGATTTTTTTATTTAAAAGGAACAAAAACAGAAACACGCCTTTTAATAGATCCATTACCATACTATAGTAGTATCATCTATAGGGTATAATTATCATTATTAGGGAAAGAATTCCAACCTTTGTGCACAAATTCATAGACAGGCCGTTAGAAGAATCATAATTTCGTCAACAATGAACGGGGTCTGAAGTGTCACAGACCGGTTCAAAAAAAAAAAGAAAAAATAATTAGAGTACTTCCGAGTAATGCTATCATTACGATTTCCCTTCAAGCGGAGTAAATCTCCAGGTTTTGTCGCTATAATAATGAAAAGTATACCCACCATACTGGCAAGGACTAAAAGAGTTCTTGTCCTTGGGAGTAGCATTCAAGGTTTCCCCTGGTTTCTGGAAACCACAAAAGAGACGGATACAAACACCATGGGTTACGACTGCTAAATTTTTTTGAGGTACCCTGGCAAAGTATTCAGCTAACTGTTGAGTCTTTAGTACACTGGTCTCAAAGTCTGCTTTGTGGATTCCTTCCTTCTTGGGATATAACTTGTCCTCGTAACAGGCTGAAAAGTCATATCTAGGAAATTGCTGTTCCAATTCTGCAGTTGGTGTTCCGACGTTACATTCCCAGTCGCCGCAGTCTTGTAAAGTAGGAAGGATCTTTACCGGGACATGGCCTTCTTTCAGGTAATCCTGGAATGCAATTTGCATGGTTTCAATAGCCCGGCGCAAAGGAGAACAAAAAATGATCTCCACAGGAAGTTCTGCATCTCTTAATTCGTCTCGAACCTTTTCAGCTTGCTTGATGCCTTCCTCATTTAACATAGGATCGTGATCTCGATGAACGCCCTGTTCATCGGTCTTGTGATCAACTAATCCATGGCGTAAAAAGTAAATAGTTTTCATATTATCTTGCCTAGGAGCAAAAGCCATACTTCCAAAGCTTTGTTCCTTCTTACTTTGAGATTTGGCGGATGCCCTTTTGGATATAACATCGCTGTTATTTATATTTTACCTATGAAATCAAGATCTGCAACAGTTAGCTATTTCATGACAATACATTTACGTGCACTATGCGTGATGTGAATATGTAGTAAGATGCTTACACTTTCCATCTCATTCATGGAACACTAGAATGGTGAAAATGGATCTCGAAATCAACCGTTTCATTCTGTCGCTTATAAAAGAGCATTTTTACTTGCTTATTAATTGATTTTTAATTTCATGAAGAAAGCATAGGAACACGAATTTATTGGAATCATACTAAAGAGTTCTTATTATTTACGAACAAAGCTCTTTGTAATACACTCTTCTACTGTACTAAACAAAAACGAGAAAGAATTATGGAAATAGTAGAAATATTCATAAAAGAAATCGTAAGCACTCTATAAACAGTAACCAAGCAAAGGAAAGGCAAGTATAAAAATCTACTCATCAGCAATCTTGGCAAGAGCCTTACCAAAGTTCTTTCCTTGAAGGACACCAATCAAGCCTTCAGGAATCGAACCCAAGCCCTTATAAACGTCGTACTTATACTTGAGCTTTCCTTCCGCAATCAATTTAGGCATTTCACGGAAGTATTCCTCTTGGTAAAGTGGGATCAAATTCATGACAATGAAGCCCTCAATCGTAAGACTCTTCGTAAGAATTTGAGCATAATTCTTCAAGCCATAAGGATTGGGATTGTTATACTGACTGATGGCTCCGCAGAAAATGATGCGAGCGTGAAAGTTGGCATTCATGAGAACGGCATCCAATGTTTCACCTCCAACATTTTCAAAGTAAATGTCAATACCCTTAGGACAGAGACGAGGAAGAGCATCATGAACACTTTCATTTTTATAGTTGAAAGCTGCATCATAGCCTAATTCCTTCAAGTGGGCGATTTTCTCGTCAGATCCCGCACTTCCTACAACGTATAAGCCCATAGATTTCGCCAATTGGCCGGCGACTTGACCGACAGCACCAGAAGCCGCAGAAATGTAGATAGTCTCGCCTGCCTTGGGTTTTCCAACATGTTTAAGTCCAACGTATGCCGTCTGACTGGGCATTCCTAAAGCACCCACAAAGGTCATCAAAGGCAAATTGTAAGGATTGGAAATAGGCTGCACCATCTTCATAGCGTCTTTGGGTACAAAAGTATATTCTTCCCAACCGCTCATAAAAACCACATGGGAGCCAGTCTTGTATTCTGGAACTGCAGACTTGACGACTTCAGCCAACGTCAAGTTTGGAATCACCTGTCCTAAATCCAAAGATGGCAAATAACTCTTACGTTGAGGACTTTGCATGCGAATGCGAATGTAAGGGTCAATAGAAGTGTAAATGTTTCTCAAAAGCAAAGGATGCTCTTCATCCACCTTAGCAGCTTCCAAATTAAAAGGACGTTCCTCTAAACCAAAATGTTCTCCAACTTTGGGATATCCTTCGACAGGATCAATATGCTTTCTCAAGATAATACCGTTATTCGAACTCATACTGTTAACAATAATTCAAAGGCTGTATTCTTGGTATACAGAACTTTAGTAGGGAGCAACACCTCCTATTTATATTCTTCTGTTTTCTGCGTCATTAGTAATACATCTCTCGGTTTTGCAGTCAGAGAAGCCGATCGAAAGTTTCGTTAGAAAGGGGTTAGCGAAGGTTATTACACTTAAAACAAGCATGATGTTAGTAAGCAAAAAACAAAGGAACAAAACAAGTAAAAAGAGAAAATTGAAGTGTTACCACCTTGATATTTTTAATCAAGTTCTAACTCCTAAAACTACACAAAATGTCTTTACTGTTTCCGTTGAAAAGCATGGGCGTTCGAAATAATCTTTTGTTCAAAACTTACAGATGCAGATTTGCACAGATATCTTACTTCTAAAGTCGTAAAGATCGCTTCATTCCAAAATTAGCATTTTTCTTTGCTTTAATCGCTACTCAAAAAAGCAAGTATGACACAAAAATAACAAAAGCCAACTTTCTAGCTTGTTTTTAGGTTTCTTGTCCAAAAATTTTCCTAGTTTTGCAGTATCGAATCAGCGGAAAAGAAATCTTATATCTAACTTTTTGATTCTTCAAACTTTCTTCTCTTCCTACGAGTACGCTGAACTCGTTTCCGCAGGACCTGACTAAGGAGTCGATGAATCGGTATGCTTCGAATAATCTCATAGATAACTATGGCAAAACCCAAATTAAAGGCAGCATAGCCTATAAGGATACCAAAATTTCTCCACCGATGATGGTAATAATACCCAAAACCAGCCAACAGTTCATCTGCAATTTTGTACGGACAAAACTCACAACTTGAGAGAGCTTCCGGATTATAAATAATGCCGGCACCAGAGGATTGTAAATAATCAGAAAAGTATGCTCCACAGGTATACCCCATAGGAGGATCTACCACGTACATTTCAGTACGTTCGCATATAATTGGGACGTTATGTAGATTATTTCCAATCATTCCTTCAAGGAAATATTTATACGGGCTAAGATCATTCATCCATTTCCAAAATCCTACTAGTTGGCTAGGCTTTTGAACCATACCATTGAAATATTGCACAAATACGAAAGCAGTACCGCTTAGCAATGAAGCAGTACCCGAACTAGAAGAAACTGTAGCAATGCCTATACCGAGGGTAGTATAATACAAAGCGAAAACCATCATCATCAACCAGGCGTAACCACCATAAAAAGGGGTATTGTGACCATTTAAATAATAGCCACTTGGATAGTACCAACAAAGAAAGAATATTGTTCCAAAACAACAATTAATCACTGCTTCCGTGATGAAGAATGCCAATATAAAAGCAGGACGGCTATAGGTGGCAGAGTTCTCTTCATGATACTCATAAATATCACGTAAATGAATAAATTTTGGTATTAATCCGTTAATAAGAGAAGTAGAAGCAATTGTTAACATATAGGCAGAGAACATTTTATTCTGTGTTCTCTGTATTCCATTGCCTTGTTTATAAAACGTAAATCCGATAAGCAACCCAGCCAGCGTATTAAATGCCAACCGACTAATCAGAAGTGTAGAATCTCTCCAGTAAGAGGTGAAATTTCGCCTCATAATCTTAAACGTTTGGTAATGCGTACTACTTAGATACTCCTGTTCGGAGCGTACTTCTTGATCACTCATCTCGCTACTCATTAATCTGTCTAATTCCGGTATAAGACGTTTATGCGCGTCTGACGATTCCCACGCAGCTGCATAGTCCACTTCTTCACTTTCGTTTGAATAGTATACACACTTTAGTACATAGTCTGCCGGATCTTTGTCACTATTTTCATCGTTTCCATGAATTTTCTTGAAATACTTTGTCAGCTTCAAAGCATAGCTGCCAACTTCATCGAGGTAGACAGTCCGACCATAACCATCAAGAATCATTATAGAATGAAATAAATTAAGAAGTCTCGAGCTTGGTTGCGAAACTGAACACATTATGGACAAACCTGCATTTGCTAATTTTCGAAGTGTAGCAACAAGCATCCAAGCGGACTGACTATCAAGACCAGAGACGGGTTCATCCAGAAGAAGAATAGATCCTGGCCTTGCAACTAACTCAATCCCAATTGCTGTAAGCTTTTTGTGATATAATGATAAACCTCCACCTGTATCGCCCACAACGAACCTAGCAACATCTAATAGACCCAGAAAATCGATAACCTTATCTACATACTCATACCGCTCGGACATAGATATGTCAGCACTTTGACGAAGTGAAGCGTGCAATCGGAGAGTCTCTCGCACAGTATACTGGGGAACAAACATTAGTTTGTTCGAAATATAACCAATCCTTTTCCGTAAATATTTGGAATTTTTTATCCCGTCCAAAGATACTTGTCCTTCAACAATTCCCGATACACCACGTTGGGAAAGGATTTTAATAAGTACGGATTTACCTGATTTATTTTCACCAACCAATGCCATTAAACATCCAGGTTTTACATAACCATTGAGCTTTTGTAATACACATTTCTGCACTCCATCTTCCAAAATGTAAAAGGACAAATCTTTCCAACACAGTGACAATTCATCCGTCGTTCTCAAAGACGTGGAGATGTCCATTGCCCTATGAGCTTCGCCTTCTTTTTTCTGCTTTAACGCCGCTTCGCTTGAATTATTTGCCCATGAACTCTGTACAGTCGTGTATAGTTTTCTCAGTTGATATTCAGGAATAACCATACTCGTTCTATCATATCTGATATAGTTGGCTACTACCAGAGATAGCAACAAGATAAAAATTGCAAACCCAAGAATAATACCGCAATTTTTCCATAAAAAGTCGGTTGTATATTTGAAAACGACATTCAAGTAACTGGAGCCTATGATATAAGGAATTCCTGGCATGCTGGAAGGAGAAGGACATATATTGTTCTGTAGAGGGAAACGTAAATTTGGTATAATCGCTGAACAATTGAATATTCTATCCTTGAACTCATTCAACATGACGGATTCATACCCATACTGAATAGGGTTGGCATAGGCAAGCCATCGAAACCACCATCCTATATAATTGATTGGCATAACGGAACCGCAAAATGAAATGAAATAGATAGCAGCGATACCACCTATCAAAGCAGCAATCTCAGCTGTAGTGGAAAGTAAAGCAATGAACCGAAAGATTGATGCCATACAAAAAGTAATTAAAACGGTGAAGAGAAAAAAGGTAAAAAAAGCACCAGCCTTGACTCTTAAACCGCTCAAGAAATAAACGACTATATCAAACATCACAACAAATACCAAACGAAGAGGAAATTCCACTAAGATTGAGCCAAACAAAGTTGCCGAAGGTTGATATAAGGACTGAATCTGATGTTCAGCAAATAGAGACTTTTTCGTAAATATAATATCTACCTCAGACATTGTTTGAATGGCAGTAAATATGATTGATGCTGAAAGTAAACTACCTCGAGAATAAAGGGTTGCAGAGGTATTTTCTATGAGGTAGAAGATAGAGCCAAGCATAAAGCCTTGAAATATATAAGAAAAAATAAACGTTAAATGAAAAGCATAGTCATGAAGATAGTGGAAGTACGTTACTTTAGCAAAGGCCAAGACTTGTAATCTATAAGGAACGGGACAAGGAATCCGATTAAAGAAGCGTTTCCACTTTACGATGGGAGTATTGGATGAATCCTTTGTATGAAATGCCGAAACGTCACTATGATATTCCCTATACTCGTTAATTGTAGATATTAAGTGCGCATAATCCTCGCTTTCAAGCCAGCATTGACGGAATTCAGCAGGAGTAGATGGTATAAAGCCTTTATGGCTTTTATTAATGGTTCGAAGCCCTGGATAGAACAAGGAAGTGACGAATTCACCAACAGTACTATGACTTTGTGGAACGAAACCGAGATTTAAAAAGTAATCCTTTACACGGGAACTCGGACCGTAGAAGATTTGCTCACCTTCATATAAAACTGTTACCATATCAAACATACGAAAGATCTTGTCAGAAAGTTGATTGGAAATGGCAGTCAGAGTCATTCCGAAGACGCGCGAGATGATTTTGATTCTTGAAAGAACGTGGGCAGCGGTGACCGAGTCGAATTCACGCAGTGTGTTGTCCCAACATTGAAATAACGGCCGTGCACACATTGTCTCTGCGATACCGATGCGTTTCTGATCACCTCCACTATTAACTTTCAAAACTCGATGATTAAAAAAGCTATTCAATTCAAATGCATCGCATATAATCTCACAGATCCTTTGAATTGTCTTTTCACGAGAGACTCCGGGCTTTTTCACTTCAGGGAGGCGGCAAGCACAGACAAACTCTAACAAACGGCGCACAGAAATGGTTGCAAATGACGAGTGGTCATCGCTGTGATAACTTAGATCAGTCTTATATTGACTATGCATTGTGCGGTAATCCAACCCATCATAGTTTAGCTCTCCTTCTAATGTTTGATTTTCTTCGACTACTCCGCTCAAAACTTTGAGCAAATTATGAGCTCCCGATCCTTCATGTCCAATTACTAATAAAAAGGCACCTGGATCCAATAAAGCATCAAATTCCTTTACCATAGGGATCACATTACGTTTTGGTCTTCTAGAAAACAGCACGTTCAAGGGATACATCAGTTGATCCATAAGAGAAGTAATCATGAGCCGTTCATTAAATTTTCCATTAATCCTAAATCTTCGCGCGCAAAACCCCGTGACTCGGTCACGAATTCCAAAATCTTCCAACGTTTTTGCATACTCTCGTATCCTCTCTTCAAATTCTTTTGCTGAATCTAAATCTTCACTGACAGGTCCTGTGGTACCTACCTTTTTTTGATTAATCTTCTTCATGAAACTTTTCCAAGTTTTCCGTCAGATCAAACCCAAGAAGCTCTCTCACCTTTTCACCTTTATAAACCCTTAAATGGGAAAAAGTTTCCATATGAACGAGTTTGAAAAGTAAGATGACGTTAACTTTGTTGCTTTGAAAAATTGCTGCGAATAACACGTCAGCATAATAAACTACCGAGATGCATGTTTCGACAGGTATTTTACTCTATTCTATTTTGTTTTTTAAAACTCAGAAATTGCTAATGACAAATTTAACCCACAATATGCATTTTTATTAGACAAAAGCTTTGTTCATGGTTTTGGTAGTAAGAGAAATAAGGAATTTCATACTGCTAGGTTACGATAATAAGAACAATTAGCGAACTACTATTAACATGATTTAAGGGCTACTACACGCTCGAATCTATCTCCCTATTGAAATTGGATTGTATAAAAGGTTGAGTTTTACAGGGAAATGTGAACGAAGTTTATAACAAAAAAGATAAAATATTATTTAATTATGCAATCAAAATATGGTAGATATTGGAAAGAATGGAAACGGTACTATGGAAAATGATTGAAATTTCACCAGGATATAGTCCAGTTGCTTGCAAAAGCCCCGGTAGAAGTAAACTTATCCAAATTGCTAAGTACCAATTCTTGGGTAGATTCAGAATAAGTATAAGAGCTGATGTTGTCATCATTGAAATGAACTTGTTTAGGGGAAGAAGAGACACCTAGAATGGTGACATTCGCCAATGGTACATCTACTTCATAGGTGCCAAAAGAAACACTGGAGAGTTTGTTGGATTTAGCAGCAAAATCAACCCAGAGAGTAGCATTGGGAGTGATGGAAACACCATCATCGGCGTACAAGTTACCGTAAGCATTTCCTTGCTTGTCGAGGGCAACAAGAAGGTTGAAAGGATTCTGACGAGTTTCATGAGTGGTATAACCAGGGACTTGCATAGGAATAATTTTATTGCCACGAATAGCAACGTTGATGTGTTCGAGAGGTGCATCCATAGTTTTATTTTCATAAGGCTTGTGCTCAATAGAAGTGTGGTTGTACCAGTCATACCATACAACGTCTTCACTTCCAGGGAAAACACCATTTACTGTAGTTGTGTTGGGTTCCAGGACTGGAGTAACTAACAAAGAATCACCAACCATAAATTGACGATCAGCTCCGGCTAAAAGAGGCTCGTCGGGGAATTCAAAGAAAAGAGGGCGGATTAGTGTGCTTCCATCATAAGAGGCCTGTCTAAATAAGGTGTACCAGTAAGGCAACAAGGAATAGCGGATGTGCATGGCTCGGCGAGAAGCTTCAGCAACAGAAGCCCAAAGATAAGGCTCTTGGTGAATACTGCCTAATTGGTTGTGATTCCTATAGTAAGGAGAAAAAGCGCCCATTGCCATCCAACGAGCGCAAAGTTCTTCGTCAGTATCATCTTGGAAGCCACAAACATCAGCACCAACCATAGGAACACCCAGCATATTAAAAACCATCATTCCCGAGATTGAGAAAAACATATTAGGCCAGTTAGAATGGTTGTCTCCTAGCCAATGAGCAGAATAAACTCCAGAACCTAAAAAGGTAGAACGACTTAGGATGAAAGGACGAACACCGGGTTGTAAATCACTTAAAGCCTTGTGAGTAACCTTGATTTCTCCATATCCGTAAATGTTGAACAAGTTGTAACGGAGTGTTCCATCGTGGTGGGTAGCGTTTGGACTGACACCATGGTTAGCCAAATCATGGTTCCCTTGTTCGGTATTGATAGCATAAGGAGGATGATTGATGTCAAATTTAGGTTGTACACCAAGCGGGACAGCTGTGGGATAAACGACTTGCATGGAAGAAGTTGCAGTGGCATAATATTGACTTAAAGAAGCGCTACTGGCGGAAGCATATTCGGTGGCATTAGTAAGGTTGAAGCCGGCGGGATAATTCAAAGCAAGGTAACCAGGCTCACCGGGGAGCTTGAAGGGAGCATGAACAGGGTTCAGGTTGACTAGTTCAGAACCACAGGATCCAACACAGAAGGACGAAGGTTCGTTCATGTCCAGCCATAGTCCGCTAAAGGGGATATAATCAGAAGAATTAGAGCCAAAAGCATAGGACATATTATGTATACCGGCTTTCCAATAATCCTGAACTTTAGGATTGGTAAAATCAGGAAATACAGTGAAACCAGGCCATACTTCTCCAATATAAAGGCTACCGTCAGGGTTCTTGAGGAAGATGTCCTTCTCAACACCTTCATAGTAAGGTCCATAGGTGTCGTCAGAACGATTGGATGGGTTAGCGGCATAGACAGCGGCATCAACAATGGGAACGTAGTGTTGATGTGTAGATTCAATGTCATTGAAAAATTCAATCATTTGTTCACGAGAGTAAGATATGGGATCAACAGTAAAATCGCGCAGATTGTGCATGTAATCGATATCACTCCAAAAGGTTTCAATTGGGATGTTGAATTTACGCATATTTTCGCGAATCTGCATAATTTCGCTAATGTTTTCGTAACCCCAGCGGCACATGTGGAAACCCATAGACCAGTATTGCTGCATTTGAGGAAAGCCAATAGAACCAACAAATTGTGTGATAGTGTTTTGGGGTTTCTTACTACCAGCATAGACGTAAAGATCGATAATACCACCAATCATTCTATACTGAAGATATTTAGGACGTAGCAAGACGTCCATACCGTTGGCAGTAAGCATTAATACACCGTGGGAGGAAGAAGTATATGTGGGTTGGTCACTGTTGGAGTCGGAATCAACGGGCTTATATCTTTGCTCCAGATAGAAAGGATGAGTACCATACATGTTTTGATCAAGAGGGGAAGCTTCGTCATTAGCCCAGAAAGTACGAGTGAGGTTGTTGCCCAAACGTAAGCCGTGAATGGTTTCAGCAAGACCATAAATGTTGTAATTGTCAACCATGTTGGTGGTGAGCTCGATGTACTGGTTTTCAAAAATCAAAGGGTGTCCTCTTGTGTCAAATAAGACTTCGCCATCGCTTTTTCTGGTAATCCAAAATTCAAAGGGATCGGCATTGAAGGAGAAATTATAGAGGATGTTTGATTTATCGACAGAGGAAGAATAGTGGTAGAGGGGTGCGTCCCAAACATCATGGCGGTTGCTGAATTGGAATTGAGTGTTATTCACGTCACGAATTGAGACGTGAATACGGTCTTCTGTTTCGTAGGTGACATTCAGGTATAAAGCGGAATAGTCAGTACCGTAAGCATAGCAAGGGGAGCCAATAAGTTCCAAGGTACCCGTAACACCTTGTTCGGTTTCCGAAATGTCCTTGGCACGGTAGCCATGGCAATTGCCTCCGCGGTAAGGCTCGTAGATTGACACACGCTGTGGAATGCCCGATTGAGGAGGGACGGGAGTCGGCTCTGCGCGGTAACTGGTTGAACTTGCTGAGTCTTCAGCTAATAACACAGATGGAAGGGAACAGAGGAATAAGAGGAAGAAGGACTTTGAAAACAGATATGAAGAGAGCCGCATGATGAGTTAAAACAAGTTACTTAACATAAACTAAACAGGCTTAAATAACTATTAGAAAATAAAGAAATTTGGATAGCAAATTAACCCTCAAATAAACAACGATCTTAAGAAATCGTATTATCAAAGTTTGTTATTCAACCTTGACAATAATATGATATCCGAGTGACAAAAGATGATAATATCACAGGTTATTCTCGCTTCGCTTTATTTAAGTTGGTGATTCGCTTAAAATTAACCCCAAGTTATATGAAACGTGAAAACCTGGCAAAATCAAGGTATATTAAGGGTAAATTGGTAAGATTATGAAAAAGGAGAGGGAACTCGCAAAAGACAGGGCACAAACCAAATATTATGAACCGTAATCTATGAAAAAGACCAGGGTAAATGGGTAAAGCTAAGTTAGGGAATGTTTGTTTTAGATTTCGCAAACTAAGTTTTAGTTGAGCAGCTCAAGATGAAGAACCAAACCAAAAATAGGTAGAGAAAACAGTTGAAAATAGACTGAATTTATACAATTTCTTTAAAGTAAAAAGTATCGCATGACGGAGAATCTCAGATACGTAATAAAGACGAATAGGAGTAGAATTATTCCTTCATAGGTTTATCCTTGACAGGGGAAAAGTTTAATAGATCCAAAAGTAAACGGATAAGGAGGAATCATGAGATAAAAGAGGTAACGTTGTAACGAAGAATTTCAGCGAATCTGGAGATGCAGAATCTTGATCGATCTATTAAGGCATAATGCCTGTTTTGCGCAGATCAAAAGTGACAGTTAACGTTCGCTGGAGAAGACCATGTGATCATTTTCTCCACAATTGGAACAAATAGAAAGCCTACCACGCATCCGTTGAAGTGCGGAGAAATCGGTTGTATTTGCGGAGAATTATGCCTTTATTTCACTCCTTCCGATCACCAAGTGATGAAATAGAAACAGGTGAACATTTTTTTGTTTTATCATTTTTCAAAAAGGATAAAATAAAATAAACAATCGTTGATTCTAGATGCCTATGTGTAGCATGGTGTTTGAATCGCAGTTTTATGTGAACTTGTTAATTTAAAGTTACAGTTTATTAGCGAAGAGGAGAAAGAACGTTTTTCTCCACTTTCTGGTTTTTTAAGGTAGCTGATGATCAACAAGAGGGGTCAGGAAAACGTTCTACCATGATTGTGGAGGATGCGGAGATAAGGGATGAACCATTATGGGTTGGTCAAAAGGAACCCCAGCATTTAGTAATTTATTTTTATAAGCATTTATAAACAACCCATAAACCTTCAAATGAATCCTTAAAAAAGGTTGAAATGCTATAGGATTGGTCTTCTAGTTTTATCGTTCAAACATATAAAGATGAGTATTTTGGATGCAGAGTTTTCTTATAATACCACTTTTTGAATGCGACGATGGGGTTGTATTCTCACATTTTTGCCTTACCACCACGACTAAAGCTCAAAGATTGGATTCTAGTGGATCGATGGACGAGACGAATACATACATACAAGGAAGGTTCCATGGTTTCGCCATATGGCTTTTACAAATCAATGCCAAGTCATGGAACGAATTGTATACGCTTACGTGAATCAATGTGAAGAAAATTAAACAAACAATACTATATGTTTGTTGGATACGATTCTATTCGCTCTGGCCTTATGATCAAAAATAATTATCATATCATTCATGAATTGTAATATTTTTACGTCTATAATCAATTGAATCGTAAGAGGAGTATTTTATGCCTTCAAAGCTTGGAGGGCTGCCTTGGCTGTAGAAGCGGCACTTTGAGGATTGACACCGGTCACGACGCGAGAATCGCTCTGAACGAAATCATCATTGGGAGAAGCAGGATCGATAAATTTAGCACCAGCTTTTCTGAAAGCATCGTTCATGGTTTCCAAGTTCTTTTTCTGCATAATGTCCAACATGTTCATACTCTCTTCCCCGGCTTTGTTAAAGGCTGTAACATTACGACCTTCGACAATGGAAGAAGCATTATTACGAGTCAAATCAGAAATGAAAGGAAGGATGCAAGGACCATGACAGACGGCTGCTATAACACCGCCATTTTTGTAAATTTGAGCGGCAATGGCTTGTAAATCAATAGCACCTGGTAGGTCAAAGAGGGCAGCATGTCCACCAGCAACGAAATAAATATTATATTCTGAATAGTCAACATCAGCTGCACGCTTCATATTTTTTATGGCGGTCCAGAATTCGTGGCTCTTATCATGAAGGACATTCTTTACATGTTCAGGTAATTTGGACTCATCGACGGAATTGTCGTCAAAATGGCAAGTGCCTTTCTCGGAAGTGATATCAACGTCTAAACCTGCTTGGCGGAAAACTTCGTAAGGGGTCAAAAGTTCTGAGAAATGTACGCCTGTGTTTTTGCCATCTGGATAGATGGGACCATAATAACTACTGGCTACTAGCAAAGCTTTTCCTGGCATGATGAATACTAAGAAAACAAAAACAAATAGCAATCAAATGAGGTTTTCAATAAAAGCGATGGAGATTCGTATGAATCGAGTCTCTTTATATATTATATTTCTCGACTATAATGTCACGAATGACGACTAAGAATACCTAATTCAACCGGTAGTTAAGTAACTCCAAGTACTAACGTCAACCGACGTTTCACTTAGTGAAGAAATCATATAATGACGTCTTCCTAAAAACACTAGTCGAGAAGAAAATTGAAGAAAACAATGTACCAATAGTTCGAAAAGCTAACCTATCCTTTTCTATAGAATTCTGAAACACGAAAAATCTTTGCAGTTCTAAGGACCCCTACTTTCTACGGTTCTAGCTACTGTGCAACTGGTAGTGATTTACAAAAATTTTTTAATTCTAATTATGTAGGATACTCTTCTCTTGCTCCGATTGGAACTCACATACCATTTATTTTTCAAAAAATGATATTACTTTTCAATCTCGCTTGGCAGAACACTTTGAAAGGGATCAATAGTTCTCTGCGATGATAGACCCTTGTGTCTTATATCAAGAAAAACGAAACATAACAGTTGCTTCCCTGGCATTTTTGATCATTCGAAGGTACAAAAGACTGGAGACAATAAATACAACGTATTTCATAAATTGCTTATAGAAGTTTTTCTTTTATAGCGAGGATGTATGTATACGCTTATTTTCAGTTTTAAAGTCTTTTATTATCGATCTGGACAAATTTAATATTCGTATGCAAGTGAAGGGGGATTCTCAAATGAGCTTTGTTCCTTGGACATAAAAAAGAGTATCAAAGGCTCAAAACTAAAAACATTTTGCTCTACACTGGAAACAATTACGATTGTTTCTATCTTGGCAAAGCAATCCCATCGAAATTTAAAAAGTATAGATGGAGATTATGCTCAAGAGCATTTGATAGCTGTCCCAGTTTTAGAAAGAGACTATGCGAACTATATGGAATAATAAGAAGGACCAACTTCAGAAAAAGAAAATTTTATCTACTCACTAATGTTTTCGTTTTTATTTATCAGTCAAAAACACACGGGCAATTTGTTTGATCCTCATACAATTATTAAAACCATATCATCGTGTCACTGTGGGATGTGACGTAGACGCCGAAAGGAATGTGGGCAGTTTCGTCATGGGACAAATAAACAATATGTAAGCGAAATGGATATCATGAAAAACGAATATGATAATTCCAAATTCACGCGACTGATATGAAAAACAAAAGTAAAGGACAAATAAGCGCTTTTACTATATGTATATCCTGTGTGGATGAAGCTCATGAATGTGTCAATTTAAAAAAAAAAAACACTGGATGTTCTAAACTGGCATATTTTTAGTTTATCCGACTAAGATCCTTTTCGTCTCGATTCTTTCTATTCATTGATTTCTTCTCTTTCTTTTTTTTTATGCCTTGAATGTCTAGGTTCATACTACGGCCGGCTTTTGTTGCCATAAACCACGACGTTGTAGAATGAGAATTGACATCATATCATTTCGTAACAAAATGGGAATTTCGCATACGATATTTAAATAATTATGTACTGTGGAAGAAAATAAAAAAAATATATATATACAGGATTGAATTCAGCGAAAATACTTTTGAAAAACAAAGAGAGAAAAAAGAATAAATTGGTTGATTCAATTCATACATCATGAACACTGCCCTATCGAATTGCCGGCATCATGAACACTGCCCTATTGAATGGTCCGGCATCTTGAAGCTTGCCTTTTTATCATAACCTTCTTTTCCGTAATATGCAATCATTCTCTTACATTATATAAAGGAGTCAATGGAAGCATAAATATTCTGTCAACCTTTTGAATCAATCAAAAAGTGAGAGGTGGTTTAATAACGAACGTCCTTTCATAACCAGAAAAGGCTTTACTATTCCTATCTATATTGGCTTATAACTGTTTGATTATACTAGTCTTTTTCATCAAGTGATTTTTAGTTACCCCATGTATCGTAATTACAGTTGGTATAAGGCTACAGAGCCTAAAACTTACGAGTCAGAGATTTATGATAATGGTCTCAAATTTGAGCGACCTAGCATCAGCGTCGATCCTCAATCATGGGAGCCTTTAGCCATCGACCGCATGTCTAAAGATGCTACCGGCTATATTTATGGTTCTGCAGGAACACGTGAGACAACCGATAAGAACGACAAGTCTTACAAAAAATGGTCTATAATTCCTAGACGTTTAGTCAAGTCTGGCTTCCCAAACTTAAGTACTAAAGTATTTGGTATGGATTATTCATTCCCCATTGCTCTCGCTCCCATCGGCGTTCAAATGATCTTTAATCCAGAAGGAGAACGTGGTTCTAGTAGAGCAGCTACTCTGGAACATGTTCCATATATCATAAGTACCGCTTCTTCCTTAAGCTTTGAAGAAATTGCAAAAAGTAGCGGCCCTGGAGAACGCTGGTACCAGCTTTATTGGCCTTCTAACGAGAATAACGACATCACCGCCAGTCTATTGAAGCGCGCAAAGGATACTGGCTGTAAAGTTCTTGTTGTCACCTTAGATACATATATATTGGGCTGGCGTCCTTCTGACATGGACAATGGTTACGATCCTTTCCTAAAGCCCGACCAAGTTGGTGTTGCCCTAGGATTTAGTGATCCCGTCTTTCGCAAGCGCTTCAAGGAAGAACATGGTGTTGAGGTCGAACAAGATTTACACAAGGCTGCCCGTGAATTTTCTAGCATTATTTTTCCTGGTATTTCTCACGACTGGGAGGATTTGAAGTTCCTTCGAGAGCATTGGGATGGCCCTATTGTTCTCAAAGGTATTATGAGCGTCCCTGATGCCAAAAAGGCTGCCGAGCACGGTATGCAAGGTATCATCGTCTCCAACCATGGAGGTCGTCAACAAGATGGCGGTGTAGCTTCTTTAACAATGCTTCCGAAGATCGTTGATGCTGTCGGTGATAAACTTGAAATTCTTTTTGACTCTGGTATACGATGTGGTGCTGATATTGTAAAGGCACTTGCTCTTGGTGCGAAAATGGTACTCATTGGTCGTCCTTATGCTTATGGTTTGGCCATTGCAGGTACAAAGGGTGTTTCTCATGTGATTCGTTGCCTTTTAGGCGACCTGGAATTAACCTTGCATTTATCTGGTGTTCCTTCCGTTTCTCCTAAGGATTTGAACCGTGATCTTTTATTGCTTGAAGACAACTAAATTTCATACTTGCTTTACGTTTTATTTATGAACTTTATAGTCTTTGTTTGCATGATAACAGCTTCAGAACAGTACTGTTAACTTGAAAATAATGAGCATTTCATTTATTCTCAATAAATATCAGTTTTGCCGTCATTTGTAAAATATTTAAACAAAAAAAAAAGAAAAGTCTATTAGAATTAAACCAAGGATTAAATAGAATTAATTATACAAATATTAACAATTAGTACTAGGGAACGCTTTAAACACGACCGAGTTCAAACAAGTTAGATCTGTCGTCAGTACCAAATAGATTATTCCGCCATTGAAATTCTTCAACTGGCAGATCGTTTTGAGTTATAAACAGCTCGCTCTCCGTAGTACCATCAAAATCTGCAGAAACATCTTGGCTTGCAATACCGTTGTCCCCATCTAAATCATTTCTCAAATCCACAAATTCGTTGGAAGGCATTAAATAGTGTCTTGAGAATGGAAATTCTCGGTTTAAAGGGGATGTCGAATCTTCCATTGTTGTTCCATATTCTAAAATGGACGCAGGGAACCCTGGAATTTTATATTTTATAAACGGTTGCTTTTCAACATAATGAGATCGATAATAGTTATAGATCATTTTGAAAGTTTGTAGCATTCCCTTATTAAAAGTCCAGTATTTGGAACGCTCACGTAAGATTAAGTAATCGATTCGAGTAAACTGCAAAGCATCAAGATATTCGTTGTTTGTATTTTGTATGCAAAATCTGTTAAGCATATGTATAGTGGAAGCCGTTAATGCAGAAAAACCAAAAAAAGGAGTCATGGCATAATTTAGTGGTTCTATTGAAAGCCTTGTTATTGTGTTTGCGGAATTTATTACACGAGTTAAAATCATTTCCATCCAAGCAGTAGGAACAGCTTGCCCATATCGCTCTGAAACAGATGCAAATACTTCCGTTACTTGCTTTCCATTCGTAGGAAACAAATCCAAGGCATTCCTTAGTAGATAAACATACGTTACATGGAATAACATGTGCATAAAAATAAAACAACCACCAGAAAAGTCACCAGGAACACTATAAACACTGTAATTTTCGTCGGTCAAGGTCAATCGAGGAGAAAGGCCTTTTAACCAATCTTCTAAAGACGCTAGCTTTTGTTGAAACAAAGATTGTGGCATCCAAGGAGGTATAATGTCTTGTGAATATCCACCACGAAGCACCCATCGAGAAATGTCACTCCATATATCGGACAATCGGATAAGGCTGCCCATAGTGAAACTCAAAGAGTCGCTTACTCTGTTCGTGGAACTATTTCTTTGACGTTGACCTTCAAGGTTGTTTTGAGGCATAGATCCATCGAAAAGTTCTGTAACGATCGGCTGGGAAAAGCAAAAGTTAGCCTCAGGGGAAGGAAGCTGGATTGAGGTTTTATTGGGATTGAGAGAAATGGTTCGGAGTTTCGATGGAGCCATGAACCCTGTAGCAAAAAGCCGTTCAATCATAAAACAGGACCAATATGTTCTTCGCCGCTGCTCACCTTCAGCCCAGTTGGATATACCACGTAAACTAGAGAAAGAATCCTCGCTGAACTCATTGCCCAAATCTAATGAATCAGCCATGCGTAGAGCCATTCCTAACAATAGCCATGCTTTAGAGCTTCGGCCAGCACCAAGCTCGACTAAACACAGCATCAATAATGCTGATATGTTAATTAACGAAATGTCTTGAAGTTGAAATGAGAGAAGGGAGAACGCATGTTTTGCATAAAAATCAGACGCTGCTGAAGGAGACTTGAAAACGTTGATTTCTTCTTGAGAAAATCTAGCAGCATGAGTGCAAATGCAAAGAGCCAATAGTGGATTAATAGAACCTTTTGATATCTGAGAAGTTATACTAGCTTTATTAAAAATGCCATACAGTTCAGTATATGAGGTTTTCAGAAAGATTTCCCACATCTGTAACAACTTTCGGTTGGAAGGAATTTTTAGTTGTTTTTGCTGCTCTTCTAGATTTGTAATTGGTAAGGAAAAGTCCATCGGTTCAGTTGAAGATGGAGAAACTGTGCTAGGAAACGAATGAACAGGAAAATACGAAGGGATTTGCAAATTTATGGTATCCAATTCGGGGTGTGTATGTTGCTGGCCCGCGATACTGTTCACTTTGGAGGATAAGTGATTCGGAAACGATGGAGAGGACCGTTTACCTCTCATGTTGGGTCGGTCAGGCCATACACATTCAACACTATTATTCATACAGGTTTGGCATGTGGGCTTTTCTCCTGAACACTTTATTTTCTTTTGTCGACATCGAAGACAAGCCTGCGCGACCTGACTAATCACTCTTCGTTTACGAGGGACAGACTCTTTTTCAACTGTAGTCATCATTCTGATGTTAATCTTTTATTTCTTTGATTCAAACGAAAATAAGGTGAAACAAAAACATAAAGTTCCATGAACGTGCTAATGAAAGAAACTTGAAACAAAACAAATCTTTCTTTTCCTATTCGACATATAATCCATCAAATTTCGAATCTCTGATTCTATAAACATACACAAAACCTTCAAACGGTCTAGTGATATCGGACTTTTTCTTTTGTAAAGCAAATTATTCAATTCGCTTATATGATGAAATTATTTTGCATACATTTAAACCTTTTTTAAGCTCATAAAATCGACATAAAAGGATTTAGCTGTAAAAGGAAAAAACTCTGCGTGTTCGCATACCCGTAAGAACAACTTTTAGCTCTTGGGTAACAAGGTGGTTGTTACTTTAGGAGGGAGGTGAGATTGTTGAAGTTCGTTCTTGGGCGTTTTTTTTAACGCGTTTCTTTTCTCTTTTTTTTTAAAAAAAAAACAGTACTTTTCAAATAGAATAAAAAGCATTTGGGATAGCCAAAGATTTCAGGGAAAAGCACAAGTGTAAACAAAAAGTCAAACGTAAACACAAGCGATTATCAAGTAGTTGGGCTAGATTCTCTTTTTTAACTTAAAAGAATGAGTATAAATAAAGAACGGTTTCATGCTTCACGGAACTTTTTCCTTCACTACAAAGGCAGGGATAGTACATACATTAAGAAATAAACCGTACTAACAAGTCAAACATAGCAGAAAAAAAAAAGAAAGAAATATATAAATAGATGTCTTTTTTTTTTCTTTTCTTTCCTCATTTCTTACTTATTTATTTATTTATTTATCTTTGAATCGTTATTTACATACCTCAGCTTAACGTTCTTCAGCATAGCTCACTAAAATATAAATACGCAATACGGAAATAATCGCAATTTTTTTCCACCTTAACCAACAAAGAGCGAAATCTCAGCAAACACCAAAAAAAGCAGGGAATTGAAGGACGTAAAGAATTTCCTATGGCTGCACGAGAGGAAAAGAATCAAGAGGCGACTATATATTTAGGAAACTTAGATGAGCGCGTAACAGATTCAATTCTTTTTGAGCTGTGTTTGCAGGCTGGTCCTGTCGGTAAGTGAATTTGGTGATAAATAGGCTTCAGTAATTGTTTACTAACAGTTAGGGAATATCCATATTCCAAGAGATCGCGTGCGGAATAGTCATAATGGTTTTGGTTTCTGCGAATTTGTAAACGAACGTGATGCTGAATACGCATGCCAAATATTTAATCAAATTAAGCTTTATGGAAAGCCACTGCGCATTAATAAGTCCAGCCAAGATAAAAATGTGGGAAGCTTGGTAGGTGCCAATCTTTTTATTGGTAATCTGGATCCTCTGGTTGATGAGCGCGTTTTATATGATACGTTTTCTGCTTTAGGCCAACTGATCAAAGCGCCACAGATTGTTCGCGACGAAAATGGTCGCTCAAAAGGATATGGATTTGTGAATTTTGATAGTTTTGATACTGCAGATGCTGCCATCGAAGCAATGAACAACCAGTTTTTAATGAACAAACCCATCACCGTCTCCTATGCATATAAACGAGAAGGAAAAGGAGAACGACATGGTGACCTGGCTGAACGAAAATTGGCTGCTGCCGCCAAGAAAAACAAAGTTGCAATTACACCTCAAGCTACTCTTCCCCCTGGATTTACAGCTGCCCCTCCCTCTACCACTGCTTCCTCTGGTACAGTTACTCCCAATATCGCTCCTACTCCCATTCCTCCTCTTCCCGTTATGGGAGCAACGGCAAATGCGGCTAGCGCTCCCCTTCCCAACTTAATGCCGTTTGCAACCCCTCAGGTGTACTCACCAATGCCAAACATGGCGCCCATGATGAATATGCCTTTTAACCCTCCTGGTTCTGCTATGATTCCTCCACCTCCACCTCCTGGAATGGTTATGAACGCCCCGCCCTCTACCGTTTCTATTCCTGGTATGGTACCAATGCCGGCCTATCAAGTACCATCCCAAACAAATCAACCGAATCGGTAGTTATGCTATAAAAAGATTCAATAGGCAAAGTCTTTCTAGGATAAAAAGGACCCCTGTATGTATAATAGAAATATCGTTAATTATTCACCTACCGGTGTATTTTTCCAAATAAAAATAGAAATAGAAATAGAAATCCCTACCTACTGATCTTTGTAATATCCAGCTATCCATCCATCTTTACATACTATTATTACTTTCATTATTTCTATAGTGATAATTATTTTGCCAAATTCTCTTATAGACCTTATACAAGGTACACCGTTATACAACGCTATTCGATGATTCCCACCTATATGTGCCTTAGCCTCTCTTGTCAACAACCAACACCACCCTCAAAGAATTGAAGGGAGTATCCCGTTGTACTCAGGCTTTATCCCTTCTTAAAGTGCTTGACAATGATTCTTCCTCTTTCCATTTTCTTTTGCAGCTTTCTTTGGATCGCTAAATTGACAAAGGCAGACCAGTCGGATCCGGATCTAGTCGGTACTTGGAGTTCCAAATCACAAACAGTAATGACTGGACCTGTATGTCTTTTTTTTATGCTCTTTTATAAACATATACTAATTACCAAAACTTTAGGATTTCTTTGATCCATTAAACGAGGACTTTTTTGAACCCGACCTTCCTGGTATTAGCTATAGCTTTACGGACGATGGCCATTTTGAAGAAGCGTTGTACATTATTAAGCCCAATGCCTCGGTCCCCCATTGCCCAAAGGGATTTTTGCAATGGCAACATGGTACTTACAGCATCAATGACTCGAAAGCTATAATCCTTTCTCCTATTAAAGGCGACGGACGTCAACTCGAGAGTGACCCTTGCAATAATGGTGATCATTCCGTTTATACTCGTTACACTCAAGATGAAGTCATGAAAGAATACGCCGTAAGCGTCGACAAGTATCATGGTCGTTATAAGCTTCAGCTTTACGAATGGGATGGTACACCCAAGCAACCCATGTATCTTGTATATCGTCCTCCCAAGATGCTTCCTACTACATTTTCTGGTGCTAGCGATAGTAATCAAGTCCAACAAAAGCGTTGGCTCTTAAAATACATTGCGCCCCTGGCTGACAAGCATACTACTACGATATGGTGGTTGGGTTTGACTTTTATTGCCGTTGGTAGTATTGGCTATTTAATCGTATCATAATGAAGCCGGTCCTACATGTATTGGTAATTCCCTTATGTTTTAAAATCTCTTCTTTTTTTTAACGTATATAACTACATTCATTTATTGATTTATATTTCGTATATGATGCTAAAGGATCTTTGGTACATAAACCTACTTTTGAGGGAAATTCATTTTCTTTAATTGGAAATTTGAATGTTTCGTTTCTTTCGTTCTTTTTAATATTTTTTTTTTTAACTTTAGCTTTCTATAGTCTCGGGACTTCATACAAGAACTTCCCCGATGTTACAGCCATGCATTTTGCATTTCTCCTTTTGAGTCTTTCGTTCCTTTCTTTTTTTATTCTCTTGGCATGCAACCTAATCTTTTTGCAGTTTATTCTCGTTTTCACTGAGCCCTAACATGAAAGGAGACAGTGTTTAAAATTGTTTTATATGAATCATTTCTATACTAACAAAATCTTTTAACGGAAGGCATCTCCATTCATGTATTCTATAGCTTTAATGAACGTAAGTCTACATTATTTTTTGAAGAACTAAGACTTAAAATGTATATTATTATATTACAGGCACTAAAACCTAAACATTATTGTAGGGAGGTTTGACCTACCCTACCCTAAATAAAGACAGTCACATGTAAATCTTTTGGTGTTAATTGTCTTCAAGGGTGAATTTCATCTTCAGCAACACAGGATGGCCACTGAACTTGTCGTGCAAAGCGAGCGTGCTTATCAAAAGCAGCCTCACATTTTCCAAAATGCCAAGAAGGGTGCCGGTCGCCGTTGGTACAAGGATGTCGGTTTGGGTTTCAAAACCCCTTCTGAGGCTATCTATGGTCAATACATTGACAAGAAGTGCCCCTTCGTTGGTGAAGTTTCCATCCGTGGCCGTATCTTGACTGGTACTGTCGTTTCTACCAAGATGCACCGTACCATCATCATCCGTCGTGAATACTTGCACTTCATCCCCAAGTACAACCGTTATGAGAAGCGCCACAAGAACGTTGCTGCCCACGTCTCTCCTGCTTTCCGTCTTAACGAGGGTGATGTCGTTACTGTTGGTCAATGCCGTCCCTTAAGTAAGACTGTTCGCTTCAACGTTCTCCGTGTTGTCAAGCACACCGAAGGCTCTAAGCAATTCGGCAAGTTTTAAAATATATCTTTTTTAATATAAGGTCAATTTAAGGAAGGCATATAACGGCTATGTTGTAGTGGTTTGTTTTCTGGTTAGTATATCCTCCTCCATGTGAGAATGTCAATTGAGTAGTCCGTCCATCCCGCTATTTGAAATTTTATTTTAGCATAAACCATTTGTAAGCATAAACAAACTATAAGGTTTGCAGGAAATTTCTGACTTCTATTAGGATAATTTTAGTTAAGAATTATGAGTGTTCATTAAGGTCTTAAAGCAAACACTCTTGTTAGCAAACTTGCATAGAACCCTTGGTTACAGTAATAAATAAGCGACAACTCGCTGCCATTCCTTATATCAAAACTGATCAATGATCTATAATTTAGCACCTGTAGACTTCTGTCCTTTTCAATCATTGAGTTCGTGGAAGGATGTCTTCAGTTCGTAAAGTTGTCTTGGGTCTTATTCCTGCAGATGGAATTGGTAAAGAAGTAGTTCCTGCAGCTCGTCGCTTAATAGAAAATCTTCCATCCAAACACAAACTTCACTTTGATTTTGTCGACTTGGACGCTGGTTGGGGTACCTTTGAGCGCACTGGCAAAGCCCTTCCGGATATCACTTTGGAAAAATTGAAGAAAGAATGCAATGCAGCTCTTTTTGGTGCTGTTCAAAGTCCTTCTCACAAGGTAGAGGGCTACTCTTCTCCGATTGTCGCTTTGCGTAAAAAGATGGGTTTATATGCCAATGTTCGTCCAGTTAAATCTCTCGATGGGGCTCAGGGGAAGCCGTTGGACCTTGTGATTGTCCGTGAAAACACTGAATGTTTGTACGTTAAGGAAGAACGCATGGTCGAAACAACTCCGGGTAAGCGTGTTGCTGAAGCCATTCGTCGTATTAGCGAAGAAGCATCTGTTAAAATCGGTAAAATGGCTTTTGAAATTGCCAAGTCACGTCAAGCTCTTCGTGCCTCTGGTGCTCCTTCAATCCACAAAAGTCCTTTGGTAACTATTATCCACAAATCCAACGTGATGTCTGTTACTGATGGTCTTTTCCGTGAGTCTTGCAGACATGCTCAGTCCCTTAGCCCCTCTTATGCCTCCATAGCCATGGATGAGCAAATTGTCGACTCTATGGTTTATCGTCTATTCCGTGAGCCTCAATGCTTTGACGTTGTTGTCGCTCCCAATCTTTACGGTGATATTCTTTCTGATGGTGCTGCTTCTCTCATCGGATCTCTTGGTTTAGTCCCTTCCGCCAACGTCGGTGATAATTTTGTCATGTCTGAACCTGTTCACGGTAGTGCTCCTGATATTGCTGGTCGTGGTATTGCTAACCCCGTCGCTACGTTCCGCTCTGTCGCTTTAATGCTTGAATTTATGGGTCACCAAAAGGCTGCTGCTAATATTGTTACTGCTGTCGACAAGGTGTTGAGCCAAGGCAAAATTCTTACTCCTGATTTGGGCGGTAAGTCTACTACTAATGAAATAACCGATGCCGTTATAGAGTCTTTGAGCAACTAAATTTTCATACTTCGAACTTTCGACATAGGGGCTCCTTCTTTCTCTCAGGTTTCATATAGATCACACTGCTTTTTGTTAAATTTAATTGGTATGATTTTGTGATAATATTCTTTCAAAGTAAGACTTTTCAAATAGTACAAGTTTCATCATCATTCCTTTTCCATATTATACCTTTTCGTATAGAAACAAAAAACAAAGAAAGGCAGATATCGACTTTCGAAAGCTACATCATGGTTTATTAGCAAATAAAGTTTCACGTCAAAAGACATCTCGTATCTCTTAAACATTTTAAAGATTTTGGAATCAAAGTAATAAAATTTTAAACAATATATAACTTAAAGTTCAAGCCTGTACAAGCTCGACTTCTATTTCGCCCAAGGCTTGGTTTCTTGAGCCTTCAAAACAGAATTGCGAAGCTCAGCAATTACTTGGGTAGGGTTCTCTGCTTTGAAAACAGCAGTGCCGGCAACAATGACATTTGCGCCTGCATCTGAGGCAGCGTCCACAGTCTTAGGAGAAAGTCCGCCATCCACTTCAATGTCTAAATCAGGGTAGCGTTTGCGCAAGTAGTTCACCTTAGGCAAGCATTCAGAACGGAAGCTTTGACCTCCCTTGCCGGGTTCGACGGTCATAATCAAAGCCATATCAAGGTGCTGGACCAAAGGATCGAGGACTTCTACGGGAGTATTAGGCTTTACAGCGCAGCTTACGAGCATGCCTCGTTCATGGGCCCGATTAATAACTTCCATATGCTTTTCAGTAGCTTCATAGTGAAAGCAAAACATATTAGCACCGGCATCCGCAAATTCATCTACCCACTTCTCGGGATTCATAACCATGAGATGGCAATCAAAGAAAGCCTTCTCTTTGGTGAAATGGTTACGCATTGCTTTGACGACAATAGGACCAATCGTAAGGGAAGGAACAAACTGAGAGTCCATAATATCAACGTGAAGCCAGTCGCTGCCATATTCTAACATGCGACCAACCTCATGTTCAAGATTGGAAAAGTCACCTAAGCATTGTCAGCAAGACCTTCTCATCTGGTTACACGGGAGATACGAAAAAAAGATGAATTTAACGAATGTTTATGCCTTTATAAACTTACCAGATAATAAAGAAGGTGCAATTTTTGCTTCTGACATTCTTTCTTAGTAAAGTCACTATTTCGGAACTTGGTGGATTTTGGATGAGTTGGGTATTTCGTAATAAATTTCCAAATATATAAAGAATTTAAGTGATGCGCAAAGGTATACGAAAAAAAGTTATATTTTTTCTGCATTTAATAGAATAAAACGATTTAAGTAGTTCCCATCATGAAAGTATGAGATTGGCATCTTTGTATATTATTTAAAGTCAGTTCCATCCTCAATAGTTGTTGCAGTCCTTTTAAGCTGCTTTAAGTAGAAACTGAAAAGTAAAAGGAAAGATAAAGAGTCCTTTTGAAGACGATCCAAAGAAAAGCGAGTGGAATTGACGGCCATCAGAAAAATTCAAGCTGCCGGGAAACCAATTCGATAATCGAATAAGAGGTTCACACTGAGGAGTGGTTTCACCTCAATTCATTGGCATTCCTTAGGACCCTCTCTGATTGAGATCATAGCCAATTCAAGATTCACACAAGTCCAGTAATGACAGAAACCACCATAACGTCCTCAAAACTAGATTCATAATTGGGATAATAGAATTGAATTCGTAGCTAAAGAATCCTTTTTATAAGTTTTTTAAGGTTTTTGGAATTTTGCGATCCCTTTGCTATATAGTAAGGAACTTGGGCCTTCTTTTTTACGCCATACTTTGAGATTCGGGATGAATGGAAAAAAATCTACGTTTTCTGTAGATCCTTTAGTGCGTATGGTATGCTCGCCTTTACGACAGGACTTGTCGACGCATCATTTGCTTCCTAGAGGTAAGCAAGAAACATAATTTACAAAGATGCTTTCATAGCCTTTCTTGGCCAATCTCCATGGAATTTTTCCCCGGCTAATCATGTTGTTTAGAATTAATGGGAAAATTCCCTGCTCTTCGTAATCGTTTTACTCTTCGATTACTTCCTTTTGCCGAAGAGCAACATCCTCTTCTCAACCGTCATGTGTCGGTCTACTGCAAGCTTTCAAAATCGTACTTGCAGCCTTCTTCCAAGAAAATTTTAAAGAGATGGAATATGGAACTAAAACAAGCTGGAAACCCTTCAACCGTAGACCTCGTCCAAGCTGAGCTGGAGTCTTCTCTCAATCGTCTCATACCATCGCAAGAGGAACAGGAGAAACAAGGATGGATTCATTATCAAGACTTTACTTCTTGTAACCTACATTTGATAAATACAAAGGATGCTCATCCTGGGCTTTGGGTTCAATGGAAGTTTGACGATTTAACCTCTGAGCAAGAGCATACGAGAAAGCAACTGCAAAACAAATATCCTCAAATATCATACTTACCTATACACAAAACTGTCTCATTAAGCACATACAAAGAGAAATTGGCACGTTTCTTTCCGGAATCTACGACTTATACATTTATTCCTACTGGTCCATTGACTACTAGACTAGGCATGGTATTATGGAAATTATTGTTTCTACATGAAGAATGGAAGTATCAAAACACATAAACTTTGTGTTATTCCATTTCTGCAAGCTGACTCTAAGTTTCTTTGTTGTCAAATTTCTTTGTTCTACAAAGACAAAGAAATGACACGAAATAAGGATTGATGTCACAGATTTTTTTTTTCTTTTTTCCTTTGTTACGCTCGATACTTTGTTTTTTCTTTTGATGGATGCTCTTTCAACGGAAACCTCTTTCGCCTTTTCCAGTGCCATTGAGTGTTGCAATCGAAGTATTTTCCATCAAAAAGAGAATACTAAACTTTTTGCTTTTGTAGAATCTATCTCTTCTTGTTGCTTGCAAGTTTTCTTTTCTTATCCCTTTGCATAGACAGTGCCTTTCACTTTTACCTCGACTACAGGGTACAGCTGTTTCTCCATCCTAATCCTCTTTTTTATCATCGTCATGTTCTACATAAAGTGCATTCTTCAGGGCATATGTGGTTTTTGTCTTTTGGGCGCCTGGATTTTGTTGGCTTTGGTCATGACTGGCTGTAAATCCAAGACAAGCTCCCATCTTTCATTGTTCAATTTGTCAAGTCATTCTGCCCAAGTTAATGTTGGTTATTTTTCTATGTGTTTGCTTAGCGGTAATAGTTCTACCACCTGTGATAAATCCATAAACACCCGGAGCATTCCTTCTTTCTCAATGGCGGATTTGCGGTCCAAGTTCATTCTCCCACAAGTCCATCCATGGATGGTAGTATTTTCGTTTTGTGTTTGTGGAATCTGCTTTCTTTTGGCTGCTGTCGCTGCAATCCCTTTTATGGATCGACTTCCTTACTTACGACTAATTCGACTTTATTTATCCTTTTTTGCTTTTTTGAGCGTTCTAGTTACTGCTCTATTTGTACATGTATCCGTCTCTTCCTTTGTCATGGCTATTGAAGCTGCCGATGTTTACCTTCATGCTGCCCTGGGGAAGAAAGTTGTTATTTTGTTATGGATATCCATGGGTCTTCTTGCCCTTGCGACCCTCATTGATGTAATTTTTCACATTGTATCAACGAAGGCAGAGAAAATTCGCCAAGCTCTTTTCGAGAAAAAGTTTTCCTTATCACGGTCAAGTACAGCTGTTTCTTCTGCTACTTCGTCCAGTATAAAAAAATAACAGGTTTAATGAAGGTTTTTAACAAATTCTCTTTCTTTTTCTTTTTGCTTTACCTCCAATCTTTGGAACCTTGGATCTAATGTCTGGCCTTTTGTTTATTATTCTAACACATGATGATATATGTTTGTTTTGTACCTTTCTATGACTTTTACCATGCGATGACTCTTCTGCATTCATTTTTAGTTTTTCTATAGAGGATATACGTTTAATTTCTTATAATTTCATGCATTCTTTTGATGTCTTTCTCTTACAATATGCAATGTGTATACATCCATTGAATCCGTTTCCAGAGTTCATAAGTAAGCGATGCTAAAATCAAACACATAAACTTAATATTGTTATTCTTATAAAACATGTACATTTTATTCAGGATAGCTTCAATTTCTTTTTTTATTTTAGTCATCTAATTTTCTTTTATATACCATAGATCAATTCTCATAAATAATCATTTCTTAATAGTGATGTGGAAAGAGACTTCCCAAAGGTTTCTTTCTTTTCTATCGTAAACGTCTTGGCGCACGAATTTCTCAAGTTGAAAATTCTTCCATATTCGTCGTTGGTTACAAAAAGTAAACTACTCCTTCATACATTTGAAAACAACCTATGAAGTCCGTATTGCTGCTAAAGACCCAGTCCAACCCGGTCGATCCATATGTAGATGCATTTAAACAATACCAACGAAATACTTTTTTCTTAGCGGTTTTGCAGCATCAACCTGTAAATGAAAGCATTCTACAAACCAGGCTTTCTCAATTATTGTCCAATTATTGTGGGTTGATTGTGACCAGTCAACGAGTTAGTGAAACCCTTAGTGCTGCGTTGAAACAGCTAGACGAATCTACTCAAAATACAATTTTAAGCTCGATTCCAGTTTTTACAGTGGGCCCGGCCACAGATGATAGCATTCGGAGACTCGGGTTTCAACAAACATTTGGTAGAGGTTGTGGACGTGGTGAAATTTTAGCTGATCTCATCCAAGTATGGTACCAATCCACTTGTCAATCTAAGCCTTTGCTCTTCTTAGTAGGCGAAAAGCATCGCGACATCATTCCTAGAAAATTAGGAAAAACCCGCATTGAAGAGCTGGTGGTGTACGTAACTCAAGAGCTCGAGCAAAGTCAAAGTCAAGTTGTAGAGATCATTGAAAAACACCCAGAAATAGACTGGATCGTTGTCTTTAGTCCAACACAACTATGCTCACAAATAGCGTCTCTTTCAAGGAAATTAGCAACCATAGGTCCTACCACAGGAAATTATCTTCAAAAGCTTGGTATTGAGCCGAACCTTGTTTCGTCGGCTCCTAATCCAGTCAGTTTAGCGTCAGATATAAACGAATATGATCTAAATAATTAATGAATAAAACATTTATTTCTTAACGGAAATTGACTTCGCGATAAATTAGAGCTTTCAGAACGGGGATTTCCAGTTCCTCCTTCTTGCAATAGAGATCCACGAGGTTTGGTGGCATGGGAGGTGCGTTTGGTTCATCTTCTGGATCATGATAAGCAGCTACATACGGATGCTCTAAAGCTTCCTCAGCAGTTATACGCTTATCAGGATTAAAAGTAAGCATACGCTCTAACAAATCAATGGCTTCTGGAGAAGCATGGGGAAACAAGTTTATGAACGGAACCTTCGAGGTGAAAGGCAGACTACGAATGTATTTGCGAGCCCGCGCAGAGCGTATTCTGTTGAAATCATCCATCGTTGGTGTTCCCAAAACGTTCAAAATTAGCGTGATCTGACTGTGATAATCTTTCCCTGGGAAAAGGGGGCGTGCAGCTAGCATTTCAGCTAAGATACAGCCAGTGCTCCAAATGTCAATGGCTTTGCTGTAGTCGCGAAAACTAAGCATGATTTCCGGAGCACGGTACCAACGAGTAGCGACATACTCTGTCATAAATCCAGGACTTCCCTCTTGTAATGCGGTAGAACGGGCAAGGCCAAAATCTGCAACTTTTAGATCACAGTTAGCATTCAAAAGAAGATTCGATGGCTTCAAGTCACGATGCACTACGCCGGCGCTATGCATGGCCTTCAGAGCACGGAGAATTTGGTAAGTGAAATATTGGCAATGATCATCGCTAAGAGGTTGAGAGCGGATGACACGGTACAAGTCCGTTTCCATAAGCTCTTGCACAATGTAGACATCTTCCAGCTCTTGATAGCTAGGAGGTGGAAGGATATCCAAGATAGCAATAATGTTTTCATGATGGAAGTGGCGTAACAGGCGTATTTCGCGAAGTGTACGCAGAGTAAAGACAGGATGGTTGAAAGGATGGATTTTTTTTACCGCAACCTTGATACCGGTGGGTTTGTGAACGGCAGAACAGACAACACCATAAGCGCCCTGTCCAATAAGACTTGTCATTTGGTAATCTCTTGGTAATTCAAAATTAAGATTATGAATATGCGGGCTTCGACGAGCATTGTTCGTCGAGCGGTTGTTCTTTTCAAGAATAGCATTAGCAGAAGTAACGCTGGCCATGGCTTCAATTGTAGTTAATAAATAAAATAAGTAAATAAAAGCAACCTTAAAAGAGTGAAATTTCTGTTGTAAAGGAACCTATAGCTGCGAAATAGTAGAGAATAGCAAGAAAATACAAAACTTTTTGTCAAAAGCAAAAAAAACAAAAAAGAACAGAGCTAATTAAATCAATATTAATACTCAGAAGGACAAGAAGCTTTTCAACGGGAATTAAGACAATGTTTCTTTCATAAATCGTAAGCTCGAGTTCAAGCTCAAATGTAAACAAAACAAAAAAAATACTTTCGACGCGTTTTGGCGAAAAATAAATTAAATCCACAAAACCTCTTCGTCGATGAGCTCCAAAGTAGGAAATTCGACGCTTTACAAGCAAACAACAAGTGGGTCAAAAATCCAAGACAGCAGATATCTTGCTATGATATCTTTTAAGAAAGAATTGTTTCCTTTTTTGATAAGTGTAGATGGTTCTATTCAAGTTTTGACCGCAGGGGGTCCCATTTATATCGCTCTTAGAACAAAGAAACATTTTCTTTGTTTATTTAGAGCAATTTGCCTTTGTTCCCTTCGTTAGATAAACGACGGGTTGTGACTTGGTGGAGTTGGAGGGTCAAGTTACAAATGTATGTGGTAGGAGCGACGCTCTTTTGCTTTTCTTGTTTACCCTCAAGGAAACGTATCTTTCCCCAACTACGAAGACTATTTACATTGTGTGAAAAACACAAAGGAATGCCATTTTAAGAGATTTATCTGTTATTTATATGATTTAAGTAAGTAATGAAGTAGGTTTAGGTGAAGAAAATGTCTAGAAATACCGGAATGGAAGCTGAAAGTGGTGATTTACGTCGCGTCAATAAAAAAGGTACTGACGCAACGACTTTTCCAAGATATATGGTGTTTAATAAAGAAAACTAGAAATATATTTTTGAATTTTTCGCGTTTTCGAGTTCATTTGTTATATATACCTGTCGTCACGGGGGCTAACGTTTGGGTTAGATTTCCTTTTTCTTCATTGTAATGACAAACTTTGTTGATACAAGCTCCAATTACAATCATACATCTAAGAAACATTTGCATTCCCCAAAAAATTACGCGTCTTCACGTAAATCTTTGATTTCAAGTCCATGTTCCAGTGAGAAAAGTCATTCTCATACCATGCTACCAGCTGAAGTTGCTAGTAATCACCTTAAGGACCATAATATGAACATGGTAGATTCTATAAACGAATCTTTTCAAAGTCCTTCTACAAAAGTGCGGAAGGACATTTATGACTTTGACGAAGGAGACGAATTTGTCTTTGGCTCTTTAGCCATAAAGCCATCTACACCACAACGGCTCGCCGTTACTACGTGGACGGATGACCAGAAAGAATGTTTAGAAGCTGCAAAGCAGATTATAAAATCTAATGTCTATTCATCTATCATCATTCGAACATATCCTCCTAAACGCAAACAGCAAGAGGCATCAGCAGACGCTGATGTTGATCCAACAAACGCCGATTCTGAAACTTCATTTGTAGTAAAAAAGAGGAAAAGTAGCTGGACGGAAGAGGATGAGAAGTGGTTTCGAGGCAAAATCGATGAACTGTTACAAGCGCGATCAATTTCATCTGATCAAATGAAAGAAATACTGGAAAGTTCGGATGCAAAAGCTCGTTTGTTTGGATTCCTGGAATCTGCAAGTTTATATTTACACCGCTCTGAAAACTCTTTGTTGACTTATATGCGAGCCATTTTCGAAGTTACTGGTTATGAACGACGACCTGTTCAAGAGATTGCTCTTGAAACTACCGAATCATCAATTCCTGTCTTTGACCGTGACGATGCTGAGTATATTCATGGCTGTGTGTTATCCTTTTGTGATAACGAGGGTATCACGTTGGAGGAATTTGGGCATCGCGAATGTGATCCTAGCATACATTACAAGGGACACCAGTCTTTGTATAACGAAATTTTGCTTGGGATTCAGAAACAAATTTGCAAGAAAAGTCTTTCAAATTATATAAAACTGGTTTATTGTCCAAAAAATGTACAAGAAAATTATGATGAAGAATCCTTTCAAAGACTGTATCAGTTGGTGAGCGAACAAGGAACCAAATGGAGCTGGATTGCAACTCAAATGGGTCTCCCCTCAAAAGAATGTGCATTACTGTGGAAATATGCAGCAAAATCTTCCAAGTTTTCTTTGGCAAAGTCTTTGAGTAGCAGCCCAAAGTCCAGCCCTACAAGTCCACTTGTTAATCCTGCTCGTGAAGAACCTGAGGTACACACATTAAATAATAATGAGAAGCTTATGAAGAGTCACTCATTGGAAGACAATCCCAACCCAAGTTTCGAAGATACAAATGAACAGCCATTACTTATGAGATCGAGAACTGATGAGAATAAAAAACAGAGCAAGAAAAAAAACAATAAAAAGAAAAAGAAAAAAAATGGATCCAAGTTTTATGCTGGAGATAGTTTACAGCTATTAGAGCATGTTCAGAACTCCGTTCCACCAGACGCAAAAATCACAGCAGATTTGGATTGGGATCGCATATCAAGCGTGATGTCTAGATGGACAAACGAGGAGCTTAAATTACAAACTGATAACTTAATTTCGACTGTGAAAGGTTGGAAGAAAAAACCTCTTCAACAGAATATTAAAGCAGCCATTGATGAATTAAAAACTTTACCTCAAGGAACTTTAAAGCAGATCAATCGGAAAATTTAATTTCGTACCTGCGTTCGTTGCATAAATGAACCTCGTTTCGAATCGTAATTTCTTTATTGGCTCATTTATAATTATCTGTTGTTTACGCATGTTCTTATTTATTTATTTTTTTCATTCGTTTCCCTATGATAACATTTATGATGTATCGATTTTTATGAATAATAATAATTCATACATGAGATGAATGTATGTACGCATGAAACTTTTACTTATGATAAACAAAAGTCGCTCTTGGAATGTGTTTACAAGCAAGTGTATGTACGATAGACTGTTTCATGAACGCTCACGACTGGCTCCTTTAAAGTTTCGTCAATGTGAATTCATTGTTATGTTATTGACAATATGAATGTACTGTACTCTTTGCCACTTTTTAAGCTTCTCCTACATGCGCAATTCCTTTGTCAGCGGTTTTGTAGCAGTTTTAATTTTTTCTTAACACCCTCTCAGGTTTACATCACTTCTGTGAAAGGGGTTGAAGTAAGATGTCAATGTTGGTGGAATAGTCACAAATAGAGTGAGAATTACCGAAAAGCGGTTACCTTCACTTATCTCATCCAAACAATGAGATAAAAATTTTCTGTGACTTGCTTAATTGGTGTGTGTGCAGACTTACTCGCACGGTGTTGTGAAGTTAAAAATTTTTTAACTCGCTAAACGGGTCACTGCTCCTTCGCATACAAAACTTTTTTTAACCCTACTATATCTAACCTTTTCCTTCGCAAACAACAGCGTTGCTTCTTAAAAAGCTGGATATTGGGAGTCTTTTTTCACTGTTGATAAGCGTCTATTGACGACTACTCACAGAGGCTTGGCAAAGAATTACGTTTTTAAAACGTTGCTCCTGTTCGAAGTCTTTGCAGCTTTCCTACGATCAAGGTTTGGAACGACTGGTTTTTGAAGTATATTTTTGTATAAATCAAGGCTTTATTGTTCTTTTATAAGAAAAATAAAGCGAACGCTTTGACAGATTTATACAGTCACATCAGCGAACTACAACCTTAGATCGGCGGCATATTTTACGTTCGCCAGCCTGTCTCTTCCAGTTTTGTAGGTTGCAGGTTTGATTGAAAATACGGAACGGTGCTGTCGAGCACAATAGTATAGATTGAAGGACACGGTAGAGTTGAAATTTGCTGGTTACGAAAAGTAACTCGAACTAGGCCTTGTTTGCTATTTTTGCGTTCATCTCTAAATAGTTCACCTGGTCTATCAGCTGATTAGACACGTTTTTGGTTGCTGGGAAAGAGAGGTCTGTATTCAATACGAATATTGTGTTTGAGTAGTTTGAAAGTTTATTGGAAACTTTCATTTCATTCACACTGTACATACAAAATTTTTACGGCTTAATTAAGCTGTGCTTACCGAATTATTTCTGTTTTTTCTTGCCAAGTTTTGGACGAAAAAGCTCAACCTTTCGTATTCTAACTATTTCGGAAAAAAAAGTTTATTTATTATACTGTGGTGGTTTTTATTTATCAACGGCTTTACTTATCAATATTTGCAAAGTTTCACCAAGCCTATTTGATATTAGTCACAATTCATCATGCAGACTTACACCGGTGTCATAAAAACTCCGTTAGATGCCATCATCCTTTTTGAGGCTTGCCGAATTGGCTTATTACCTCGGGTACAACGCCGTCTTTCTGACCACGAACGAAGCTTGATTCGCGCTGGTAGCGTATTTGTTTGGGACGAACGGGAAGCTGGAATGCGTCGTTGGACTGATGGTAAATCATGGAGTGCTTCTCGTGTGAGCGGCTCCTTCTTAACATACCGGGAAATGGAAGGAAAACGTAAACCTTACCAAGGAACTCCTGGTGATAGTACCGTGAAACGCTCTTCCTCAGTAGAGCCTCATAATCACAGCTCTCTGAGTTCTTTTCACCAGGACGATAGTGGTGCTGGTAGCATGAGTGATGACAGTTCAATGGATGATGAGAATATGCGCGGCTTACATTACAAACCTAATGGCTTGATAAAACAATCCTTTAGTATTACTACTTCTTTGAACCATAAACTGCATCTAATTTCTTACTCTTCTCCCATTCCAGATCCTTCCCTTATTTCACCTTCTTGTGATGTAAACCTGTCTCGAATCACGATTCCTTATGGTCTGTATCCTGATGCTGGCCCACCACTTGTGCAAGCACCCAAATTCCTCGCTCCTTATGATATACCCGTGGAAAAGGTAGCATGTAGTGAGGACGCTCGTGTTTTGGACAAACTCCGACAAGCTTTATGGTTGTAGATATGCTTATTTCCCAAGGGTTTTTTAAAAGGGTTTTTTAGAAACTCTTTTGTGCTATGCTATAGATCCATGCCTTATAACTTTTTAGATACTTTGGCATACAAAGGGAACGTTTTGTATGTTTATAATGTTTATATTTCATTTATGATGAGTATCTATTTGACATGTTTCTGTTGCGGGTGTCAGGTTATGACATTCGTATAATTGTTTTTTAAATGTTTTAGATTTTAGGTTTATTTCCTAGTAAGTGTTTTATAAAAAAATTAGTTTTTAGATGTTTCAATACAGATAGAAAAAATTAACGGCAGATTGAATTTCTACTTCTAATGACGATAGGATTACAAGTTTTTATATAGAAGAATTTATGGAAAACGAAAAAGTGATTATTCATGTGTAGGAATACGTGTAATTATTGTTTAAAGGTAGGATGAACAACCGAATACGAAAGGTAGAAATCCAATGTCTGATGGCCCTAATTTTTTTTTTTTTTTTCTTTATTTTTTATGTTTTTCCAGAGTGAGAAGAAACCTTTATCTTTCTTTATGTTGTCTTGGGGAAAGTCTCATATGATTAATCGTAAACGCTACTCATCTTATACGATGCATGTGCCCTAAAACCATGAGATTCCAAAGCATTTCTACTCTCAAAAAGACGTTTAAAGAAAGAAGTGAAAGGGAAAAACGAGAGTTGATATATCCTATTCTTAAATCTGATCTGTATTAACAGAATTTCTTGTAAAAGGTGACAAAACAAGTGGTTCTTTTCGTAGTATTCTTAGAATAAGATATATCATCCATTAAACTTGTCATCTAGGATAAAGTTCTACGCTAAATTTCTAAAGTCATTTTCAATTTAGCTTCATGAAAAAATGGAATTATTAAATTACAAGTAACCAAGTTTGCAAAGAAATTGAAGTTCTGTGCATTCATTATATGTACCTAATTTTTAGCACAAACAACAAAGGTCATGAACGTAGACAAACCATCAAAAGGACTAGTAAGGAACCATAAAAAGAGGAAAGATATTACTGATTCTTTCCTTATGATCATGATTGACGAATACTCCCCCGTAAGAGAAACATTGGCTTCAGCCATGAACATTGAAACGAATGTAAAAGTAATGATCATTAGAGCTATGGGATGGTTTCTTTTGTAACCTCATCAGAAAAAGTATTACATGTATTGAACATTTCAGGCGATCAAAAACCAATAAATTAAGAATTAAGGATTCTTCCTTTTGTATATATTACAGTGAGAAGAAAGAGCAGTTTATAATTAATCGGGAAGCACAGCACGTCCTCCTTTTTTTTATTATACAAAGGCATTCATAATAAAGAAATAAGCAAAAAAAGGTTGGAACATGCTTCATTCGTTGTCTTTCAACAATAAGACGAAACTAGGTTCAAAAAGGAAAATAATATAAAAATCTATCATCAAAAAAGGAAAGCAAGAGGGAAGTCAGGACGTGAAACAGGGGAATAAAACATTAACGAAAAATGCAGAAATTAATAATACATTACTCATCCATATTGGCGACCCAATCGTCGTCAAAATCGCTGGGTTCACCATCCTCTGGAACCGGCGTCAGAACAGATTCATCCTCGTTTGCGTATTGATTCCGATACGTGCCTTCTTTCCCAAGACCATGAAGTGAAAAATAGAGCATACGCTTCATATTCTTGTTGAAGAAAAAGTACGACATACTCCATATCAGAGCTTCGTCTCCATAAGGATCGCTATCGCTGTCGGGAGTATAAGAGTATACATTACATTCGGATAGGTTTATATGCCGGTCTAGTGTCTCCCAAAGCTTGTTAACACTTATTCTACCACGACCCATGCCGTTGATGGTAGCATTCACGCTATCTAAAACCCGTGAAAGCGAAGGTTCTTTGTAAAAGTCGGTAGGCTGAAGATTACTAAAATCATGATCAGGGTGGGAAGCGTTTAAGGTAGCTACTATGTACATAAAAGTGCGACGCGATGAAGATTGATCAAGGGGTCCAAAAGGGCTCTGTTGTGTCAAGCTGAAAGCAAGTTCAGGGGATTTGCTACTGGAAAATGCAAGCATATCCTCTTGACACCGCGTTTCGATAGCCTTGTATAATTTTTTATCAGAACCGGTGGACTAAAAGACAGTTAGAAACCCCAGGAAAAAAAAAATAAGAGTAAAATAAAAGCAAGAAAAAAGAGAAAGCAATCGTCCTATAGAAATCGATTTAACGGCCACCAACCAAGAAGAACAAGACAAAAGACGAAATCCCCATTCATACGCGTCAATACATTTCTAATTCCAAGACTACAAATTGATAAAACTAATTGGTAAAGCCAAAAGAAAAAAGTTGCGTTTCTTGACAAAAAATAGACATTGTGGCCGCGTCAAAACCGAATCCTCCATTCAGCAGACAGCTTTCCATAAAAAATGTCCAGATGGCACATTCATGCCATTCCCTTTTCATACTTATTGTTTTTACTTACTTTTGTCGTGTAAATTTCACATTTTCCATGAATGCGACAATCGTCAGCGTCAAATGACAACGCGTTATTAATCGCGTCTAAATCGGCAAGTTCAAGGAACTGCAATTCATGTTTGTATTAACAATTCATGTATCATATACCAGTTATATTACCTTCATAGCAATGTTTACTAGGGTTTCCTTGTTTCCTTTATTTTCTTAATGTTGGTTAAGGACAGATAATTCTAACGGTAAACTAGACCACGTCAATTGTCACTCACTTTTACATCAGTAAACTGCCTTATCTATCTGTAATAAAGGTAACAGCGTAAGGCTTCATTGCACTAAATGTGTATTACACAAAACAACGTTTTTACACTATTTTATAGGCAGCCAGAAGGGTAAATAAACAAACTAGATATATATAATAAACAAATCTATAAAATAGGGAAATCTCCTCTTCCAATGGGTGTTTTGGATTGTATTTAAATAGTTTCATAAAAAGAGGTTTACAGGTATAGAATTTGTAAAATATACTAAGGGTTATCTTCGCAGATCCGTACGTAAATAAACATCTCTTTATTCAATCATTTACACAGGGTTCATCCACGAGAGAATTTCTTTTTCTAATTATTAATAAAAAAGAATCGTAAAATTAAAAAAAGTAACAGCTTTCCATCTGATTTTCCAGTTCATACACTACCCATCCTCGACGCCATATATAGAATATGCCAAGGGACAGTTTGCTCTACGCTTGCCATGGATTTTGTAGGCGGCTCACTAAAACTCAAGAATGTCAAGAAAAAACCGCTGAAAAAGAAAAAGAAAAGCTCCAAAAAACTTAGTGAAAAGATTGAAAAGCATACCGCGGCTGAAAACGATGATTCCAAGGAAGGAGATCCATCAGACTATCAGATGCTACGAATTTCAGAAACCCAAGAGGAGGCAAGGAGTCCAACAGAAGCTGAACGACAATTTGAAGCTATACAAGAGAAGCGACTTCTTGAAAAAGCCCGAAAAGAGCGATTTAAGACTCATAAAGACAAAGTCGATGATTACAATCGACTTTTGGATAGCCAATCTGAACACTTTGAAATGCCAAAAATTGGACCTGGTTAAAGAAGCTTCTTTTCTTCTGAAAAGGCTCACTTATTCCTTCCTTTCTTCTTTTTCTCTTTTTCTCTTTTTGTTTTTTCCCAATTTAACGAAATTGAATGATGACTATAAATGATTTAACAAAAAGGAGCATAGGTCGTAAATGCTCTATCGATTTGTAACGCGAATGTCGTAAACATAAGTTAACGCTAGTGACTGTATCTTTATCCAAAATAGTGAGAAACTAAAAGACAGTGAATGTTAGAATCCATTGAAATGTGATAACATACTATTAAAAGATTTACCGAAAATACGGTATATGGTCTTTGTATGACTATACTTGGAAACCATGAAACCTGTGCATTACCAACAACATTAGTAGAGAAAGTAAATAAGTTTGTCCATTTCATTCTTGTTTGTTTGGGCTTTTTTTTTACGAAACCTTTCTATCTATTTTACAAGAAACAATTTCCAAGCAGAACGAGCTGAAAGCGACTTTTTTAGAGCAAGTTTTACGTAAAGTAGTTTTCTCTGTTGGTTTCTCGCATTTTTTTTCACTAGATTTCGACAAAAAAGGCAATAGAAGCTTTTGTATCTGAAACGTGCTGCAATAAAGGCATACTCCTTTTCATTTTCAAGTTCAATCTTTTCTTTGTCATTTCTCCATAATGGAATCCTTACAACGCTTGTTACAAGGAGCACGCATGGGTGCTGGTGTCATGGGTGATCAGCCTCTTGTTGATAATTCGGAATGCGTTTATATCTCTTCTCTGGCGCTTTTGAAGATGCTTCGTCATGGTCGCCATGGTACTCCTATGGAGGTTATGGGTTTGATGTTGGGCGAATTTGTGGACGATTTTACTGTCCGTGTCGTTGATGTCTTTGCCATGCCTCAGTCTGGTACTGGTGTCAGTGTAGAAGCTGTGGACCCTGTTTTTCAAAAGAACATGATGGACATGCTTAAGCAAACCGGACGACCCGAAATGGTTGTTGGTTGGTATCACTCTCATCCTGGCTTTGGTTGCTGGCTTTCTAGCGTAGATATCAACACTCAGCAATCTTTTGAACAACTAACTCCTCGCGCTGTCGCTGTAGTCGTGGATCCCATTCAGTCTGTCAAAGGTAAAGTTGTCATTGATGCTTTCCGCTTGATTAATCCTTCTACTTTAATGATGGGCCAAGAGCCTAGACAAACGACTTCCAACTTGGGTCACGTCAATAAACCTAGCATCCAAGCTCTCATCCATGGTCTGGGAAGACATTATTACTCACTTCGCATCAACTATAAAAAGACTGAATTAGAAGAACTTATGCTTCTAAATCTTCATAAACAACCTTGGGCTCATGGCCTCTTGTTGGACAACTTTGATACTGCTGCCAACAAAAACCAAGCTACTATGGAACGCATGAAATCCCTTTCTGAACAATATACAGAGCGCGTGCAAAATGAAATTACCTTGACTCCAGAACAACTCCGCATCCAATATGTCGGTAAGCAAGACCCCAAAAAGCACCTGGATGCCGAAGTCTCCCAGTGCATCGATAATAACATTTCTTCCATGTTGGCTGGCATGTTAGATTCTGTTGTATTTTAATGGTTATTCTTTTTATGTCAAAAAATCGATTTTCGTGTTTTTATGAGTTGCTCTTTTCATTTGATATTGAACCACGATTTCGTAGCTATTTCATAAGCTATAAGCATGATGGTCATGAAACAAGAATCCTATTTAACGTTTTGTTCTATGAAGGACGTGAATGTTCTGTTTAAAAAAAAAAACGACCTTATTGACTGACTACCACCTACTGTTGATTTTAGAGACGAATTCCCAAAGTACTTTCTGTGTCCTAAATTCTCTTCAAGATACTTTTAGTGTCTCTATAATTATGTTAGATAAATTAGAAAATACGAAATAAATCTTTCTTATATCATTTTGCTATTCAATTTCTTTTTCCCATGCTTCACTTTTTTCCCTACGCTTTTTCATTTACGCATTCATTCTAGCCTTGGTATTATTATCATTAATTTTCCTTTTGTTTCTACGCTTTACAATTCTCCTCTGATTCCAATTTGAAAAATTTTAGATCTTGATAAGTCTCGTACTTCTTTTTCCGAAAATCTCATCTTAACTCAAAAGGGAGTATTAAACGACTACTTATACCTGTAAACTGAACTTTGTAATTCAAACCCCATACACAACCTGTGGGCATACGAAAACAGAGAATAAACGAATTCAAAGTTTCTGCTGAAGTTACGTTAGGAATTGTCGAATAAACTAACGAAAATTACTAAGTTTTGCTAATTGTAGATATTGTTTTGTTCATTACTAGACACGCTAATTTGTATCACATCCATTGGGTCCTATTTTAATATGTCTTCCTCCATAAAAGCCCGTATTCTTCCTTTTGTCATAAAAAGAGCCAATTCTTCTTCATCTGCTTTGAAGCACACTCCTTTGTACGATCTTCATGTCAATGCGGGTGCTACGATCGTTCCGTTTGCTGGATTCTCCATGCCTTTACAATATAAGGACCAAACCATCAGTGCAAGCCACAGATGGACCCGTGAGCATTCTGGGTTGTTCGATGTAAGTCATATGGTTCAATGGTTCATTCGGGGAGAGAATGCAACTGCATATCTAGAAAGTATTACACCATCATCTTTACAAGAACTTTCTTCTTTCCACTCGACTTTAAGCACTTTTACAAACGAAAATGGTGGTATTATTGATGATACGATTATTGCTAAGCATGATGACAATACATACTACGTTGTCACCAACGCTGCTTGCAGCGAAAAAGATGAATTGAATCTGAAAAAGCATCTTGAAAATTGGAAAGGTGTCGAGCTTGAACGCGTTCAGGATCGAGCACTGATCGCTATCCAAGGCCCCGAAACCGCTGCTGTTATTCAGAGCCTTGCTCCCTCTTACGACTTTTCTGCTCTCAAATTCGGTCAATCTGCTTATGTTGATTTCAAGGGTGTTCAATGTCTAGTCTCTCGTGGTGGCTATACGGGTGAGGATGGATTTGAAATTTCTATTCCAGCCAATGCTTCTGTTGATTTCGCCCAGAACGTTTTAGCTGATCAACGCGTACGTCCAATTGGTTTGGGAGCTCGAGATACTTTGCGTTTAGAAGCTGGTATGTGCTTGTATGGCAGTGACATCGACGATACTACCTCTCCTGTTGAAGGATCCTTGTCTTGGATTATTGGAAAACGTAGAAGACAAGAAAACAATTTTGTCGGCAGCAGTCGTATCTTAAAAGAGCTAAAAGAAGGTGCTTCTCGTCGCCGTGTGGGCTTCATTGTTGAAAATGCTCCTGCTCGCCATGGTAGCATAGTCGAGGTCGATGGTGTTCAAGTCGGCAGAATTACCTCTGGCTGTCCTTCTCCTACTCTTGGAAAAAACATTGCTATGGGTTATATCTCTACTGGATTCCACAAATCGGGTACCTCTGCTCATGTAAAGATTCGCAATAAACTTCAACCTGCTACCGTTGTTCGTATGCCTTTTATCCCTACCAATTATTACAAGTAATCATTTGTCCCTCGCTCACACTTGTTCCTTTTACTAATGTTCTTCCAAAATTTTCTCTTTATAACTTTTGGCTAAACCAGTTCCTATTCGTTTTGGTTGATCTAATTTTCCTTCTCTTCCCCTTGCTTCAACTGAGCTTTTAATTCTCTGATTAATCTGTTGGCTGGTTTCCCTACTTGATGATGGCTAAGGTACACTGTGTCATCTATTTTATATTTTTAAAATATTAACTAATAGTACTCAAATTTTTTATTAACAGCTACATTAACTGACCACACCTACTTTTTTTGTTTTGCCTTGAACTTTGTTTTAAACACTCAGTGAAATAGCTAACAACGAAAATTGTTACTTGACGTAATTCACTTGCAGCTAACAGTATAAACGTAAACTGTCTTTTCTCCATCAGTTAGAAATTGTCTTCTTGAATTTTTTTTTTCATGTATTGTCTTTAGTTTTATATTTTATGACTTTATAACCTTCAGCATTGATTCTCGCTTGAATGAGGTTGTACAGAAATGACTTTTACGAAGAAGGGGAGAAGCTATCATTTGCTTCAAAAAGGGATTAGAAGTGGATCTTTAATTTTAAAAGTGGAAGTGGAAGGTGTAAGTCGCTCACTAGTTGCTTAAAAACAGAGATCAATTAACCTGGAAGATTACCAACATAGATGAAAATGCGCTTCCAGATACTACATCCGACAATGACTCCTTCTTTGTAAGTGGAGCTAACGGGATCCTGCCGGTGTCCTTGTTCCGTCAGAAGACTAACTATTTATGATTCTAGTACATAAAACTAAAGTACAAAAAATACCGCGCCGTACTTGAGGATATCCAACCAAATAAAACGGTCGATAACAATTCCCTAATGACTTTGAGTATGCCTTTTTCCGTAGATTTTCAAAACCTTGGATTTAAATTGTGTTTCAGTTGCAAACAAAAACGAAAGAAATACACCCTGGGAGAGGCTTTTATAAGGTTGGATCATTTATTTAAACTGGGTCCAAATGAGGTATTTAAATTGTTAACACAATAAATAGCAAGGTGCTAATGCATACATCAGAGTCAGCAGTGCCCTCTATATCCACCTCTGAAGAGCACTTCTTCAGATTCTACTGGAAGCTTGGAAGTGAAACCATTAGGAAACTTTCGATTGAAATACACTGTTCATGACCCTAGGAATCCTGAAGCTGATTCTGCTAGTTTGACTCAAGGGTGGCTAGAAGAAGTAGAAAAGCATCTCTCTTCAGAAAGTTTAGATTACCCAGCTAACAGCGTGTCGAATTCTATTAAAAACAATGAACTAGATAACATTGAATCTGATTTGGAAGATTCTACTTTCCTGCCCGAATCTGACTCCAACGTACCAGAAGGCGATTTTTTATGCCAAGTGGATGACTCAGGTATGGAGGAAGTCGAAGATATCAAACAAAGAGTAAAGAAACGTTTGAAGCAGCCTTATAGCATTACCCAGAATCAAATAACCGACCTTTTAGGGTTTACTTCTGTGGAAATTGTTTCCATTTCCAATTTACCTCCGCTAAAAAATGGTATGTATACGCGGAGAAATGTTTCTAACTATCTCGTTAGTTTTTCGTACAGGGTTTGACATGGATCCATTTGTGATTATGTCGTTTTCGAAAAACACTTTTCGTACAAAAAGGGTTAGACATAACTTGAATCCAGTGTACAACCAAAAGTTCCTTTTTGAGGTTGGTGCGTTAGAAAGAAAATACGATATTATTTTTAAAGTAATAGACCATGATAAAATATCCTTGAATGATTCGGTGGGAGTTTGTTCTGCGGATATCCAGAGCATTATTAGTGCCGCTGCACAACCTGATCCTGTCACTGGGCTTTATAAACTTAAAGATGAACGTGAAATTTTTGAAAAAAGTGAAAATCCTAAGAAGGTTAATTCACAGCCTATCGAAAAACTTGTAGATGATTTCTCATCTGCTGTCGAAAATAACTTAGAGACAGATGTGGTTACAAGAACTATACCTCTAAAATTATTTTGTAGTGTCCCTCAACCAGAGTCTGAACAAGCAACACTTACTTTTCGTGCTATATTTTTCCCTTTTGCTGCAGTTCGCCAGAAATTTTGGAGAGTAATGCTAACTCAATATGGAGAAGTTGAAAATGAGCAAGTATCAAAATTAGGCATGTATGCTGTATTGGATTCTTTGGGATCAAACATACCGGCATTCATCATTGATTCATTGTTCCAGGAAACCTTAAGCAAAAAACCAGATAACAACGAGGAAACTATAAATCTTGACGAAGCTGTTATCTGTCTTGAGAAGCTAACATATCTCGTTTGTAATCGAGACTCATCCCCTTCTTTACATCCGTCTAGTCCTTCACCTTTCGATAGCAGTGGCAAATCAACACCGATTAAAAGTTCTGAAATGTCTGAGGACTTAGATGCAGCAGACGTTATGAATAGCAACCAGTTAAATTTGGTTTGTTTACATAAGTGCCCGCTTTGCTTAAAATGTGAGCTAGACAGGATGGACCAATTTCGAGCTACTGTTCATGTTGCAACATGTGCCAGTCATGATTGGAAACGCGTGGATAGATTAATGATGTCCAATTACCTTACCTTGAACCAAGCTCAAAGGAAATGGTTTGCCAAGGTATTTGTTTTTCTGTTTACAAAGTGCTAACTACTCAATTGCAGGCTTTTACAAAGGTAGCGTACGGATCGCATAAACTAGGATCGACCTCAGCGAAAACTTTAGTACGAAATCGTAAAACGGGACATATTATCGAAGAAAAGATGAACGCTTATGTCCGAGTTGGTATACGTTTGCTATACCGGGGTATACGCAATCGGAGAATGGAAGGGACAAGAGGTATGATAATTACTTATTTTCATTCTAACTTTGTTTTTAGTACGAAAGCTACTGCGATCGCTGACGCTCAGACAAGGCATAAAGTATGATTCTCCTTTATCAACAAAAGACATCGTACCCTTTATTCGATTTTTTGACTTGAATACGGATGAAATGGAGAAGTCGATAGATGAATTTAAATCTTTTAATGAGTTTTTCTATCGAAGATTGAAACCTGGTGCGAGACCTGTGGCTTCACCAGATAATCCGAATATTCTTATTTCAGCTGCTGATAGTCGGTTGGTTGTTTACGAGAACATAAATATTGCTACAACTTACTGGATCAAAGGAGCAGAATTTTCTATAGCTCGACTGCTTGGCCCTCAATATGAAAATGAAGCCTCTCAGTACATGGACGGGTCCATTTGTATATTTCGCCTGGCTCCTCAAGATTACCATAGATTTCATTCTCCCGTCGATGGGAAACTTGGAGCACTAAGTCTTATTGAGGGACAATACTATACTGTCAACCCTATGGCTATTCGGTCGTACTTGGATGTTTTTAGTGAAAATGTTAGGACTGTTCTACCTATTGAATCTCCTCAATTTGGTCGCATTATGTACATATGTATAGGTGCTATGATGGTTGGTAGCATCCAACATACAGCTGACGAGGGACAAGAAGTTAAACGTGGTGATGAATTAGGCTATTTTAAGTATGGTGGAAGTACGATTGTTGTATTTTTTAAAGGGAATCGGGTTATGTATGATGACGATCTTTTACGAAGTTCTAAAGAAACAACAGAGACTTTGCTCAAGATGGGAGAAAGCGTTGGAAAAGCTTCTGGAGAATCATTGAATGAAAAAAATAAAAAGGAGATTTAAGTTGACGTAGTTTTTTGGCTTATACAAGTTTAAAGGTACGCAATAATACCTTTTAGACAACCAAGGTTCGTTTGTTTTCTCATTTGGTTTTATTTATTTATGGTTTTTTTTAGAAATAAAGATTTTGCTAATATCTTGAAAAGTATCAGCCAGTGTTGATAAATTTATGTATATTGTATGTTGATATGAACTTTGCGTTTGTGTAGATCAGCGAATTAATAGAACCTATTGTTAAGAAATAAAACAAGCAAATACAGTGACTTGCTTATATATATGTATCTTTTAAATGTCAAATCCCCTTCGATTCTACTCCTATATACTTGACATACTAGCTATTGAGTTTGTATTCATATTAGTACTTCCGAGAACAAAGCATATTCAGAAACTAATCAATCATTAAGTTTAAAAAAAAACTGGGCCGTAATTAAAGTTGTAAATTTTCTCAGTGAAAAGCTTTCGAAAAAAATCCAAGGGAATAACGAAACCTAGTGGTTGACTCATAAATAATATGCATCAATACATGATTAAATGAAAACTAAGGAAAGCACACCCTTCAAATAGCCGATAATGTCGTCCATACCGAGCTTACTTTCACCATACAATCTATCAACGAAAGCAATGGGAACCTCGCCGATAGTATACTCGTGTTGACGAGCACGAGCAATCATTTCCTATAACAGTTAGCTTTACCATATGTTAAGGCTATATGTCGACAAACAACAACGTACCATTTGGAAAACATATCCCTTGCTAGTAACCTCTTTCATCAAGGTCTCCAAGACCTGCTTCTTGTAAAGTCGGAAACTTCCAGTAACGTCCGAAACGCCAGTTCCCAAAACGGTGCTAGCCAAAAGATTGGCACCACGAGAAATCAACTTTCTTTTCAAATTCCATCCGTAAACACCACCATCCTTAGCATATCGAGTTCCTAAAACGATATCGTAGTTACCCTCCTTCTGCAATTTAATAAAGTCAGGAAGGTATTTAGGATGGTGAGAAAAGTCGGCATCCATAATAATCACAAAGTCACCAGTAGCAAAGTTCAACCCATGAATATAGGCAGTACCAAGACCCAGTTTTCCAGAACGAGGTTTCAGTAATATTTTATCTTCACCGTATATCTTTTGCAAATCTTTGGCTACTTCTTGAGTACCGTCTGGAGAGGCATCATCGATTACCACGATTTCCCAAGTCAAGTTCGCTTGCTCAAAAGTACGAGCTATAAGGTAGGTGATAATTGGCAAATTTCTTTTTTCGTTATATGTAGGTAATAACACACTATATTTTGACATTTTACAGCAAATTTCTGTAAGATTTCAGAAAAGTACAAGTTTCAAGAGAGTGCTTTTGTTCAAGGTATCTAATATAACGAAATGTAATGTAAGTAAGCTTAAATACAATACCGACTTCGAAGCCGCTACTGAAATGGGTTTAGTGAGTTAAAGTATCGAAACCCTATTTAATAAACAAATCGATTTTGATCGAATAGAAGAATGCTGATGCTTTCTATAGTGCAGACAATGAACAAGCGCATATTATTTTATACATAAAACAAAAATTGCGAGGCGAATTACAAACACTAATAGAAAAGGTGGTAGACGGTGTGTGCAGGAGTGAACGTGGCAGTGCTCATTAGTAAATAATCTATGAAATCCAAACGATAATTACTTGGAAAGGTTCCTGGTGGACGACCTGGCTTATTGTCTTTGCTTATATTCCTACTCTTTACGAAAAAATACTTTCGTTGCTTCATTTCAACTTTTCTATTCGGATAGGCAAAGTTAGGGCAGAAATGATCCCCTTTCACTTATACACTATGAATCAACAAAAATTACAATCCTCTAATATCCATAATGCCTCCCCTAGAATAACCGCTAGTGTATTCGATTCAGGAAAAAGCCTATTCCGTCCATGCATAAATGACAATAGCCCCAAGTACTCATTCTATCCACATTCATTACAGGAGAAAAATAGTAATTTACAGAATACTTTTCACGTTTTTTTAAACGATACAAGGGACTAAAAAATTAAGATGAATCGTCGTCTTGAACTATTTATTGAGGACGACCAAATCCACCACGGAAAGAGGGAGCAAATCCACCGGGAGCAGCAGCATCGTCCTTCTTTTCAGCACGGCGGTAACCAACGTCAGCAGCTGTACGCTCACGAGGTTCAGGGCGAGTAGCACGAGGAGCAGCGGGGCGCACTTGACGCTTGTGAGTAGCAGGGACAACCTCAGCAGGAAGATGCAAGTACTCACGCAAGTATTCAACACCCTCGTTGTTCAAAGTGTAGTAAAAGTAGCCCCAGTTGTAGCGGGTCTTGAGGTAACCACGAGAGTCCAAGGATTGGCAAGCCTTGATAACTTGCAAGTTGGGGACACCAACTTCAGGGTGCTTGGGAAGGTTGAAGTCTAAAAATGCATTAGTAACCGGAAGAACAACCACTGGATCTAACGAGCTTCTAAAAGGCCAGCCAAGTATTTGTATGTTTCAATGTTCCTGGGAAAAACAAAGCCAATAAAAATTAAAGGTTCGTTCACATAGCAAACCGAATTTGTTTTTCCAGTTAATTTTAATGCCCACTATGAACAGAATGAAACGAACTTTCGCAAACCATAATGACCAATGCCCATTAAAAGCCGTCCTATTTACATACCCTTCTTGGCAACCAAGACACCTTGTTGGAAAAGAGTTTGATGAATAGCCTTGCGGTTCTCCTTAGGGATAAGCATCTTCAGTTCAAGGTAAAGCCGAAATTACCAATGTTGTCAGAATCTCATTCTGAGTAGTTTGGACCTACTAAAACCAGTCACAAGCATAGAGGGTAGGGTTACCACCCGAACTAATATTACTACAGCGAAGGAAAGAAATATCGTTTTACGGAAACTGTGTTATACTCCGTTGATATTTATTAGAACATCAAAAGGTGCTTCAGTAAACGCATTTTTGCTACGAGAATAAAAATTCGTTTGTTTATATATCTTTATGCCAGGAGAGAATGTAAAGGCTTTTAAATATGAATTTTTTTACTGGATTCTAGACCACGGTACACTTGACAATAGCATGCGACATGGGCGATATACGTTTTCTAACCAATGTATGCACCTCTCAAAAGTTTCTTGTTCTTAGGAAAGGCGAGATCAATCATAACTTTGAAGTTTCAAATTCATTCAAGAACTTGCTCTATTAATTTGTATCTATTATCGTCTTTTATCCAACACAATAGTCCCAATTTCATATCTCGTAAAACATTAACTTAGTTATGCAAATCCATCGTCCCAACCATCTAGTACTTTGGCTTGTTCATCTTCATCGTCATCGTCACCATCCGAAACAGTCGCTTCCATACGTTGAAGCCATGGATCGTGAGATTGGACGCCCTCTTTTATGGACTCCTTACCTTTGTTGGAAGATGAAGATTCGTTCTCATTTGAAGAGCTTTGTTCTGAAGAAGAAAAGGAAGCGGCCGAGGAAGACCCACGACGATGAGCCAAAGAAGATTGGAAAGCATTGCGGGTTTCAGATACAGATTTCTCTATATCTTCTAGAAATTCGTGGTCGTCAAATCTAGATACATTTTGCTCAGTAGAAAGAAGCTTCTTTAATTTCTGTTTTTTCTCTTCCTTTTTAGCTCGAGTTTCTGCGGGTTTCTTGGCTAGAAATTCAGATAATTCCTTCGCTTGACGAACAGTACCAAGACGATTTCCATCTAAATCCCTACAGGAATCTTGGTTTTCTTCTTCATTACGCTTTTTTGACATACGACCACCGGCAGCTCGTAGCTGACTGCCAAAACCACCTTTGCCACCCAAAACTCGTCCACAAAGCCAGAGATTTACGTCTTTATTCAATGCGTTCTTTTCCAAACCACATATCGAAGTGGATGGGCATACAATTCGGCCCTCATATGTCAAGTATAGTGAATTCAGCAGACGATCGGCTTGCTTTCCAAAAGCTTGACCCAATGCTTGTTTCAGGGTCGCAGAAGCATTCATTTGAACCTGAACGGTCTCTTTGGACGGAAATCCATTAAAAAACACCGTCTTTCGTTCCATGTTCCCAGAATTGGCCAGCGTTGCAGAGTTTGGTAAAGGAGACCAGTATATCTAGGCTCCTATATATAGGTAGTGGCTAAATCAAAGCTTGCCTTCATGCTCCGTAGAATCAATCCATGATAAAAATAAATAAAAATAATAAAGAAAGATACACGAAAGATAATAAAATAGCGACCAGGAAAAATTTTCTGGCTCAGGTACACCTTGTCGATCAAAAAAAGGAAAAAGCAGGTTTTTTTCTAATGTTTATAAAGTCGCGCAGATTCACATACAAGGAATTGAAATAAACTATACTTCATGAAAGGAGTAGTTGGTCGGGCAACTCGAAACGGAGCTATTTTGGACTTGTATACAATGAGGAACCAGACAACGGAGAGCAAATTGACTTTTCTAAGGATAAAAAGTAAAAACTGGCTTCTTTATTTGTTAACCTTTGTTCTTTTGTTCACCAGCTTGTCTTTAGCAACTGTAGAAGAAATCTTTCTGTGCAAAGTCATATCAAACATTCATTCCTTAGGATAGCTTTGAAACCAAATTCAGTCAATTTCATAATTTACTTCTTTTTTTATATCTTTTCCATTTCAAAAATTTCTATCCAATTTAGCTGGTTTTCCAAAACTTTTAACCGAGAAAAATTGGCCTTAAAAAAAATCGCAACTCGAAAAGATCATGGAACCATAATATATTCAGTCCTCTTTTTTCTTTTTTTCTTCATAAAACCCTGGTTTTCACAACATAGAGCTATTCATGTAGCATCTCGATTAGCAGCGATCACATACTCCATTATTAAACTTCATGCAGACAACAGTAACTGAACCCTTTACCAATGTATGTAAAGGAACGTCTTCATCATAACTTCTTACTCAATTGCGGACGGTCGCTTATTCTGTGATTCCTCCTTCTACCTATTTAGGATTTAATGCATCTACGTGACATTCTACCTCTCAGATCGGATCCAATCTTCAAAGCTCCAGATTCTTTATTTAACAAACAAAAAAGAATGAAAAAAAGACTTTAAAACACTCATTCGACTTTGCTTTACCTGCTTTTCTTGATTGTTTACATGCCTATACCAATGCAAAACTCACCACCAAAAACTGAATATCCATGAACTGAAAAATATCAGTTTTTATTGTCTATAGAAACTGAATCCCGTTTAAAAAGACGATAAACATAGTTTCTTTTTAACACGAATTCGTTCCTCTTATTTCCTTAAAGTGAACTTTTTTTTTTTTACTTATTTTTACTTGTTTTCTTTGCCGCATGATTTGGTGGTGACTTTAGCGCTCCAATTTTGAACTTTGCGTGCATGACTTTTCAGAGCTGGTGGTGGTGGCAGTACATAGGACTCCTTTGTCCTACTAGCTCAACACCACGCTTTGCCATCTCATTGAAACTCCAACCATTTTAAAACGGAAAAAATAACTGTCTTTTTGGTACGTTTGCTAGACTCTTTCCCATTATTAAAGGCTCTTCAAAAAAAGTATCGCTGCTTTAGGGACTCAATAGTCGCGACGGTAGTCAAATTACTTTTTTTTTTTTGGGGTAAGAAACGTCCGACACTCATCAATCTAGTATACTGAGTATTTTCGGTAGAAAAGTTGATTCACTTTTCTAATTGTTATTGACGGTTTATTTTCGCCCAAAGAAGGAAGTAAGAAGACTTGGGTTCGTTGAGTTCAAGTTGCTTCGTGACACTTTCTTTCTCTCATTTTTCTTTTTATTGAAAATTATTGATAACACGAATTATTATTTATCTATATTCGTTGAAATCGAGAGCAGGTTTCGTTCATTACTCGCAAAGGATCATTTACGAAATCCATTGCATCCATATTTTGCTTTCCATTAATTCCTGACTAAAATCTGGTTTGTCAGAGTTTCAAATAGACGAATCAGAAAAACTATTGGAAATTTTTCCCTTATTCCCTTATTTATTTCTCTCTTATTTAACACCTTGTCTTTTTTTTCCATTAGAAGACCGGCTTGTTTTTATTTTTTTTTATTTAAAAAAAAAGGAAAAGTTAGTCGCTTTGCGTTTGCTTTTTCGCCTTACACGCATTACAATTTCTGGCAAATTGATTCTACATTGAGTTGTTTTTTTTTTGGGCAAGATTCAAACGAAAGGGTATAAAAGGAGATATTACCAAGAGTTGATCTTGTTTTAAAAATAAGTCCCATTGGAATATCTTTTCTATAGTACACATTTTCTACTCTTTTGCCCAATACGTCGTTCCCCAATCCTTTTGGTGCTTCTTTCAGAAGCTACTCCAACGCTGTGGTGGAATACTCCAATCCTTATATTTGGCAAAATCGGCCTATCGTTTTAAAGCTCATCGATACTGGAGCCAAGAATCATTGGTTAGAAAGTGTATCGGACGAAGAGGATTCTCTATCGACTGATATCGATTCTTCCCAAGAAGCTGTTGACACCGTAACTACTGCTCGCCATTCATTTTCGTATCCTCTTTCCAACGTAAACTCTATCCCAGTGACAGATTTTTTTCATTCTACTGATGAGCATGAAAACATGTCTTTAGATGAACATGAAAGCAAACCCGTACTTGAGGATTTTGATACTGAAATAGACGATATCGCTCAGGAAGCAAATGGAAATATTTTAAAAGAAGATGAAGATAAAAAAGAAGAAGAATATCATGATTCTGATGAAAGTGAGGAATCTGAAGAGTCTTTACCCAACCAAGGTAGTCACCGTCGTCGTCGTCGCTCGCAGTCTGTTGCTGCGAATAAACGTATTCACGATGCTTTCCAACATGACCAGGAGGATTATGGTGGTGAGGATTATCAACCCACGGCTAAACGGAGACTGAGAAATCGTGTTGCAAGCGACGAGGATGAACCGTTCGTTGCTTCCGCTTCTGAAGAAGATTTGTCTGATACGGATGATTCCCTGGTACAATCTGCTAGAACCAGAAGATCTTTACGACAAGGAACACGACGTTCTACTCGCTTACGAACTCAAAGACACGATGAAGATTCCGACGAAGAGATTCATCGTCCAACTTTGCGTGAGAGAACTAGTCGCGTTAATTATAGCGTTCCTCTCTCATTTCCTCCGGTGGAAGATCAGGAAGGTGAAGGAGCTTCCTTTAACCAAAGCAGAAATAGAAAGACACATTCTGAAGTTGCTGTTGCAAATTTACTACGAAATCAAGTCTCTAGTTTTATGCCCTACATTGACTCTAGCGGGTCTGAATCCGAGAGCGATAGTACAAGAGTAAAGCGTTCTTCTGCAAAAACTGTGAAAGCATTAACCGATTCTACGGGTGCTGGAGGACCTCCAAATTATGGTCGTGTAAAAGAGAAAAGCGATTTGGCTGACTCGGATCCTCTCGGCGTGGATTCTTCTCTTTCATTTGAATCTGTTGGTGGTTTAGATAATCATGTTAATCAACTGAAAGAAATGATTATGCTTCCTCTTCTTTATCCAGAGATTTTTCAGACCTTTAACATGCAACCACCACGCGGTGTGTTATTTCATGGCCCCCCAGGTACTGGTAAAACCTTATTGGCAAGAGCGCTGGCCGCTGCTTGCTCTTCTGAAGATAAAAAAGTGTCTTTTTATATGCGAAAAGGTGCCGATTGTTTAAGTAAATGGGTTGGTGAAGCTGAACGTCAATTACGCCTTCTGTTTGAAGAGGCCAAAAGCACTCAACCGAGTATCATATTCTTTGATGAGATTGATGGTCTTGCTCCTGTTCGATCTAGTAAGCAGGAACAGATCCATGCCTCTATTGTATCTACTCTCCTGGCCCTGATGGATGGCATGGATGGCCGAGGCCAGGTCATTATTATTGGTGCTACTAATAGGCCAGATGCTGTTGATCCTGCTCTACGAAGGCCTGGACGCTTTGATCGTGAGTTTTATTTTCCTTTACCAGATAGAGAAGCAAGAAAAAAGATTATTCAGATTCATACTCGGAGCTGGAAAGTTCCTACACCAGAATGGCTCTGTGATTTACTTGCCGAGAGGTCAAAAGGCTACGGTGGTGCTGATCTTCGTGCTCTCTGTACTGAAGCCGCTTTGAATTCCATCAAGCGAACGTATCCTCAGCTGTATAGAAGTTCAAAAAGACTACAATTTGATCCTAATACGATCCAAGTTAAGGTGAAAGACTTTGCTTTGTCAATGAAGAGGATTATTCCCTCCACCGCCCGCTCTTCATTAGCTTTTAACAAGCCTTTACCTGCTGAAGTGAAGCCTTTATTAGAAGATACTTTGGATCGTATACTTTCGTATCTTGGCAGAAACATGCCTATTCCTCCCAAGGTCAATATTTTGGAAGAAGTGATGTTTGACGACCCTGGAGAAGACAACTTTGATTACCAACAACAGTTAGAGCAATTTGAAAAGCTGAGGATCTATAAGCCAAGGCTTCTGATTTGTGGAAGAAAAGGGTTAGGTCAGGTTTCTCTGGGACCTGCTATCTTGCAATTTTACGAAGGCGTCCATGTTCAATCCTTTGATATGTCAGCTCTGTTGCAAGACTCAACTCAAAGCATAGAAACTTCCATTATTCAATTATTTACTGAAGTTCGTCGACATACGCCTAGCGTTATCTATATTCCTGACGTTGACAGCTGGTTGAATGTTCTTCCACCTTCAGCTAGCACTACGTTTTCCTCATTGCTTGAGCGACTAGATTTCTCTGACCAAGTTTTATTTCTTGCACTTTCAGGGAGTCCGCGAAAGGAATTACATCCTCAGCTCAAAGAGTGGTTCCCAAAGCAATCAGTGGTAGAGTTGCAATATCCGTCTCGTAAAAATATTGAGAAGTTCTTTCAACCAATTATCGACCTTATAAGTACTTCACCTCAAAAATTACCAGGTGGGCTTCCAAGAAAGAGGAGAATCCTTCCTGAATTGCCGTTAGCTCCCACTCCTGCTCCTGTCACGGGAGTTAAAACTAATTTGAAGCAGACGAAGCAAGCCGATATGAGGTTGTTAAATAAGCTTAAGGTTAAATTGAACGCACTCTTGTCAAATTTACGTACAAGATATCGTAAATTCAAAAAGCCTCTGATAGACTATAACGATATATTTTGTGTTGATCCTGAAACAGGTCATTCATATCGCAAACGGGAAGAGTGCAATTTTGAATTGGTCGATGAAGAGGTTCGTAAAATTGACACCAATCAAAAGTTCAGCATGATGAGTTTAGAAGAAGTTGAGAAACGTGTCTGGGACAATTGCTACTGGACTCCAAAAGACTTTGTTCGTGACATAAAGCTCATTCTCCGTGATGCTCTGCGTTTAGGAGACAATGAAACTGTGAAGCGTGCACAAGAAATGTATGCTAACGTCTTACTGGGATTAGAAGACATGGATGACGAACAGTTTTCTCAAAAATGTGAGCGTATGGCGATTCGTGAAGAAGAACGAAGGAAGTTAAGAGAAAATAAATTAAGAAAGCATTTGGATGCCACGAAAGCTACAATGCAGCTTCCTGAAGATCAACAAGAGCAACACGTAGAAAGCAATGCTGAAATAGACGATTCAACGGAACAGCCATCTGACATGTTAATGGAAACTTTAACGAATATGCCTATTGATAATTTGAGCTCTAAAAATGAAGTAAGAGAAGACCAATTTAAAGATGTGTATCTACAACCGTCGATTATGTCGGTGCCTAACTCATTTATTGAAAAAGTAGACGAAGACAGAGTCTCACCGGAAAATATATCGGAGAATGGAAGACAACCAGATGAGGACACACTGAAGAATGGTATCTCTTCTTTTACGGATCGTTCAAAGTCTGTTGGGATTACAGAACAGAATAATAATGTAATGCACGGTGAAAAAGCTGACTTCGAAAATCAAGTGGAAGAGGAGAAGCCCCCAGAACTATTACTCGATGAGCGGAAACTTATGAACCTGAAAGATTTGTTTTTAGAAATTTCTAGAGATTTGACAGTTGAAGAACTAGTGCATTTACATGCCTCCTTATATAAAATAATTTGGGATACAAAGAGTGTATGGGATAGAAATTCCGTCATTGACAAATGCGCTACTGCTTTGAAAGAACTTACGGATGATGGTGATGGTCTAGAGTTCGACACCTAATGATTTACTAATGTCATTTTTAATATAAAATTTAATGTCATTTTTGTTCGTCTTCAGAAGCTATGCTAATTAATTATGGTAAAAGAAGGCATTAGAATAATATTTTTAAATTTTTACTCTTGATCACATGTCGGTAGGTAAATGAAGCATTAAGTAAATTATCTTTTCAATTATGGACTTTTGGCATTAGTAAAGCCTGGTGTCACACTTCCGGTTGAAGTAAATTTTTGATTGTTTATAATATCGTCCGGGTTGACTGTAGCAGACTCACAACTAACATCCATATCCTGGCGAGTTATGGACGTGCCAATGTCTCCATCTACAGATGTACCGAGCGCAGTTGGTCGATCCATTGCACGTCCTTTTTCAATAAGTTTTTCTATTTGAATACGAGAGGAGATAAAGTCTATCTTGGGAAACGTAGCAGCTTTGCCAGCTGCGATCATATTCGCCAAACGCTCATTACTAGGAGGAGATAGGATATACCAAAAATCTTTCAATTTTGTTTTTGGCCAGATAGTGATAGTGCCATCGAATTTTTGAAGAAAAACACTACTCCAGTCCTGTCCAAGAGGTCGTGGTAACAATTCTAGGCTACGAATAACATGAAGCCATTTGATCATATCGTATTTGAGGTACTGCTCAATAGCACTACCTAAATAACCACCACGCCATCCACGACCCTTCCTGTGAGAAACAGGTCTTCCTACAGTGCCGCGGGGGGAGAAAAAGAAAACCTGAACGTGAGGGTTTGTTTGACTAACGATGGAAAAGTGAACATTAAACTGTGTCCTCAATTCTCCGAGGGGAATGTCTGTGCGAAGGCTTCCATCTTTAAAGCGATTACCAAAGTTGTGTGGTATTAGCTTTCCTGAGGGACCTCTTGTCATCAGAGGGATAGGATTCAGGATTCCTGGCACAGCACAACTAGCAATGACGGCACTCCAAATAATTGTGTTTGGGGAAGTTAAATAATTTATTAATTTAGGAGGAGAGTGAGCATCACTGGGAATGACAGAGATATTGAGAATTCGACCGGATCTTTCATAAGCTTCGGCGAAAGTCATGCTTCCACGAGTGAAAAACATGCATGTTTTGGCCCAGAAAATCTCATCAAACCGGGCTCCTGTTTGAATGTATCGCTTTGCAGATTCTATATAGCTGCCGACATCGCTTTGAAATTTAGGAGCTAGTTCAGGCACAAGCAGTTGCCGTAGCTCGTCATTTGTGCGAGTACAGACCAGAGCAGCCAAAAGACCACCACCACTGGTTCCAGTAATCACATTCGGAAGTAGATCCTGCTCCAAAAGTGCAGCAAGGACACCAGTATGGTAAATAGCAAAGGAAGCACCGCCTGACAAACAGAGAGCGGTACGGCCATAATTATGTGAAAAGTATTCAAACATGCGGGATCTATCTTTTGGCGTATATAGCTTCTTGTCAATAACTAATTGTAAACAGTGAGTTAGCTCGTTCACATAGTCCTCAACGAGCTTTTTAGTGCCCGAATACGTGCGAGAATAGAGCATGGGGCTATCGATAGCGGCAAAGTTACTACGGACACAAACATCCAGGGTAGATTTTAGTTGTTCCCATTCCTCCTTCAGTCGATGAACTCTTAAACTGCGGAAGACAGTTCGAAGAAGGGAGTAATCGTAATAATCGTAAGCTGGGTCAAGCTTCCAATCGTTATTTCCGAAATAGTCATCCAAGTCCCGAGCCCGCGCCTTCCATTCTTCAAAGGTCTTGGCATTTTGGAGACGGCTCCGTAAAAGGGCAGGTCGACCACGCCAAACAATAAAATATTCATAACAGTTGATATACATACGATCTAGTAAGTAAAGAAATCTATATAAGGTTCATTAGTTAATTGAGACTAAATGTTGGAGAATTCAGCAAGTTACATACGCAACGACGCTAAGACAAATGGAAGCAGTGATCATAAGTGGCCAACGTAAAATGGGATACATAAAACCCTCCCGTTTTTCATCTTTTCCCGTCTTCCCTTTTTTGGGCAGTACAACCTCATGTACAGGATTCCAATCGTGTTGTGCAATGATATACTCTATTCGCTTGTCTCTTTGCTTGCTATAGCCGCAAGTGTATTTGACAAATTCGTCAAGATCTAAGTAGGAGAATCGTTAGCCAACATTGAACCCAAAAAGTAATCGCGAGCTTCAGCTAGTGCTAGTCAATCCATTACCTTCTTGTACGGTATAATCATTGTCAATTTCTGAATTTCCAGAACCGGTCATCGTTTTTTTTCAAGATAAGACACGCAAACAATGCAAGAAACTTCAATCACAGAAAAAAAAGTTTCTTTGTAGTAAAGAGTAGCAAAATAGACATCAAATTTCGCTGTAAGTGTGCCCTGAAACTATTCAGGTTGGAAGAGGAGAATAACCTATTATTGTCTCACGCCCTTCTTTTATGAACGACGTCAATACCCCAGGTTTTTACGTAAACTTTAAGCTTAAATTTAGACGAGAAGTTGGTTCCAGTAGACTGAAAGTAAGTGATGTAAAAAATAAAGAGAAAAAGAGAATTTGGAAAGGAACGATGCTAACTGATTATCAATTTTGACAAAAGAATAAAACTCGACAATCGTTGCAAGGCACCTGGAAAATATGAACTTGTGTTTCTGGATTTCCAAAGAAGAAAGGAAAGAAAATAATCACTGATAAATCCTGTTTAGTTATTGTAAATCTATACTGTTAAGCCAAACAATGGTTTATTATTATACGCTTCAAAGGACGTTTTGGAAATCCTGTCCATTTTAAAAGAATGATTGTTATTCGGCATAGCGAAAAACAGACTCTATGACGGCAAGGACAGGCAAAACAAAACATTAGCGAAAACGACAGAGAATTATGGTTGGAAAGCAATATGCTTCAAGTCATGTACTGCATTGTATTGTATTGTACTGTACTCTATTAATCAAATATGTATTGTTACTATCCTCCGTATGGTCTTATAATTCTCTGCCCGATTACCGATCTCGATTTGCTTGTCAGAACGGCAAACATATGTCATCAACAAACCCGGAAGGAAGGTAGGAAACGGTATATAAAGTAACGAATCTCATAGGTGAACAAAACGGTTCTTCTTTAAGTAAGAAGCATGAAGTGATTTAAAAAAAGGAAAAAAAAACAAATAAAAAGGCTAGCGAAAAATGAATCGCATATATATACAAATTGAATTTTCCTCTGCTTAAATGTCATCATTCTCGGGTTTCGCTTCCGGCAACTCTGCTTTTGGGGAATCACAATTGCCGAATAGGGAGATTTACGAATTGCCGATGGTTAGAGCAAAGCCAATCATGCTTCTTCAGAAACGAAGCCAAACTCATTGCCGATAAACTCTTACGAAATATAAATTAATGCAATTTCCAGTCTGTATAATCCTTTGGCTAACTCTTTGTATACACAACACCCATTGCTTAATTCTTTGACTCTACGAGTTAGATTCCTGATACTGGCGATAAAATACTTCTAGACGAAGGATTGTTTTGTTGTGCTTTGACATCCTGGACTGAAATTTCGAAATCTTCGTTTCAACTTGCATTTTGAACTTTTTTTTTTTCTTGTTCTCTTCTTTACTTGTCTTGTTTTGTTGATTTGAACTCTTTTCGCCTACTAGGTCTCTCTCTCTTCCTTTTTTTCTGTTTCCTTGTTACATCATTTTCGTTTGTTTTTTTTGTACAAAAGAAGCTTGCGGTAGTGGCTGAGCTGAAAACTGGATTTTTCGTATTACCAATTCCTTTCATATTTGTTTCTCCTTAATGTTTTTGTCCTATTTGCTTGTCCTTTCAAGCTTGTGTTTCATTCTCATCAGTTGCCAAGTTTTGGACCCTAATGGGGAACACTCTCATCTTCAGCTCTCTCAACTTGACAAAAGAAATTGGAAAAAACCACCACCTCCTCCTTCCACCAATGCTTCCTATGCTCCCGTTATCGGTTCTTGCAATGGCTCCAAAAGACTTCTTCATTCCTTAGAGTCTGGTCAACTTCCCGAATTAGAAGCTAACTTTCTTAAAAAACGCTCACAATCATCTGATGAGGCTCTTCGTTCCTTTTTACAATCTGTCCATTCCACCTCCTCACTCGACTTAGACAGCCTTATTGGTAGCAACGGTCCTCGCCTGGGAATTGCTGTCTCTGGTGGAGGATATCGTTCTATGTTTTTTGGCGGCGGTGCCCTAGCTGCGTTCGATAATCGAAGTAACGATACCACTTTGGGTGGTCTTTTACAAGGTGCTAGTTATATCACTGGTGCAGATGGCGGCTCTTGGCTTGTCAGCTCGTTAGCAATTAACGATTTTCGTACTGTACAAAACTTATCTTCTTCCATCTGGTATTCTCGCCTTGGTATCTTTTTCGTTGAGGAAACGCGATTTGGCGACAATGAAAATTATTATACCGATCTCGTTGATGAAGTAAATCAAAAAGCTGCTGCTGGTTTTAATGTAAGTTTGACCGACTATTGGGGCCGTGCGATTGCTCGTCATACAACTGGCCGCCTTCGAGGTGGTCCCGATACGACTTACTCTTCTGTGCAAAATGCTTCCTGGTTCCAAGGTGCCGAATATCCCTATCCCATTCTAGTCTCTCAAGGCTTACCTGGTGCACTTGCCTATGGCCATAATTCCACTTCTTCCAATTCAAGTATTTACGAGTTTTCTCCTTATTACTTTAACACCTTCGACAATAATGTCCGTGCTTATATGCCTCTCGAATATCTCGGCACCAAGCTAAATAATGGCTCTGCTGTGGATGATAACTGTGTCACTTACTTCGATAATGTTGGATTTTTGATTGGCACTTCGTCAACTCGCTACAATGATGCTCTCTTGGATGTAAGTTTGCGTCAGTCGCGTATGAGCCGTCGACTTGGTTTTACTCTTCGCCATATGAGGATTAATGGTTCAGCTGTTAGCTATTATAACAACATGTTTAATGCCGCTTCAACTATAGCAGGTGATGGCACAGCTGCTTCGAATGGTCTTGTGAGTGCTCCTTATGTTGACTTGTACGATGGTGGAGCTGATAAGCAAAATATTCCAATTTGGCCTTTACTTCAACCAGAACGCCATGTTGATGTTGTCTTTGCGCTCGATGCTAGTGGTGATACTGACAATTACTGGCCAAACGGTACATCCTTAGTATCAACTTATGAACGGATAACTCAGAAGGCCTCTGATGCTTCGTATGCAGTAAATTCCTTTGTTCATATTCCTCCAGTGGAAACTTTTATTAACCTTGGCTTGAACAATCGCCCAACCTTTTTTGGTTGTGATGGACGCAACACTACGCGTAAAAGTCAAGTGGTTGATGATAACACTCCTCCTTTGGTAGTCTATCTCCCTAACACACCCTGGACGACACAGTCGAATATTGCCGATGATCGCTATCGCCTTGGTACTTCTAACATTAAGGATCTAGTTCATAATGGCTTTGTTGCTGCTACTCAAAACAACTCTACCGATTTTGCTTCTTGCTTGGCTTGCGCCGTTGTCCAAAGATCCTTGGAACGTCAAAATCAGTCAACTCCTCAAGCTTGTCAGCAATGCTTTTCCCAATACTGCTGGAATGGTACAGTTGACAATTCCCCTGTTTTCGATCAAAAGGGCAACGTAAAATACAACCCTTCCATGAAAAGCGGTGCCATGCGTCTTTCTAATAACATTGTATTATCTGGCTTGCTTGCATTCTTACTCATTTTTTATATTCTAAGTTGAACCAATAATGGAATTCCCTGAAAAGTTTCAATACCGTGTCCAGAATTAATAATTTAATTTCCTAGTCATAGGTACAACTGTCAAGTACCTATTGCTATAATTTACTGTTATATTTCTGATTATCCTCAATGTGTCTTTGTTTCCGGGATTGTTCTTTTACCTTATAAAGTTTTTGGCTTGTTGTACCATAGTAAATAATTATTCTACATGTCTTTTAGATATGTTCATTCTCGGCTTACTTGCATACATATAATACAAGAGTTTATCGTCGTTTTACTACCTTTCATCTTCTTTAGAAGCATAAAGAAGCCTTTGTACCTCATAACACATCCCATCTAATTTCTTTTATTGTAATACAATTTTCTTATGAAATAGCAACATAATGAATTCGTCTACAAAGTTGTCCTGTTCACTTTGTTTATCAATGAAACGTACGTAAATATTCACAAATTACTTATAGCATAGTACAATGATTTAGCTTCCAATGTCAGTTAATCACTTTACGGTTATACAATGCACTCCTCACTATTATACCTTATGGAACGTATACAAGTTTCCATGTTTATAAATAAAAGAGAATGGTTATAATACTAACGACATCGTTTCAGGACGTTAAACCAACACTTCGTTTTGTTGACAGTAGAGGTAAGATATGTACAACATACTTACACAGAGCCAACTATCACCATGGTCGCTTTAAGGACCAGTTTTCTAAATGGATCGAAAACCAAAGCGGTGCGGTATCACACAATTTTACGGCCGATACTTCAGCAGCGATTCTTACGCGCTTCTTTGGCGTTGTATTGTTTGTGTTGTGTAACATCATATTGGCTCGCGTCTGGATCCAGTATGTCTATTTGTTTGAATAAAAAGCGAGATACTAACCTTTTTCATGTAGTTTTCTCCCTGAAATTGATTTTTGGAAGTTTTTTCAAAGGCATACTATGCTTTTTATTTGTATTCCCATATTTTGTAATGCTGAAAAGCAGAATGACCACCACCAAGAATGTTCATAGCTCATTAGCAAAAGATCTTATGACAAGCTTTTCTCCTCGATCATTCTTTCCTGTGTATATCTCTTTTGTTGTTTCCGTTGGGATACTCACGATTGCATATGTCCAGGGCCACGCTTCTTCCGCTCGTTTACAATGGGTAACAAGCGCGCGAATGTATGAATTACCAAGACTTAACGAACGGTTTGTTTATATGATGTTTATAGCTGCAATGATGGCTTTCGCTTCTGCATGTGAGCATCTCTATTTTGGGCGGGATACACCTGAACAACCTGTCCTACAAATACCCTTTTTTGTTTATGTGAAACAAAACATTCCTTCTATGTTTAAGTTTTCGGTTATTAAATCTTTAGCATGTGGATTTGCTTCCCCTATTATTTATGCGATTTTCCGATCTTCTATTTGGAAAACTTTTTTGATTTTTACCAAATGCTTTCACAGACTTGCTGCTTCCAAAGCACTTCCTCGTTGGCCAGTAAACCTTGGTCTGTTGTTTCATAGCTTGTGGATGACTTTTCTTATAAACATTTCATTGAATATGGCTCTTTTAATTTTCCGTATCTTTTTATATGCCGGACCCGTTGTTCGTTCTCGCTTTATCAGTATGCGCTCTAATGACCCTAACGGTACCTTATTAGATGGGATTAAGACGAGAAACAAGCCGCTAACTCAATGTATCGCTTCACAAGAGTTGTACTTAATTTGCTCCAAGGATCCAAAGCGAATTCAAAGCATTCTTCAAGATATTGATAGGAAGACTAGTGTTTGGCAAGAGATTCTAAATTATACCTTAATGCTGTGTGAAAGTCTCTCTACTTCCTTGCAGCAATCTTCTGTTACTAAAAAATCCAGTGCTACTGAGACTGCTCAATCAAGCTCAAGACTCAAAAATGGTTCCGCAACAGAAGCCTTCAATACAATTCCTCTTAAAGAGGAAAATGTTTTTGCCTCTAGCTCTTCTCAACGTTCTCGGCTTTTGGAGAAGGTAAAAAAGCATGGTAACTTCAGCTCACCCGATGTCTCTCAGAATTCCTTCCTTGAGTCATTGGTACCCGCGTCTATTCGTAAGCAGTTCTCGAAGTATCCTTCAGTTATTTACAGAACTTCCTTGTTCAATATATTCCGCAAAACCTTGGATCGAAAAAATGCAGCTGTTTTAAGTAACCCATGGTTACTTGAAATACATATTACCAGTTTGTCACTACTTGTTTTAAAATCGTTACAGTATGACACGTATGGTGTGGTTGCTCGTGATATTTCAGATATCTTAACTGTCTATTGTGATACCTACGATAAATTAATTGCTTATAAGCGCAACCCTCCTATTCACGCCTCTGATGTCTTTGCATCGGAACGAACTCATGATTTTGATGATATGGACCGAATTATTGCTTGTTTGAGAGACGGTATTGTTGAAATTACCGAAAAATTCCAAGATTTTTTCTTACAATTGAACATTCCAACTAAGGTAGAACGCCGTTGCTGGGTGTTGTACCGAGGACGAAACTCAACTACTTGAAAAGATTTTCAGATGAAATCTCCTATTGTAGAAAGCAATATGAACGTTAAAGTGGAGATGAAAAAATATCAATTGGAATAAAATACATGAATTGATACGGGTATTAACTTCATTAACAAGAACAGATTAAAAAAGACGGATGTCTTGTTTTTCTTTTTCTTTAATAAGGAACTATCGTCGTTAAACGCTGTTAATATATCTAAAGAGAGGAGATTGTTTTAGATTATTCAGTTTATTGTTGGTCAGTCTTTCCTTGAAAGATAGCCTGACTGGACCAACGGTAAAGGCGCATCCAGGCACCGTGAGCAGTAAGTTTTGGACGAACATCAAGATACATACTTGGGACTCCTTGTACACTACGTCCATTATAAAAATCTATTACATAACAAACCTTTTTACCGCACCTATCGACTAACCAGTCATGTCGGTCAAAGGGTTTGTTATAACCCAACAAGCCAAGAATCCGAGCCTTTGGGGTTAGCTTCTTTACGTCGCCTTGGAATTTTTCGAGTTTGGGTCCCCCACAACTACACCATGTTAGCTTATGCTATTGTTTTGGAGTTTGTTTAGTCTCTTTAGTTCCTTCTTTTAAAAAATATGGAACTCAGGCATCACTATACTTACGATTCCGATCCCCATCCTTTTTCCCAATCCAGAATTTCCTGCCAGGCTTTCTCGTTGACTGCATTATGTATAGGAACAATCGTCTTCATGTCGCTCGCGTTAGGATTCCAATTCTTTCGTTGCATGGCTTCAAAAAACATTTTCTGAGAAGGGTATATCCATTTTTCTTCTTTCTCACTGTTGGGATCTGTTAGTAACTTAGGAATTCCTGATATTTCCCGATCCGTTGGAAGTTCAACAGGCGATGCCGATGCGTTAGGTTGGGATCTGTTTTTGTTGGATTGGCTTTTAAGCCAAGCTTCGCGAACTTCTGGCGATACTGGACATTGAGTTTCTTGGGAGTCTTCCTGGGTTTCTGTCATTTCAAGGGAAATGGGTAATTTACCAGATGCTGCCTTTGACTGGCAATAAGAAAAGTCCTAATTAAGGATGGCCTAAATAGTGTGTTGGAGCTCAGTAAATGCATATTCAAGTTTAATGAATATGCTATAAAAAAACTTTTTTGGTAAGTTGTTAAAGGTTAAAATTTTTCAGTTTTATTGAAAAATGAGTGCCAAAAACCGTTGGCTCTAATATTTGTTCCAAACCATGATTGAGGGCCATTGGGTTAAATCTGCGGTTTCAATGGTGCAACGAAAAGCTGTATGAAGAGCTTTTCAAATTATATAAAGTACCTCGTGACTTATCTCTATCTTGAACAATATGAATGTTTTATTTACTGTGTTCATGTGAAATCATTTACCCAAAGATGAATTTGAAAAAAAAACAATCCTTCTTTTTTTCTTTCACGATTATGCTCATGTATATTGAGGAAATGAATCTTGGAATTGGAGGTATAGTGTCTTATAAAATAAAATATGTCTTGAGACAATCTACTAAAACGGTAGTGTGTGAAACAAAACTTGAAGATTCTACTTGTGTCCAGCTGTCAAACAAATTAAAAATCAAAAAAGTGAAGATTACTGAAACTCGATACGAAATTGTACAGGCTTTCAATGCTTAAATGGATGCTAGGCTCGTTATTCATGAACCTTTTTTTAAGTCTTGAGGAGGTGATCTTTAGGACTTTACGATGCCTTCTTTTTTATCGTCTCACTTCATACGAGATGGATATGCTTGATATTAATACTTTTGTTTATGAACGCCTCAACGTTCTAGCTCACAAATGTCACTTACCATTAGTGCGTTATGATGCCGAACTTCGAATCTTTGTTGAATACAACGACAGGAATGATCAAAGAAATTACCTGACTTTGGGCAGTTGTAGAAGGCTTGCACGCATTATTGGATTGTTCTTGTGTACGGAGGTTGATTTTGTTACTAGACTGTCTGGTTTTCGCTTTGTTAGTTATTTGCATTAAAAAATAAACGTTGGTCAATACCCTATCTTTTACGAGAAAAATAAACATGGCAGAAAAGGTTTATCAATGCACTGTAAGTGCTCCGGTTAATATTGCAGTCATCAAATACTGGGGAAAACGCGATGTTGGGTTGAACTTACCTACAAACAGTTCATTAAGTGTAACTTTATCGCAAGACGATTTACGAACAGTTACGACTGCTAGCTGCAGCAAATCTTTTGAAAAAGACACTTTATGGTTGAACGGGCATGTGGAGGATATTTCCACCAGCAAACGACTTTCTGTTTGCGTAGAGGAATTGCGTAGTGCTCGTCAAGGATTGGAAAAAGAGGATGACTCCTTGGATAAAATCAGCCAACTGAAACTACATGTTGTCTCCAAGAATAATTTCCCCACTGCTGCTGGTTTGGCTTCCTCGGCTGCTGGGTATGCTGCTTTTACTGAAGCCGTTGCCCGTTTATACGGTTTACCCTGGACTCCTACTCAGCTATCCAGAATCGCTAGGCAAGGTTCCGGTAGTGCTTGTCGTAGCTTATTTGGTGGCTATGTTGCATGGGAGATGGGTGAATTGCATAGTGGAGCGGACAGTGTTGCTGTGCAGGTTGAGCCCGTCGAACATTGGCCTGAAATGCGTGTCGCTATTATGGTTGCTTCTGCTGCAAAGAAGGGTGTCTCTTCTACTTCAGGTATGCAATCAACTGTTGCTTCCTCTACCTTATTCCAAAAACGCGTGAAAAATATTGTTCCTGAGCGTATGCAAGCCATGAAACAAGCTATCCGTAAGCATGATTTTGAAACGTTTGCCAAACTTACGATGACCGACTCAAATCAATTTCACGCATGTTGTCTTGATACTTTCCCTCCTATTTTCTATCTGAACGATACCTCTAGAGCTATCATTCGTGTCGTCGAAAACATCAATGCTGCTGCCGGAAAAACAGTTGCTGCTTATACTTTTGATGCAGGTCCAAATGCAGTGGTATACTTCTTGGAAGAAAACTCGGCTTATGTCTTGGATACTTTGTATGCTGTTTCAAGGAACGCACAAGGTTGGGAGGATAGCGAAAGAAACCCTACCTCTGTGAAGATCGACGACGTTGCATCCGAAACTGTACTATCTGGTGTGAGCCGAGTGATTCTCACCAAAGTTGGAGATGGCCCTCGTCTTTTGTCTTCTGAGGAGTCTTTAATAAACGAAGATGGAACACTTAAAGATGCTTAATTATCTCGACTAATTTGAACCCACTTTTACGGTTTCAACGCTATGGTATGCAATGCTTAAGCTAAACGAAACGATCAGTATGGACATAGATTACCGAAAGCAAGGAAAGGCTACTTTAATGTTCTCATCATTTTAATACTACCTTTTACTTTATACAAGTAATACAATACTTTCGTTACCTGCTTTACTTTACCAAATGAAGAACCAACGAGTCAAGTCAAGCTTAAGCTCGTCTTTAGTAAATAAAAGATAGAACGTAAAAAGATTTAATTCCTTAAACAAGAAAATGTATATCACGAAGACTTGCTAATTATACGCATTGATTCACAAAGAATCGAATAAGACTCTCGTTTATGCCGCATTACGGTTATGCTAAAAGAAAAATGAATCAGTAAAAGAAATTCAAAGACATGAGTCATACGTATTTCACGACAAGCACAGGAAGAGCCAAGACGGCACCTAGAGATCATGGGTTAGTATTGTCATTCACCATGGACAGGCAATCCAATGATCCATTGCATTGCACTCTAATCCAGAAAACCAGCATACCAAAGCTTCCAATAAACAACATGGTAGGAATTGCCTTTTTCGAAACATAAAAAGGTACAGTACTATACGTAAGAAAAACAACAAGGTTAATTCTCAATCCAAGACTTTCCAACGGTAACACTAGACTTACGATCCGGGTTTAGGAGGAGCATGGGAAGAAGAAAAACGAACACCGCGAAGAGCGGAACGAGCTGCAATACGAGAGAGGAGCATTATGACAAAAGTTGGGAGTTGCTGAGTTGCTAAGTTGGTTCCAGCCGGCTGCAATTCCTTCTATTGCTGATGCAAACCCTTTCGTATTGCGCAATCCGCTAAACAACATATCGAAACTGTTCCTACACTGAATTATAGATAACGCAGTACAAAGAGATGTCATTAATAAATAAATAGTTCGAGTTCTTTGTTGTTTCTAACAAAACAAAAACAACCTCATAACTTTGATATTGCTGCCAAGTTGCCATCATGCTACTTTGGTCCTTGAAATGTGAGCCCAGATGACCGTAAATCTCTTGATCTCGCTAGTAGCAATATGAGTGACATTTGACAGAATCGTGGGATGATTGTCTTGTTACAACGACTTCTTTTGCAGTTACAAGACATTTGCTCCATACTCCTTTCATCCTCGATTTGAATTTTTCCTTAACTTGAAACATCAAAGCTTTAAGTTTCACAACTCTTAGAGCCCATCCAGTATAGTGACCAACCGTAGACTGCTAGCTTCCATACTAGCAACTAGTACTTCTTGGGAGAATCTTTACTTCATTAAAAAGCAAGGAAACTTTTGCACTTTTAGAAAACAACCTTTTTTGTTCTTTTTTCGCAAAGTTTTGGCATCATGTCTACAATTACAACACCTCCTTCAAACACGCTTTCCCAACAGGATTTCTCTGTGCTGCAATTTCGGCTTTTAGACTTTTTAGCCTCCCAAGAAAGTAGAAAGGTCATTGCTGCTTCTAAAGAATTAACGTTGTTGCGACAGAGCATTCTAACTTTGAAGCACAAAGCAACCAATTTGAAACCAGAAGAAATGAATTTGGAAGAGAAGCAATCTGCTATACGTATACTTCAGTCCAGAATTTCCCTCAAAAAATCTTTCCTTTCCCGAATCCATTCCGAAAACGAAGCTGTCGAAGACGTTGCCATGCAAGAAGCTGTTTGAATGAGACTCATTTGGGATTCTATGCAAAAGAAGCTATTTATTCATGTACATCTCTCTTACACTGAACATAGAAGCACACTACTTTCTTTCTATTCTTGTTTTAATAGTTGAATATATGCGTTAATGAATCGTGCAAGTCATATACGAATACCATCTTCAACCCGATACATAATAATCTTATCTGCTTTGAGAAGATCAACTAATTAACTAATGCACATAACTAATAATGAAATGTAAAAGGGTTCGTAGTAACTTATAAAGCAAATGATGGCTAAATGATCAAATCCTAGAACAAAATGGCAAACGATAGCTTTCTGGCCAGATTTAGATTTTCTCTCTTTCATTAATGAAATAAGTCTCAACGCTTGCGGCGTAAGAACCAGGCCGACAAGATTACTACAGCAATACTACCAGATACGATACCGGCAAAAGCTAAAGACCGATCAGATGGCTTTTTCGTAGATGCCTTTGAGGGCTGCGGCGAAGTAGAAATGTGTTCATCCACAGGAAATTTAGGTTGTAAAACAGATGCTGTTCCAGTACTACTTCCAACGGTAGACAAAACGGGATTGAAACCATCGACAACATGACTGTTCGCTCCTACACCACGAATCTCTAAACGCGGTAGTCCACGCCGACGAGTTAAAAAGATTGCTTCTCGAAGATCAGCGTCACTTGTGATTTCAACTACATCCCCTTCATCGTCTATGTAGGTGAGTGTAATATTTGGTTCATTTTCACGATTAGAGACGGCTTTCTGTAAATCGCTCAATGAGCTAATTTGATCCAAACGAAGACGATGAACCCGTCCGATCGTTGATCGATATTTAATGCTAAATTGCGAAGGAGAGGGGCGTGGAATGGGGAAGATCTGAGATGCAGAATCCGTCGGCTGTACTAAATCCTGCAATGCTTGTTCCATAATTGATGGGTTTCCTTGAAACTGAGAAAGTGAACCAACGTATGAAGGAGTCGTCTGCGAGGCACCATAGCCGTGTATGTCCGAAGCTCCGTAAGCATCAACAGCAGAAGGATGCTCAGAGTATGCAATCCCATTGCTTTGAACTGGGAAAAGAGGGTGCTGTTCTGAACGATAAGAAACATGAGATCCATGAAAGGAAGGTGAGTACTGACTATCTTTTTCCGGTAACTGATAATTCGTTTCTTGCCAGGTCGAAGAAGTAGGAAGCGTATGGGGTTCAGGTGAAACTGGTTGATGGGAGGGAAGGATAGCTTGATTAGGGATAGGCAATTCAGGTGGTGAATCGACGTTTTCATTGGAAGGAGCCAAGAGAGGATGGTTTTCTTGAGAAGCGGTTTTAGATAAAATATTTTCTTCAAGTTCGTGACTCTCATGATCCAAACCTTCATCTTCTTCGGGGGATTGCTCAGCAAGAATTGCCGTTGCCAAATGGAAAAGTGAAAGCAATCCAACGATAGAATCATCTTCGTCAACAATAGGAAGGAAATGAAACTTTCCTTCAAGCATTCGCTCAAGTGCTGTACTAACTCGAAGGTCGATGAGCGCGCAATCTGGGTGGGGAGTCATAACTCGAATGACAGAGCAACGAAAAGCATCGAGTCCTGCCGCAAGAACACGAAGTACGATGTCGTGAGAAGTAAAGATACCAGAAACAGCTCCATTGTCCATAACTAGAACGGAAGAAACATTGGCATGCGCCATGGACTCTGCAGCCTCAGCCACGGTAGTTCGTGTGCCTACCAATATAGGCTCTTGGGTAGATTCAATCAAAGACAAAACATCTTGACCAGATGCTTTCTTCCTTAAAGATTCAACATATTCAATAAACTCTGCCGCATGTGGACCACCTGAATGAGAAGAGTTATTGGTACTACCAGAAACGGACCGATCTTCCAATTCTTCTTGAGCACCTTCGAGAGCAGCAACAAGACGTTCAGCCGCTTCTTGTTGACGAGCAATCCGATCTAGAGGTTCACGTAAACAAGTGCGCATGTTGATAATCCCGATAACATCTCCTTCATCTCCATTATCACCATTGGGGTTACCGTCACTCACCACAGGAAGATGTCGGATTTGGTGCTCGACCATCAACTCAAGCGCAGCATCAATTCTTGTATCACTCGTAATGCATATCGGACCATTCGTCATTATGTCAGCTACATAGGTTTGTCGAGCGTCAAAACCAGCACCGACACATTTCGTTGCAATATCACTCGAAGTCAGAATGCCAGTAAGCTGTCCTTCCTCGTCCACAACCAATACACAATCTTGTCGTTTGGCCGCCATTAGCTGAGCTGTTTCAGTTATCGAGCTATGCATATGAACTGTCAATGCCGCATCAAGGGCAACGCTTTCTACCGTTCCAGGCTCGCCATGTCGATTCGTTGGTTTCGCCGGGGAGTCAAGATTTGCTTGTTTTTTACTTAGTTCGGTAGCTATTTTCCTTCGAAGAGCTTCATCTCTTTTATACTGTCGTTTTCTGGTGTCCGAAACATATGAAACATCCGAGTAAGAAGAGGACACTACAGAGCTATTATCAACGGCATTTGCCGGCATTTTTTTCCCTTCAACAAGAAAGAATTACGCCCTTTTTGTCTTTGGAGCAAGACAAACAAAAGAAATGAACCCAGGTTTAAATTCTCGCGTTATAGTTCGTTATCATACGCCAAATGAGCCTGTTAACTAACTATCTAACTGTCTTGATAACTTGTAGGGAAGCGAACCGAAAGTCAGACTCAAAGAAAAATAGCTTTCTATTTGAAGGCACTTCTGCTTCCTCATAAGTCATTCGAAGTCCAAATTCTGTGGTCTCCTTCTGCTGTATCATATTCTACTCTTAATTTGATATCTAAACTACATTGTTACTTTGCTAATATAAACAATTATCTTCAACAATTCAGAGGTCAAGTTGTGAAAAGCCTTGGATCCTCGTAGGTACGAATTGCGCCTCAATTCTGCATTTCTTTGGGAGCTTACGGCAATTCATTTCCATTTGTTGAGATATCTGAAACTTTAGTTCTACTGCTCATCATACTGACAAAAGCAACCATTGATACAATCCTTTTTTCTCTCATAATTCTTTCTTTTATTAAATTTATATTCACTAAGAATTACAAATACTATATCACTTTTGGAGAGACAAAAAATGTAGGCAAAAACGACACCAGCAGGATTTGAACCTGCGCGCGGAGACCGCAATAGATTTCTAGTCTATCCCTTTAACCACTCAGGCATAGTGTCGAAGGCTGATAGCAATTGTAAAATAATTATTATATCACTGCAATAACGAAAACGAAAACAAACTTTATTTTTACCTACCAGTAGTTGCTACAAGACAATCTTCAATCTCTACAGGCTTAACTAACTAAACAGCTATAGAAAACATGAAAACTCCAACATTTATTTTAAGCATATTTCATTTGCTGGCATTATTAAATTATCGTTTTCCTTAACTTTTCTTCTCGAGGACATCCTCAAGAACCGTTGAATCAAAATTAGATCGCAAAGGGGGGAGGGGAGGGAGTCCATCAATCGCTAAAAAAAAGCAAATCTGAGTCGGACATATCCAACTTATTTGAATCATTTCAACAAAACCTTAAACTTTTCAAACTGAAAAAGATTTTCAGTGCAGTTTATTGCTTCTTATGCATGTCAGCCATGTGGTTCAAGGCGCTACCAGCCTTAAACCAGGCAATTTGGTCTTCGTTGAAGGTGTGGTTCAGTGGAGTGCTCCATTCAGGAGAACCGTCAGCTGGATGAATAACCAAGGTCAAAGGTTTTCTGGGTTGAAAAGAAGGAAGGCCCACAATATCAACAGTGTCAAAGGGGGTAATCTTATCATAAGCAGCAGGATCAGCAAAAGTCAAAGGCAACAAACCTTGCTTCTTAAGATTGGTCTCATGAATACGAGCAAAAGACTTGGTAATGATGGCAGTACCACCCAAGTAGCGGGGTTCAAGAGCTGCATGTTCACGAGAAGAACCTTCACCAAAGTTCTGCTCACCAATACTAACCCAGCGAATGCCGTTGTCACGGTAAGAAATGGCAACGTTGGGGACGGTGTCATATTCTCCAGTAAGTTGGTTCTTCAACTTGTTGGCTTCGCCATTCTCAGCATTGACAGCACCAATCATATAGTTGTTGGAGATGTTTTGGAGATGACCACGGTACTTCAACCAAGGACCAGCAGCAGAAATGTGGTCAGTAGTACATTTACCCTTACTCTTGATTAGGATCTTCAAGCCTTTAGCATCCTTGCCATCCCATCTGTTGAAAGGAGCAAGGCGTTGCAAACGTTGGGACTTGGGGTCAATGGCAACATCTTGAACATTTTCAGACTTAGGTTCGACATAAGTATCAACACCGGGATCATAGCCCTTAGAAGGAAGACCAGCACCGCTGGGAGCCTCAAACTTGAACTCATTACCATTGCTGTCCTTCAAGGTGTCAGTCAATGGGTTGAAATTCATGTTACCGGCAAACACCATAGCAGTAACAATATCGGGAGAAGTAACGAAGGCATGGGTTGCAGGGTTAGCATCGTTACGACCAGTAAAGTTTCTGTTGTATGAAGTAATAATAGAGTTCTTCTCACCCTTTTGAACATCAGTACGCTTCCATTGACCAATGCAAGGACCACAAGCGTTGGCGAGAACGACACCACCAGCCTTTCTCATGGTTTCCAATTGACCATCACGCTCCAAAGTAGCACGCACTTGTTCAGAACCAGGAGTGATAGTGAAGAGAGACTTCGTCTTGATACCCTTGTCAATAGCCTGCTGGCAGATAGAAGCGGCACGAGACATGTCTTCGTAAGAAGAGTTGGTGCAAGAACCAATCAAACCAACTTTAAGCTCTTCGGGCCATTTGTGTTCAGCAATGGCATCCTTGAATTTGGAAACCGGGGTAGCCAAATCAGGAGTGAAAGGACCATTAATATGAGGTTCTAAGGTACTGAGATTAATTTCAATAACTTCGTCATAAGGAGCATTTTCATCAGCGGCAATGACAGGAGCAAATTGTTCTGCGTAAGAGGCAATGTCTGGGCGGCTGGTAGCACGGAGATACTCAGACATACGAGAGTTGAAAGGGAAAATAGAAGTAGTGGCACCAATTTCAGCACCCATGTTGCAGATAGTACCCATACCAGTGCATGAAAGAGATTCGACACCAGGGCCAAAGTATTCTACAATAGCACCAGTACCACCCTTGACAGTCAAAATACCAGCAACCTTGAGAATAACATCCTTGGGGGCAGTCCAGCCGCTCATTTGACCAGTCAATTTAACGCCAATGACCTTAGGGCACTTCAATTCCCAAGGCAAGTCGGCCATAACATCGACAGCATCAGCACCACCAACACCAATGGAGGCCATACCGAGACCACCAGCGTTGGGGGTGTGAGAGTCGGTACCAATCAACAAGCCACCAGGGAAGGCATAGTTCTCAAGGAGAATTTGGTGAATAATACCGGAGCCAGGGCGCCAAAAACCAATGTTGTACTTGGCACAAGCACTGGCCAAAAAGTTGTAGACTTCCTTGTTGGTGACGTTAGCACGCTCCAAGTCCTCGGGACCACCGGAGAAAGCTTCAATCAAGTGATCGCAATGGACAGAGGTGGGAACAGCAACTTCGGGCATTCCTGCAGACATAAATTGTAAAATAGCCATTTGGGCGGTGGCATCTTGACAAGCAACGCGGTCGGGTCGGAGCTTTAAGTAGGAGACACCACGCTCAATATCTTGGTTTACAGGGTCATCCAAATGACCATACAAGATTTTTTCTGAGTAAGTGAGAGGGCGTTGCAATCTCTTCTTTATAACATCCAAATTGTCTTGGATACGTTGGTAGTTGATAAATTTGTTCTGTAGGCAGAGTTAGCATTTTTGGCATAAAGTCAAAAACAGAGAGGATGCCTTAGATATCAAAGAAAGACTTACCTTTTCAAAGTTACTCATGGAAACTTTTCGAGAGCCAATCGAGCAACGCATGGGGGCAGAAGAAAAACTTCTGGCAGCAGGAAGCTAAAAACACAAAAGTTAGAAAGCGTTCTTCTTTTTGTAAAAACACCAAATTTTAGGGCATCATAAACTTGATAACGGTAGAAAACCAAGCGTAGGAATACGACAGCCTACTATTGAAAGACCACCCCAATCAAACAACATGACTTCACGAAATGATGCCTTTCTCTTAAATAAGGTATCGGCAAACAAACCACATACCGTAAATAAACGCGAGCCCGCCTAGAAAGAGTTCAAGTTAGTAACAGATTCAGAATACCTATATCACCGCTTCCCATCTTTTCCGTTGGACGTATTCAAAGGCCAGCTCTTCCGAGAGCGAATACAAAGAACGAATCCAACGAACTAGATATTTTTTTTTTATTACTTACTTTACCAGGAGCTCTAGAAATATTACAAAACATGTTGGATTATGCCAATTCTAACACCCAAATCTGTATATTTGGCTTGCTTTTTATACAAATAGGTTGTTGGTTATAGGCAAGTTGTGTAACACCTCAACGCAACCTAAACAATTACCTCGTTTCCGATTGGAAGTCTAAACGCTCACAAGTAGTCTAAACATTCAGAATTTTGATATAGTTTAATTTCATTGAAATTTATTATTTTTTGAATTTTGAGCTGTTGTTTCTATATTTTTCATTGATATACTCCTCAGAGTCCCAATTTAGCCGGTTGGTTCTGAAAAAAAAACTACAACAAATAAAACAAGCTCTACTACTCAAAAATAAGTTAAAATTACTGAGATTCTTATAAAGACCATTTTTTTCCTCTGTTTACTTTATCCTACAACATATGGCATCGGCCAATAAGAGACCTCTCATATATGAATTACAAAGCGAAGTCAAAGGCAAAGGTCATTTGTCAGTGCAACCAACAATGAGAAAGAATGACCTTTTCTGCAGATGCGGGCTGGGCTGGCTTCGTTAGGCATGATCCTTTTTTTCCTCCAATACGCTATACGAAAGCTTATCCAATGATTCCTATGGAAACCAAGCTTGCTTTAGCCGACGATTACCTGTTTCGATTGCTTTCTTGTCATCATTCATCCTTCACGATCAGTAAAAGAAAAGACACGTCTCTCAAATGAATCGTTTTGCTTACCACGAACAAACTGCTTTCAAAATGTTTACCTTTTCAGTTAAAGAGCTGCGTTTCATCTTAATATCTTATCAGTAACAGGATTCGTCATGAGGAACAACCATTTCCCGATAAAGGTAACAACAGAAATGTTCCCTGAGAGTGTAAACAAAAGCAAAAAACGTGGTGCTTTCTTTTGGTGGCTCGTTTTACGGTCGTGCTTGCCTCCTTACTAGTTTCTTGTGTTATTTCTATAGTATCATCTTGTGGCCATCAGCGTGGTGGAAACTTAGCTGTAATTCTCCTCTTAGTTCATTCATAGGCATGTTTGATAACTGTTTTATTTATTCATCTAATAAAATAAGTGATTTAGTCTCGAAACAACAAACTCTTTCAGTAATTATATAAACTGACTGATGAAATAAAAAACATTTCATCTACATAGGATCTTCTTAAGTTTCAAATACTTGGGTTCTTCAATTATTAGGCATAAGCAATAGAACTCGTGCTTTTTTTTTCGATCTCTTTTATTTTACCTCATTCGTCAACTGTCTTCATATCGGTACCATTTTCGGTCCAGTTTCGATCGACTGGTTGAATAAGACCATAGGTGTCCAAGATATCCAAATTAAAATCTGACAACAAACCTTTTCCAACTGTTAACGGCACAATGATTAATGCAAGAAATACAATTAACATAGAAAAAAATAAAAACGCATATCTTTGAACAATTTGCTTTCGCAATCGTCTCTGTCTCATTGAGTAAATTGGCGGACGGATCTGTTTGCCAGGTCGAAGCCAAAACAACATCATAGAATGCCATTTGTCAATAAACGGTATTAATAATATAGGTAACATCAAATATAATATCAAATGTGCTAAAAAGAAATCTGCAGCAAACATATTCAACTCAACAAACTTGCATACAAATTCCCGAGATGGTTGTGACAACGCATGAAATCCTAATCCTCTCGAATACCATTTGCCGGTCCACCATGCCAAGTTCGCACCATCATGCTTCAATTCTCGAGTAAGAAAAACAATTTGTAGAAAATTAAAAAAGAATCTCTGTAATGATATTATACACAACATACAAAGCACCGTTTTCGGTAAGCTCCAGGATTCCAAATACCATGATACCTCAAAAATAAGTATAAACATGAAAATCGTAACAGCATGCGCAATCGCCGCCAGCACAGCTCCAAACTTCTTACAGCACAAACCCAACAAAGGCCCCATTAAGCATGCCATTCCAGCGAAACAAAGCGAAATACCTGCTGCTACGGCTATCGGCAAAAACGCTAGAATAACAAATCGCAAAAGGGGATTCGTTGCTTTTTCTGGATTTGGATTGCCCGGTTGTGAATTAATAAACAAATAAGGTATAGTTGTTGCCAGGACGAGAAGGAAAGGAATAAACAGCTCGCTAAAAAACAAATTACCAATACGGGCTCTAGGCGTATCCAATAATGTCTTACTAGGAGGTGCTCCTATGACCCTTCTCTTATAACCCGTAATACGAGTCCTTGTCAACCGGCAATAGCCAATCCAGGAATTCATGTGAGAACGAGAGTTACCTCGAGACATCCATCTCACAAACTCACGATAATCAACGAAGAAATCATTCCACGCAAATTGATGAGGGTTGAACAAAAAGGGACTAATGCACATAGCAACAGTTGATATCCAAAAGTAAACTAAATGAGGTATCCAGGCACTCAGTGTTCCGAATAAAAGCATAAACAATGTACGAGATCCCAAATAAATTGAAGGAGCTGCGAATCTTGAAAATAGCAACGCGAAGGATTGTCTTGCTGTAGCGAAACCTCTTCCCGTACCGATATAGCGAGCACCTCCAAACGAAATATTAGCTATCACGGAGTAGGCATAGGTCTGGCAAGTAAATACTTCAAATAATGGTGAAAAACTAGCAAAATGTTTACCTAATCGAGTCATTGCTCGCCATGCACCTCTTTCCGTCAATTCCTGGACAGTCAACGGAACAAACGAGATAAAGAACACGATGAAGATTGAAATGATACACCGCTTAAGCCAATTCATAACAGGATCCAACTGATAGCAGCCATCTGGTCTCATTTTCACAGTTAACTTTTGATTATGATCGTAATTGCAAACAGTAACAACATGATATATTCCTCCCATGTTGACCAAAACGACCATGAACAATTGGACGGAGAGCATAATGAAAATATTGTTAATATGGAAACCTGGATGAGCATAGTAAAATGAAAGGAAACGGTCGAAAGGAAGCTGACTTCCCAAGTAATAGTACTCCCGTGAAATCATCTGTTCACCCATACCAGTTCCGATCTTTGTAGTAAAATTCAAAATAGATCCAAATCCTAAATCACGACCTTTACCACATTGATAGTATTCACAATGTTTAATGCGGCCACCGCGTTGTAAGGCTGTCATTCCTGCGTAGATATCCTCATTAACATGAAGGCCTTTTTGAGCTTTTGAAACACCTCCACGAGTGGTCATATAAATGGCATTTAAAAAATCCGGATGACCGTAGTGCAATTTACCACCAATTTGAGCCATGGTGCGAGCAAATAAAGTGCCAAATGTTTGTTCTTTACCAGCTGCAACATCACCCAATATTCCAATATTTTCTGAAAAGATATACTCTCTGGCGCCCATAATAGCCACAGGGTTGTTTTGATAAGGCTCTTGGGTTTCTTCGTAAGGGTCATTATTAGGTGAGTTAAAGGCTTCAAACTCAGCCAAAATACTTCGAATCTTCAAGCATTCCTCTAAATAGTTATCTTGATTAGCATCTATAAGCTGTATATATTCTCCTCGATAAAAAGGAAGTGCCATGTTTTGGTTGTCTGACTTTCCATCACCCATAATAGGGTTTCCTGATAGTCTAATTCTATACTTTGGTATTCTTTTCATGTTTTCGTTGATATCCGAATAGCCATCGATAAGTGCCGCATACAATTTAGGAGAAGTTTCACCCTCCTCCAGAGGATCCTCGTCCAAATATGCGATTAATAAGTCAGGATAAGCTCTAAGGATAAATTCTGTGTTTTCTACTTCCTCAGAAGTAAACTTTGCATACCTTTGCATAGAGACACACATTTTGAACTTGCGGGACGCCATTCGGTCTAACTCATATTCCAAAGCTTCCATTTGTCCAGCGAAAAGCTGAGACACATCAGGATTTTCCACCCTATAAAGAAGTTTAATCGCGCGAGAATAATTCATAAATCCACTGACTGTTCTGTACAAAGTTTGACTTCTCAACGAGGCCCAAATCCTAGTACGAAGAGTATATTCAGGAGTAGCATTTTTGAATCCAATGCAATAGAATGGTAAGTCATCAAATTTACCTTTCAAAACATTCGCTTTTCCATTTACATCGTCCTCGCCAAAGTCTTGCTGGGTTAAAGCATCCTCTTCAGCAAGAATCTTAGTATCACGGACAAAACACTTCCATTCATGAGAATGCAATTGTTTTAAATATTCAAGCAGAGTGACTCTTGAAAGCTTATCTTGTTCTCTTATAATCTCTTTAAGAGAAAGAAGGATTTTTTCTCCGTAATGAGGAACTAAAACTGTAAACGTAGGCATAGTATCCACCGGTATAGGTTCAGGAATTGGAGTAGCAAGCGACTGAGCGAAGAAAGAGAGTCGTCTTTCAGCCTCTGAATGTGCCGGGAAATACTCTGTTTTAAAAGAAGAATCTTCCTGAGAGACAAAAAATGTAGGGGTCTTTAACGTTTTAGTTCCATCTCCCTCCAGAGAATTGACTTGATGATAGATCAGACGTTGAACATGCTCGACCGCTAGAAGATGCTCTCGGTACAAGGATATTATTACTGAGTTCCAGATTTGAGATATTAGCACTTTCGGTTTGTACACGGAATCCGCCTCCGGGGTGGAAAGAATTTTACTGTAAATTCTTTTTGGCATGCGAGCAAATATATTTCTCCATGGGGTCCAAATTGAAATACCTAAGAAAAAAGAGCGGGTGACGGAAAACACAGTATTGACTAAAATATACCAAAGGTAGGTATCAAGGAAAAAAAGAACAAGATCTGTTACATACATAACACTCAAAATGATCTTCGGTTGTAAGACACATAAGTAAGATCCCGCCCACTTAATCTCGCAAAAGTACGGTTTCATGGTACTCAAAACAAGAATGGGATCTCGAAAAGACAAAGTCAGGAAAAAATAGGATTCTGCAAACTTTGCGGCAAAAACAAGAGCCCATAAACCCCATGAAACACACATATCGTTGATCTGTAGACGAGCAAAATCCGAGGTAAAATATCGATTTGCGAGATACCTTCGTGAAAACGAATTCATTTTCCACTTGAACAGGCCATTTAGAGGGACAATTGCAAAGTAAAGAAAGCATAGAAGGGAAAAGATAAAATGGACGATCGCTACTGTCAATCTACCTCCTGAGCGTTGCTGTTCTTCATCGGAAAACCAAAATATGAAAACAGCAGGAGCAATGTTTAACACTAAAATAACACAGAGAAAAAAGAAACGTTGAAAAAGCGGACTTGATCCGGGAAACCTTCGAGGAACATGGGCCCATTCAAAAATAGTAGCAAAAATCATCAAAAGAGTAGCAACAGCTCCTCCAAGAGCTACAGAAGACCATTGACATGATTGAATTGGCTTCGGTCCAATGGACTGACGAAAATTTTTCTCAATGATGGTAGGAGAGTTGAAGACTGTGTAGTACCAATAAGTAGTGAAATGTATGACCCATATTCTGTTAAAATTCGTCAATGAATGTGACCAGGAACGGCTTTCGTAAAAGGTTTTGTAAAATGCCTTGTTCCAGTCCACTTCGTTGAGTTTATGAAACCTTTCCCATTTTGGCAGAGAGAAGACCGGGGTACCGTCCATCAGCACAATTCTATTAATTCCCTGTGGGTACCAAAATAGCTGATTCATGTCATCGTAACCGATAGTTTCAGCATGATCACGTTCCCTACGAACTAATTTGCCCTCGAACTCTTCAAATTGTTGGTTTCTGATGAAGTTATAGAGAGGTGTCACCACGTTTTCTAGGTAGTAAAATTCATGGACCGGAGGTTTGTCAATGCGGTATTCATCTGATTGCATGTAATCGTTTGCCAATTTAAATAGAAAACACAAGCATTCTGGGCAGAAACGGATATTGTTGGCCTCTCCCCAACATAAAAGGTAGAGGGCAACCTGACGAATTTGGGCTTCTGGAGTCAGGTTTTTCATAACAGTATCCCATTTCTCCATTGAATAATTCATTGGTTCAATTTTTGGCTCTTCATCTACGTCAGACTCTTCTTTCTTGGATTTATTCTTTTTGCTAGACTTATCGCGCACCAACTTTGGACCGGCCTTTGTGAATTTGCAATTTTGGAAGCCCACAGAGTCGTCAATATCCATATTGGAAGAGAAGTACCATTTTCTGTAATTAGCGTTTCTACCACCGATATAATCTGCGTGCAGCGATCGCAATGCATTTGTTCCATCCATTCGAGAAGCTCTCGAATCAAGTAAAACCATAAGAAAATCGTACATATTTGACATTGAGTCTTTTTGGAAACCAAACTTTCCTTGGAGCTCTTCAAATATGGTAAGGATTTCCTCTTTGGTCAAAGGAATCATGTTTTCTGATATCCAAGCTGGATACGGATTTTTCGCATCGAGGTACGAAAACCTTGTAGAATAAACTTCTTCAGCATCCTTTTCTCCATGGATTGCTCTGGGATACATACCAGGGTTCTCCATGAGTCCTGCATAGTCGCTGAGGATCTCAGGAGTATAGCCCGACGCTTCATGGATGTAATCAGGGATTTCCTGGTAGCTGTTATCGAAATTTTGGTATTTTCTTTCTGGCTTTGTGGATGAAAACACAAGTCCGTCATCAGTTTGATAGAAGAGTTCTTCAGCCTCTTGGGATTTCGACCTTTCAACGTATCCTTCCGCATACGGATGGGGAAGTTCTGCATTGTTTTGGGGAGTGTATTCCTCCTCCCAAGCTTCTTGGTGGATAAATCCTTTGTGATCTTTGGAGGATGGCTGACCTGAGGCAGAGAAGTTCTGAATGAAATGAGCGTCATCATCATTTCTTGCAGGAAAATCTGCGAAATCCATAGAATCTTCAAAATCGTCTGAATCATTGGTTATACTGCTTTCAGAAGGTAGGTTGTCTGCACCTCCCACCATTGTCTAAGGTATCAATATTTTTTTGTAATTTTACTTTGGCTTATCGATGCAAGTGTATGAATATACTTTTTCCTTGAGAGAGGACCTTGTTTCTTAAATTCTGCTCACAGCGGCTTTACAATAGGCTTCTCCAGCTTTTGTGGAAAGGAAACTAAAGAAGCAGCCGTGCTTTGAGTGTTTTTTAGTTTCAATTGCAATCTATTCTTTTCTTTGAATAGGAAAAAAGAGACTTTTTTCTTGTTGGTTATGAATAAGGGAAACTGAAGATATATGTTTAGGCTAAATCCAAAGTAAACAAACATATATCCTGTCAGAATTAGCCATCAATGCAACCCCAAACAATCAAGTAAACAACTTTCTGATATTTAAATCTAAACAAACACGCAAATAGGGCTCCATTTTCCTTGGTTTGTTGATTTAGTGATTTCAAGACGAGGAGTTGCATATGTTGATTTTCATGGAAAACACATTCAATATTCCAGAGTATTCAACGTTTCAAAATTCAATTATAAAATTTTAAACGCAAAGCATTTATTATAGTTTGAAAATAAAATTTGTTAGACAGTCTTGATAGAAAATGACATTTGTTTCCGCAATTCTAAATCAACAGTTGATAATAATTAGTCAAGAAATCATAGATGGTCTTTTGCTCTTCTTAATCTTGTAATCCAACCAAAATAAAACCAGATACGTCTTTTTCTTTGTGATCGCATTTTTTGGTATGTAAACAAAAATCACATAGGATCTATAGAGGAATCGAAGATGCATCGGTTGTATTTCGATTCAACTCATTCAATTCAATACATATTAAAATAGATAATCAATTTTTATTTTCCTTTTTAATTCAAAACAATGATTGCGCAAATTCATCTTGGAGTCTTATAAGAGAGCACCAATTGTTGTTACAAGTTGGCACGAGTCATGAACAGATGCAAGCCATTTACTTGTTTCTTCTGTTTTCCTTTTCTTTTTCTTTTTCTTTATTTTTTGTTCATACATACACTCGTAGAGAGTCAGTTTTATGAGTTGACCTCGTACTTCCAAATAGAAATCGAAACTTACAAGACAATTTTCCAACCATCCTAACCGATTAAAATATTTTATTTATAAAAAATTCATTTCTTTCTTTTAATGTATCCCATCTCTTCCGTCCTATTTTTCTTTTTTTTAAATTTCTAAATATCTTCCTGAAATCTCTTTGTTTATTTATTTACATATTGACTCGATCCTCTCGAAAACACTACCACACTATACTGTCATAATGAAATTTGGCATACCAGGTTGATACGAGAAACCGTTGAAACGACACTTATCTAGCGATTTATTACGAATCCTTCGTAATAAATCGCAACATTAGAGAAATTGGTGCTTAATTTCATCCTTTCCCCTATCTCAAAGCAATAAAACGCGAGATTACGCTGGGATATAAAAAGGTCATTTTCTCGGTTTCTTTTTGTCTTTCTTGGTCATTGCTGAATTGATTTTGAATGATTCAATTGTTTTGTTTTTGTTTTTTTTTATAGTCTCGTAATTTTGTATTTATCTTCAGTTTTATCTTCATTTTCTAGTTTGAATTGCTAAAAAGCTGTAATTTGTCGTGTCTTTTTCATATACGACTGACTCTTGTTACTGCCACGATTTGATATAAAAGAAGAAATGGGCGATCCTAATTTGGTGACGACACCAAGAAGGAAAAGTATCGAAAAGAAACCTTTGGAGGTCGATTTGGAATCCCAATCGCAGTCCCAATGGATGAAGAAGTCCAAATTAATATGTCAAAGGATCTTGTATGGTCTGCTGTTTATTATCCTGGGCTATGCGACGTTGAGTTTATTAGTTTTTTTAAGATTATATCCGGATCGCGTTCAATATCTTAAGTCTTTACGGGTTGCTAACGATTCTTTTTGTTATCAACCTCCTGTACTCGTATCTTCTACGAAAGAACCTTTTTTGGACACCAAAGATATCAGCTGCTCTAACTTCATCAACTCGCCCGAATATTGGAATGAGAGCCTTGCACGTTTTCAAAAAGTGTTGCGCGTTCCAACTGTCTCTTACGATGATCTGGGCGATGTTGGCGAAGATGACCGGTGGAACATTTTCGGCGATTTGCACGACGTTTTCCGCGAAATTTTCCCCAATATCTTTGAAAAGTTACAAGTTGAATACGTTGCTACCTATGGCCTTTTGATAACCTATAAAGGCTCCAACGACGACTTGAAACCTCTTGTTCTTATGGCCCATCAAGACGTGGTCCCCATTGCAGAGGCTACCTTGGACAAATGGTTTTTCCCTCCTTTCAGCGCAACTTACAAGGACGGAGTTGTGTATGGCCGTGGTGCTACCGACGATAAAAATTCACTGGTTGCCATTTTTGAAGTTTTGGAATTGCTTGCTTCCTCTGACTTTACGCCAGAGCGCACTGTGATTGCATCAATTGGCTTTGATGAAGAAATCTCTGGGTATCATAGTGCTTTGCCTTTGGCAAAACGTCTTTACGAGATTTATGGTCAAGATGGAATTGAGCTTATCCTCGACGAAGGCGGCTTTGTTTCCGAGTATTATGGTACTTACTTTGCTGCTGTTTCTGTCGCAGAGAAGGGTTATATGGACGTCGTATTAAACTTGAAAACTCCTGGCGGCCATTCTTCTATCCCTCCTCCTCACACAAACATCGGTATTATGAGCAAGCTAATCCCACACATTGAAAATCCTTTCGCTGGATCTTTGGTTCTCGAAAATCCTTTCTTTTCTTCCTTGGAATGCTTCGCCAAGTATAGTAAGGATATAGATGAACGACTCCGTACTTTAATTTTGAGAAAAGATACAGCTGCATTGACTGATATTCTTTCCAAGGACAAAGAAACACGCTACTTTTTCGAAACTTCCATCGCTGTCGACGTTATTCGCGGCGGCGTAAAGGTGAATGCATTACCCGAAGAAACATTTGTTCATGTGAATCATCGTGTTTCTGTCGAGAAGAACCTTAATCAATTGTATGACCACTATGAACAGCTCGTGGGTCAGTTTGCAAAAGAGAATCATCTGAATCTTACCGTTTTTGATGGTAGTCAAGCTATTTCTTATCCTGACGCTATCGGCCAGTTTTCTCTTTCGACGATGAAGACTCTTGAACCTTCTCCTGTTTCTCCATATGGAAATGGTGCTTCCGCTTATGAGAAACTTGGCGGTGCAATCAAGTATACTTTCGGTAATCAGACTCTTGTCGCACCTGCATTGATGCCTGCAAACACAGACACCCGTCATTACTGGAATCTAACAAAGAGTATTTACCGCTGGACCCCTGTGTCTCCCAGAGCTGCTGAAATCACTGATGACTTTAATGCTCATACTGTCAACGAGAACATGCCTTACCAAGGACATATAGATGCTATCACTTTCTATTATAACTTTATTCGTCATTACGATTAATGAGAAGACTAATTGCTTTACTACCTTCCAGTATGACCTTCCTTATGTTTGTAATTTACTCTTCGCTATTACTCTCCAATACATTGAATTACTCTAATCAAACTCTTTATAATGGAATTTAATTAAGCTTCCTTTCGAATTCTAGTCATGATTGGTAGTGGGTTTACAGAGTCCTTTTTTTTTTAGTAATTCGTAGGTAAACAGTCTTAGTCTTATTGCATATGAAAATTCTGATTAAATAAAAAAAGTCTAACAACTTTCCATTTCTTTAAAATCAAGTACTGAACACGAACCTGTTTTCAAATGCACACTACTCGGCGGTAGTCCTTTCTTAAACATATTAGCGATTTGGTTCAATGTATCTTGAAATTTAATTTTCTAAGATATAAAGGTTGTATATTCTTATTAAACGAAATAATTTAGAATGGTTTTGTCAAATTTTGGATGGCACACCTCAAAGCTGAATCTCAGAATCGGTTTTAACAACCGAAAATGCTGTGGTGTAATTATACATCCTAGATTGTACTCCAATGCTTCCAAATTATCGTTTGAGGATCATCGTGTCATAGCTCAAAGGCAGAAACTTTTTATTACGGATCCAAGGTCACCTGGCTCTACATTTTTTTTACCCCATGGAGCCCGTATTTACAATCGTTTGGTGGACTTTTTAAAGCTCCAATATCGATTGCAAGGCTTTGAAGAAGTCATGACACCTATGATTTTTAAAAAGGATTTATGGGAACGAAGTGGTCATTGGCAAAACTACGAAAAAGAGATATTTCGCGTGGAAGGAAGTAAAAAAGTTGAAGAAAATGAGGAAGAAAAGAACTCTGTTTATGGATTGAAGCCTATGAACTGTCCAGGTCATTGCTTATTATATTCCCATACAGAGCGGTCATACAGGGATTTACCTTTGCGGTTTGCAGATTTTAGTCCTTTACATAGGAACGAGGCTTCTGGTGCTCTTTCTGGACTAACTAGGCTCCGCTGCTTTCATCAAGATGATGGTCATATATTCTGCGAACCTGAGCAGATTAAATCTGAAATAAAAAAAACACTCCACTTCATAAAACATGTCTATTCTTTATTGGGAATGAACAAACTAAAGTATTTTTTGAGCACACGACCAGAAGACTCCATTGGTTCTCTCGAGACCTGGAAATTATCGGAAGATGCGTTAAAGGAGGCATTGAATGACAATGAAGTACCATGGGTATTGAATGAAGGAGATGGTGCATTTTATGGACCAAAGATAGACGTTAACGTTGCAGATGCCCGCGGAAAATGGCATCAAACGGCAACCATCCAACTTGATTTTCATTTACCTCAACGATTCCAATTGTACTATCGCACTAACGCAGGTGGCTCTTCTACTGTTGAAGAAAATGAAAAAATGCCAGTTCTCGTCCATAGGGCTGTTTTTGGCTCTTTAGAACGGTTTATGGGAATATTGATAGAGCATATTAATGGTCATTGGCCATTTTGGTTAAGTCCTCGCCATGCGGTTATTCTGCCAATTAACCAAAGTAAGCCAGTGTTGGAATTTACGAAAAAAGTTCAAAAGGAGCTTTCTGGTTCTAAACAGGTTCAATTGCATTTCGCTCCCTTAAATCAAGCCTATTATTACGTAGATATCCAAGCCGATGCCCAGTCTCTAGGAAAGAGATTACGAGAATCGAGGCTTTTGAATTACAACTATGAGATTGTTATTGGTGAGAGAGAGGTTCAAGAACAAGTCCTCAGTGTAACGGATAGACAAGATCGAAAATCTACTAAACGGATGACAATCGATGAGTTGAGACGCATTTTTGAAGAAAAACTGAGCAATTATGAGTAGTGCCTTTTTTCCACTCTCTGAAAGGAATGTCGGTAGATCCAAACTTTCCTACCCAATTGAAGATGCAAACTGCTGCTACTCTCGTTGGCATAATATACCTTAATTTAATCTTTTTTTAAGAGAATTAATTTTTCAATTAATACTATCTTTTCCATTTATGAGTGAATATTTGAAAGAAGGAGATGGGAAACGATTAAGTATGAAGCGTAGATTAGATATCATAAGCAAAGCAAAACTTTTTATAGAACAGACGCGAAGACGCGAATATATTTAAGCATTGGGAAGATAAGATGCTGTGCTTTTTACAAAGTCAGGGTTTTGATTATACTCTTGTTCGGCTGCTTTACTCAACAAACCCACTATCAAATCAGTACACCGCAACGAGTCATCATTTGCTGGAATAGGGTATGTAACCATCTTAGGATCCGCATCCGAATCAACAATACCAATTGTAGGTATAGAAGCCTTTTGAGCTTCCAAACAAGCTCCACGGTTCTCCAACGGATTAAGAATTACCATCAAGTCGGGAATAACAAATTTCGGAGACTCTTCAGTAGGAACTATCCTACCACTATCATTGATGGAGAGGATTTTACCACCGAGGTTTCCTTGGACATTCCTTGCATTCGTGATTAAGCCTGGAAGCCAGCGGTCAAACACATGGAATCCACGAGCCCGTTTTGCTGCATTCACCACCGATTCTTTTTGACCATTGCGTGTTCCTATAAAAACAATCACTCCTTGGGCCTTGGCAACTTCTCTTACCACAGAGATTGCCCGCCGTAAATAAACCATGGTTTGATCCAACGAAATAATGTGAATGCCATCTCGTTTTCCGTAAATAAAGGGTTGCGTCAAAGGATTCCATAAAGACGTGGAATGGCCCATATGCGCATACGAAGACAATAATAACGACAAGCTCAACTTTTCTGGAGGCGCCGGATTTCGAACACCCATTGAAGGGGAATAGTGCGGCGCGACTTTAGCTCCAATTTTATGATTCCATGAGCGAATTTTCATCCGTCTGGCTATCAACTGCTCTGTTGTTAATTTCCGAGAAATCATCTTCCCAAATACGCGCCTGGCAATTTAATCCAGCGATCTGAATGGAAATTCTCAAAGAAAGCGTTCTTGTACACGATCCCAAAGGGAAAGGAGTTTGGGAATAGTGATTTACAACATTTATAATTAAATTATATAAAGTTATGCTAACCATTAGGAAGAAGTACGCAAACAGACTTACGGAATTACAAAGAGAGAACGCTATCGCGTCGCGTATGGTTGGAAAAAGCCGTTTTTTCAATTGAACCGGTTGATTTTTTATTTTTTATTTTTTATTTTTCATTATTCTTAAAAAGAAATATCGTAAGAATATTGTCGCGTAATTTTGAGTTTTCGATGCTTTTTCAGGTGTTGAGCAAACCAAACATTTCTTGTTGCGTAGAGCCAAACACCAGGACAAATTCAACATTTGCCATTGTGTCAAAATGAGGCCCATAAAGAGTAGAAAAAAGGCAGGATTAAAGCTTCCAAAGAGTATTTTGGACGAGATTGAAAACAACGGTAAGGAATTAATGCTGTATTTCTTATTCTAACAATAATCAGACAGTGGTTCAAGAGCGCAGAACGGAAAACGGGAATTGTCTCATAGAGAAAAACGAAAGCTCGCTAGAAACACGAAAAATGCAACCGTGAACGATCAGCCACCGCGTCGTGCTCGAAAAGAGGAACAGGAAACTGAAGATGCTTTAGAAATGCTCTCAGCTTCGCATGAACTTCCAAAAAAAAAGAAGGCAAAACGTGATTCTTCTCCTTCTTATGAGGACTTTATCCGTAAACAGCAACTTGCTGCATTGGATGAGGATGACCGGGAAATTGCAATGCTAGAAAAAAAACTTAGAATTCGCGGCAAAAACAAACGTACGTCTCAGATCGACAACGAATTTGGTTGGATTCTAGAAGACTTGGATTTGGATAAAGATTTGAATGGTCTTGAAGGTGATGGCTTATCGGCTCCACTTGAGGATGAAGAATCTATGGGATCCGAGGAAGAAAAGCCAGAGAGTGATGAGTCAGAGGAGGAAAATGAAGAGGAGAAAGATGAGTCTCACCAAGAATCAGAAAGTACAAGCGAGGGAGAAGAAGAAGAAGAAGAGTTTAAGGGGTTTTCTCCTGAAGATGAGGGTGTTCAATCTCAGCAGAAAACCAAGCGTCAAAATCCTTATCTCCCGGCCGTTTCTTCCACACCATCGACTGGCAAATACATTCCCCCCTCTCTTCGTCAGAAGGCCTCTACCGATGAGCAAGGTTCCATCGATTTGACTCGCCTACGAAGGCGTCTTCAAGGTTTGCTAAACCGTCTTTCCAGTGCGAATGTAGGCTCTATCGTTAACGAGGTTGAAGCTATCTATATGGAAAACTCTCGTCATTCTGTAACTGACGCTTTAACAAAACTTATCCTGCAAACGGTTATGGCGAGGGAGTCTATGTTAGATCAACTCGTCATTGTCTATGCTGCCCTTTCAACTGCTCTTTATCGTACCATTGGTCCTGAATTTGGAGCTTACTTGCTACAATCATTAGTAGACGAATTCTTGCGTCTTTATAAATCCAAAGAGAAAGAACCTCTTTCTTCCCATAAAGAAACGTCCAATTTAGTAGTATTTTTTGTCGAACTCTACAATTTTCAACTTGTTTCTTGCATTTTAGTCTATGACTTTGTTCGCTTGTTTCTAAAGTCGTTGACAGAGTTGAATGTTGAGCTTTTGCTAAAGATTGTACGCAATTGCGGTAATCAACTACGAAGTGATGATCCGTCTGCTTTGCAAGACATTATTCAGGAAATGAATTCTCTTTTGAGTACAGCTGACCCAACGTCTATTTCTGTCAGAACAAAGTTTATGGTTGAGTCTATAACGAGCCTCAGAGAGAACAAAAAGGCAAAAGTGGCTATGGCAAACTCTCAGTTAAAAGCTGAATCAGTGAATCAGTTGAAAAAGTTTTTGGGTTCTCTAAGTAGTCGATCTCTTCGTGCCACCGAACCGTTGCGTGTCAGTTTGCAAGACATTGAACAAGTTGAAACAAAGGGCCGTTGGTGGTTAATTGGTGCTTCTTGGAAGAGCGATCCTTTGGTCGAAAATAATATTGCATCATCATCCTCAAAAATAGCGGAAGAAAGAAAGAGAAACGAAGAGCTTCTTGCTCACTCGAGACTTTTGCAAACGGCAAAGAAATTACGCTTAAATACAGCTGTCCGAACTTCAATCTTTATTGCTTTAATGGGAGCAGAGGTGTGTAAATTGATTATGGTTTTCACTGTTTTACTAACTTAATATAGGACTATATTGATGCTTGGGACCGAATTCTTAAACTTCGTTTAAAAAAAGTTCAACAACCCGAAATTGCATACGTAATTTTACATTGCGCTTCAAATGAAAAAACGTATAATCCTTTCTATGCTCTTGTTGCATTAAAATGCTGTACTCGACAACATAACTTGAAGAAATCTTTCCAATTTTCCTTATGGGATTTCTTCAATGAGTTACAACCCGAAAATGACAACGAAACAAATGAAGTTCCTATGCGAAAGATTTTTAATTTAGCAAAATTGTATGCATATCTGGTGATTGAAGGAGGACAGCCATTGACGATTTTAAAGGTACGTTGATTTTTCTTATGATGTACATTTAGCTAACATTAAACAGCATGTTGATTTTGCGAGTATGAATTCTCAAATACAGACATTTATTCTCGTTTTATTATCTGATATACTGGTTGAAACTAAGGAAGATATTCAGTTGGTGCAAACTATGGACACATGTAAAACAGAGAAAAACCTATCTTCTAAGGTTGATTGGTTTTTGAAAACATATGTACGCAATAATCCGCTGGTTGAAGGAAAAGAAAAATTACTATTGAAGTCCAACCTTTCGATAGCCAGAGCTGCTTTACAAGCCATTGCTAAAGATGAAACGTAACGCTCACAAACGCGGATAATTAAAAGGAAATTTTTTGGGATTTAGATTTAAAACGGTTAACAGTTTTGGGCATTGTAATTGATAATATGAAAGTAATTAGACTATCAATAGAAACGAACATTTGTACAAGGTTATATATATTGCGATGCTACAGTGAAAGGTAGATTAGTAAGTAAAAAAAAAGTAAGAATGTATTAGAAGGATGCAGTTATTAACATTATTATTGTATCAATTACTACCAGTATCCTGGTAGGTCAATGAACGAAGTATTAGAGTTGAAGCTAAATCGTAACCAAAAAATAAAATAATGCAAAGTGTAGTTCCCTGATCTGTTGAAAGATACTGTACATAAAATGTCCAAACTTGAAACAAGCTTGCGGAACTAGATGCTTAACATTCATTTAAATGTACATGAGATGTTTTTAAGTATTATCAGAAATACTAGACACTATTAAAGTAGTGTAATTTAGTATTCGTGATTGAGTTCTTTACTGGGCAAGAGGAAAGCTGGAAGCCCACTCAACAATATCCTTTTGGAGTTGAACAACTTCATTGATTTGATTACCTTCACCCAACTTAGCCTTGAAGTCCTTAAGCTTGTTGGCTTCCTTAGGAAGGCTCTTTTGCAAATCAGCAGCAATGTTGATAGCACGGTCGATGTACTCAACAACGCGAACAAAGTCTTGCTCATTAAAGCCACGAGTAGTCATGGCAGGAGTACCTATACGGATACCAGAGGGAGACAAGGCAGACTTGTCGGAGGGCAAAGTGTTCTTGTTAGTTGCAATATTAATCAATTCCAAGATACGCTCAGCACGGGCACCATCAATGCCCTTGCTCTTGACATCAACCAAGACCATATGACTGTCAGTACCATCAGCAGCAAGCTTATAACCACGCTTACGGAATTCCTCTTCACAAACCTTAGCGTTCTTAACAACTTGGGCTTGGTATTGCTTGTATTCGGGGGTTTGACATTGCTTCAAAGCAACAGCCAAGGCAGTGATGGTGTGGTTGTGAGGACCACCTTGGTGACCAGGGAAGACAGAGAAGTTAATTTTTTCTTCCAAATCGTAGTAAACAGGGTTACCCTTCTTGTCATGGTTGCGAAGACCACGACGGAAGAAAATCATAGCACCACGAGGACCACGAAGAGACTTGTGGGTGGTAGTGGTGACAACGTCAGCGTATTCGAAGGGAGAAGGGATGACACCGGCGGAAATAAGACCAGAAATGTGAGCCATATCAACAACTAGATAAGCGTTGACGCTGTCAGCAATCTCACGCATACGCTTGTAGTCAATAAGGCGGCAGTAGGCGGAAGTACCGGCAACGAGAATCTTTGGGCGATAGAGTTGAGCATTCTTCTCAAGGGTATCATAGTCAATGATGCCAGTGCTGGGGTCAACACGGTAAGGCATAGTTTCAAAGTAAGCAGAAACAGCACTGATCTTCTTGGTATCGGTTTGGTAACCGTGAGAAAGGTGACCACCAGAAGGCAAATCGAGACCCATCAAGCGGCCATGAGGGGGCATGATAGCTTGGTAGACTTGAAGGTTTGCAGGGGAACCAGAGAGGCATTGAACATTGACACCCCACTTTGAAGAATCAAGGTTGAAAGCAGCAAGAGCACGCTCTTGGCAAAGGCTTTCAATTTGATCAATATACTTGTTACCACCATAGTAACGAGCGCCAGGGTAGCCTTCAGAGTATTTGTTGCTCATAACGCTGCCAAGTGCATCCATAACAGCACGAGAAGTAAAGTTTTCGGATGCAATGAGCACAATGGAGGAACGTTGACGCTCAGCCTCATTTTTCATAATTTCAGCAACAGTAGGATCTTGCTCCTTGAGGTGAGTCAACATAACGTCAGAAGATGCCATTGTGAATGTGTTTTAGATGCAGAAAAAGTTAGTCCTAAAAACTAATGAATTCTGTTGCAATTGTAAACGAGACGCTTGATATTTTGCACTTGGTAATGTGTGAAATTCCTCTAAATATGGTACCTAGGAAGTGACTGCTTTCCTCGCGGAGATGTAAGTTCGATTGTTGGTAAAGTTATCTAAGCGAAGAAGAGCAAATGTGGAAAGATGGTAAACATAAAAAAATTTTCGTGGTTAAAACGAAATGGACGAACCTATCAGAATGCCTGCTTTTTAAATCGTTTTTCTCTCCCATTTGCTGCTGATAATAGGAACATGCAGGAAGGTCATGTTTGGATGAAAACATCGCCTTCGTTATCTTGTCATCATTCATCTTCCAACAGATTCAAAGAAAAAAATAAAAAAAAAATTTTAGTATAGCATTCTTAGAAAGATTGAAGTAATTTTCGGTCTCTTTTATAAAATGGTTTGATTTTCATAGCTTGCAACGTTCCTGTTTTGTAATAGTGTTTGTTCGCTTAAAAAAAATTCACGGAATTGTCTTTTCATTGAGTAACTGATCCAAAGGTTTCATGCATGCATAGAAAAGGAATTCGTCGTAGAAAGCGTCCGTAAGTTTAAGATTGTTTCAAGTTTAATTCATCGGTGTGCCAAATCTTACTCAATTGTTTGTCAACAGTTTCAGCAATAAAAATTTAAAACAAGTCTAAACAAAGGATGGCGATAGAAACATTTTCACAAGACAAGAAAAGAAATAAAAAGTTAATGCTTGAAGATACTAGGAAACTGAATAAGAATCAAATGCATATATAAAAGAGAGGGGATTTCTCACACCTTTCACCATAGTGTATGTTTTGCAAAAACAGAATAGGCAAGTAGCGTCTTTTAAGTGCTTGCTAGAACAAACAGAGTTTACTGCGTCAAAAAGCAGCGCTTTATTTTGTGGAACATATCGTTAAAGAAGGAATATGTAAAGAAATTAACAGAGAAAGAAATTATCAAAGGAGCTTTCCTAATCGAGCCAAGTGATAGTTGATGGTGTTTTCTGACTTTTGTTTACCATGCTAAAATACAGTGTTAGCAAAAAACTAGGCCAATGGTTGCATATATGTGCAAAGAAAAATAGTAATAAAAAATAAAAAATGCTTTCGTAGAAACTTACCTGACTCTTCATACAGTTCTCTAAAGAGGCAGCCACTTTTAGACATTGTGAAGAATTCGTATTACCACTGTTGTTTTGCCAGCAACCCAAAAGCGCTGCCATTTCTTGACTACAAGGAATGGCTTGTCTTTCTTTTTTTGGACGCACGCGCAATCGACTCAATCCTTGCAACCGAGGCGCGTTTACCACTTTCCTTGACATCTTCTTTTTTCTGCTTTCTCTGTCGATATAAACAAATTTAAGAATTCAATTACAAAAATATAGCGAAAATTACCCTAAATCTTTGCTAAAATCTGGCAAAACAACGCGTCCCTCGAGACTTCAACAAAGTGGTAGTATCGTCAAGTACGAAGGCTTCAGAAGTTTATGGAATACCGCTTTACGTTACAAGGTCAAAAGGTTATATTACCAGAAAGTACCGAACGTATTAAACACGCTAACGCGTTACGTAAATACGTGTTACGATACTTTAAACAACATGAGCTAAGCTATCTTACCAAGCAAATTGACTTTTCGTTGTTCTGAAACGTCAATTTATTAGAAGTTGCTAGACGTTCTTGTGACATTTGTTGTTTACTAATACATCTATACTTGCTCTTTTCGCAGTCGAAATTTCACGTTTGAACGCTTCTTTTCTTTTACGTATATTGAGATTCTACAGAATAGAAGTAAAGCTTTTTTGGTTTCCTCCACTATACCTACTTTTTCTTTAGTTTCTCTCTGTTTCTTCCAGATTTCAATATGTCGAATCTTCGCCTTCGGTTGAAGTATATGGACAAGTCTTCAGTTGCAACCATTCCTGTTGATGCTTCAGTAAAAAGCTTCTTGGAAACTGCAGCCGCCACATTTTCTCTTACTCCAGACTCAATTTCTATTAAGTTCGGATTTCCTCCAAAAGATATTCCGTTACATGATTTGGAGTCGCCTATTTCCAATGTGATCTCTTCCGGACAACAGATTCTAGTCGTTAAATCTCCGTCAACTACAACAAATCCATCCACTTCAGCTTCAAATGCGCCTCAAGCTGTCTCTAGACCTACCGAAAAATCTCTCAATGCAACAACCTTACCAAGTACTCAAGCATCTACCAATGGTTCTCAAGATCCTCCTTACGTGAACACGCCGCTCGGGGACATTGCTCTTCGAGTAATGCCTGATGATAACTCTTGTCTTTTTCGTGCCTTATCTAAACCCTTGGGGTCCTCTCCTTATGACCTTCGCGAAGTAGTCGCCAGCACTGTTTTGTCTAATCCCGAGTTATACTCTACAGCGGTTTTGGGAAAACCTCCGATGGAATACGCTACATGGATTCGTAAGGAGTCGAGTTGGGGTGGCTATATCGAGTTGTCCGTCCTTTCCGCTCATTTCAACATAGAAATTTGCTCTGTTGATGTTCAGACTGGGCGTGTCGATTCTTACAATCCCCAACCAGCCACTGGTCAGCGGACTTTTATCGTTTATTCTGGTATCCATTATGATTTAGCCGCTTTGGCTTCTGTACTTTGGGATACAGATGCCGATATTATTTTGTTTGATGCTACAGATGATACTACTTTACCATATATACAACAACTTGCCTCCTTATTGAGAAATATGCATTATTATACAGATACTGCATCGTTTACAATTCGTTGCAACATTTGCGGTGCAGGTTTAGTAGGTGAAAAAGACGCTTCTGCGCATGCTATGGCTACTGGTCACGTTCAATTCGGCGAATATTGAATGCTGCATTCATACCTAGTTTAACGATATTCATTTATGATCTTAATCCATTAATTATCTGTCATAATGGACATACGTAACGTGAAAAAGTATACTCTAAAAGATACTATTTGTACTTTTATGACTCGTGAATAAAGTTAAGTAAGTACAAGCTTGGACTAACTCCTTCAACGCGTAAACAGTATGAGAAGGTACTATGCTTATATAACGATACCTGCCTTTCGGATTTTATCGGGTCCAATCTCCTTAATTAAACGATTCTTTTCTTCTTCCAAGCTAACCATTCGTTTCTTAAGGACATGTTTATAATCCTTATGGTGCGTTCGAAGATGCTTTTCCATAAGCTCGAGGTTGTTTTCTTTTTCTTTAAATTGCGATCTCAAGCCTTTCGTCAATGCATCCTCAACCAATCGTAATTGTTTCTGAATATATTGCTTGTTAACTTCTTCAGCACTATAATTCTGTTAGCTAAATGCGCCCGGTTTATACAAAGTAGTGACAAACCTTATGAACTTGAAGTCAGATTGCTCATTCAGTGTTGTTAGCTTTTCTTGACGAAAAGTATCGTAGATGAGACGATGGGTTTTATTGCGTAGTCCCTCATTATGCGTGTACAATAAGAAATTTCGAAGTCGACAGAAATCGCTTTGTTCGGGGTCATCAATGTCAACAGTTCCCCAAGGATATTGTCTACCACGAATGGGTTTTCCATCTTTGTCAATATATTGATTGGAACCAACTATAGCAAATGGAAGAGAATTCTTGCTTTTCTTGTCATTATCAGAATGTTCCGAGAAGCTATATATTTTTTCGTTAATCAAGTCCTCTGCAATACGCTCCTTGAAGTTTTCCAGTTCCTCAGGAGTCATTGTATCTGCTTTTCCAATGATAGGGATGACATTTACAAACCGGTCGATTTTTTTCATGAGGTAACTTTCGAGCGGCTGGAGTCGATGTCCATTGGGATTTAAGAAAAAGAGGCAAGCATGCATTCTGTTATCATTGTAGTAAGGGTTTCTCTGTGGCTTCGTTTCATTCTCAAAGTACTCATTCAAGCGCTGAAGTATGTTTGCTGCAATAGGTCGCCAACTAAAGTTCACGTATTAGTATTAGTATTATGTACTTAGAGATGTAGAGTTACTTACCAATTGCTGTTGTCACTTTTCTCGCCGAAGCCAGGTGTATCAATGATGTTGACGTGGAAAAGTTGTTCTCCATCTGACAATTCTGCTTTATACGGGGTGAATTCATGAGTATGTTTCGGTCTTGTCTCATCCATGTTTTGCAAGAAGGACTTGATGAAGGTGGTCTTTCCTAGACTGTATTCACCAACGACGATCAAGTTTAGATGAATGCCATCCTTGCATGTCTTTCTGTAATACTGTTGGTTAAAGTCATTAATTCCAATTCGATTACAGGGGACTAGAGCGTTGCTGAGTGCCGTATCCTTTTTCATGGATTTCACAGATTTCATGGATTTCCTGGACTTTGTGGACTTTATGGATTTCGAGCTTTTCATTTGTGAAGCAGAAGCAGAAGCCATTTCTGTTTCATTCTTTCTCGAATTTACGTCTTCAGGAGTTTCCTCTGTTTTCTCAATTTGTGAGGGTTCGGAGTCGTCTTCGTCCACCTGCTCTACATTGTCCTCCTCCTGCTCTGCATTTTCCTCCTGCTCTGCATTCTGCTCCTCCTGATCTGCGTTGTCCCGATTGTTTTGAGTTTCTTCCGTTTCAGGATCAACGGTTAACTCTTCCATTTTCTCCGTGGCAGTATCTGTTAGCTCTGAGATTGCAATAGAAGGGCTCAAATGATCAATATTCACTCCTCGCTCCTTGTCAGGAAAGGTATTATTAGTAATTTCATCATCAGTAGATGCAGGATCCACCTTGCTGCTGTCTTTAAGTGCTTCAAAAGAAGGTGATATGGGCTGAGAGTCTGACATATCGATAATGTTGCAAACTTGATGAATAATTATCAAGAACGAATTGGATTTATTACTAACAATGAATTTCCAAAGCAGACTTTGGACTTGTTCTTATAAAAACAGTATTTTCGTAAAGAAAGTGTTGAGCACCAGGTAATTGTTTATTGGAAATTCTTTTCAGAAGGAAATTTGTAAACAACATCCATGTTTTGTTTACTTTTTCGATGTTTGTTTACATGTAATCCAGGTTTTGTTCAATTGATCGGTCTCCACCACACCTGAAGTGGCGAAGTCTATTTTCAGATTGAATAAACAAAGATGTTTACATTGAAACAAAAAAATATGGGAAGGAAACAATCGCGTTCGTGTATAAGATTTCACCGTTAATTTGGCGTGTTTCCTGTTATAATACACAGCCTTTTGGAATAAGTGTACAAACTAAACTATTCTAAAGCTACCTTTTGGGTCGATTCAATAAGGCTTACTTATCAAATAGAATTCCTTTTTCTTTCTTTCGAAATTCTTGTGCTTCTACTTGAGAACCGATAAGGCATGAATACAATTTAGTGGCGTATATATGGACTCGCCTCTTTACTTTAGCTAATTTAATAATGAACATTAGCCTATTTCTGCTGGACTAATTGGAATTCTTGAAATTATCATTATTACGCAACATGGGTGAAATGGGGCAATGAGGCGGCAATTGGCAAATCATGCTCAAGTCCGTTTGTCGAGTGAATATGTCTTGTTTCTTTTGCACGAAACACACACGTGTGGTGCTTGAATCCTTCTGATTGTTTGGTATCTGGTGGAAGAATTTTTCTGTTCTTTTTACCATGGGGATCCAACTTCGTTTAGACCCCGAGCAAACGAATTGGCTGAGTCCTGGCCCTTTTTATCCTCCAGAAAATGTCCAAGAAGGAGTTCAAAGGTTGTCTAATGGCTCGGATATGCGTGAGCAACAGTTTCGCAGTCCTGTTTTTGGAACAGACAACGAGCTGATGCAAAATAATTTGAGTTCCTATCGGTCAGAGGGAGGTTCTGCCCATCGTCGAACGGCATCCAGTCCTGTACAATCTAGACGTAACATAAGATTTGCCCCTTCCACCAGAATAAGTCGTTCGAATCGACCTAAATCTCTGACGCTTGCCAGGAATCAGAGAGATTTGCAAACGCTTCGGAATATTCCCACTATTATACCATCGAGGGGTTCCGTTTCGGAGAGAGGTTCTTTCTCTGGTAATTCAAACAGAAGCTCGAAAACAACTAATGTACAGTCTAATATTCGTCATAGTCGAGTATCGTCCATGAACAGTTTTTCATCTCTGTCATCCTTGGGGGAAAATCCATTTTCCTCTGATCAATCATCGTCTGACAGTTCCACTTCGAGTAATACATTACTGCAGTCCAGTAGGAGGTTGTCAACCGAAAAATTATCGAGACCCCCTTCTCCTACAAGAGACAGTATCCCAAAGATTACATTGACTTCCGCTAACTTTGAAGAACCTACTCATTCGACAGCTTCAACGCGCCTTATCCAGATGCGCCATCACGCTTACATGAACAGCGAAATTACTGACAAATCACTCTTGACCTACGAACATTACATACCTCTTGAAAAGCAAGGCTTCCTTGGGAAGTTCTTATCACTGTTTCTTAACGTTGATGCCAGCGCATATATGGTACCCATCGATAGCTCTATTGATCGCTATGGAAAATCTTTAGGAAGTGTTCTTTCTCGTCTTAGGACAGAAGTGTCAAATGACATCGAAAAGAACAAGATCACTGATCCTATTGATTCTTCTTCATTTTGTAGAGGTGGGGGTAAATTGAACAGCTTATTATATAAATTAGGTTGGTCAAGACTATACGTGGATGATCAATTTCGAATTACCGTTCACCCATCTCCTTATGAAAAACGTTGTGAATTTATACTTCTCTTGTGCGAAACGCTGATGCTATATGGATGTCCGAGTCATAAGATACTGCGAAACCTCCAGGTAGCCTGTCGCATTTTAGATCTCCGTGCGAATTTCCTATATCTTCCTGACTGTATGCTTTTATCTTTCAGGACTGAGAAGGGACATTCGGATATGCAATTTGTAGGAATTACATCACAAATGGACTTGAATAAACTCGGTTTAGTGAATGAAATCTACCGTTATGTAATGCTGGATAAATTGAGCGCCGAGGATGGTATGGATATTTTGAAGAATATTATGACTTTTCGACCACTTTATCGAAAATGGCTAGTTGCTTTCATGCATGGTCTCGCTAGTGCTTGCATCTTGCCAGTGGCTTACGGCGGAGGATGGCTTGATATGCCGATGGGATTTTTGTTAGGATTACTTCTGGGAATTTTCCGAGTGTATCTTGCCCCTCGGTCGTCATTGTTTGACAAGTTATTTGAGGTTATTGGAGCCATTGTTTTGTCCTTTTTGGGGCGGGCATTTGGAAGTATTAGTAAAAATACGAAGCCTCTATTTTGCTTTTCTGCTTTGGTTGAAGGTGCCGTTTCGCTTATCCTTCCAGGTTATATTGTTTTTTGCGGTGTCTTAGAATTGCAATCCAAAAATATTGTTTCCGGAGGAGTTCGCATGTTGTATGCTATCATATTCTCATTGTTTTTGAGTTTTGGTATAACAATTGGGGCTGCTCTTTATGGCTGGATGGATACGAATGCTACTAAGAATTACTCATGCTTGCGTGAAATAGGAATTGATCAAAAGTGGTACATACTTTTAATACCTTTGTATACTCTCTGCCTATTGTTCGTTACGCAGTCTCATCCGAAGCAATGGTGTGTGCAGGTAGTAGTGTCCATAGTTGGCTATATTGTGTATTTTTATGCCTCTATGCATTTTGGTACGGGACAGATATCCAGTGCACTTGCCTCCTTCGTGATTGGATGTTTCGGGAGTTCTTATTCGCACTTCATCAAATCTTCTTCTTTTGTCGTTGTAATTCCTGCTATTTTTTTGCTAGTTCCCTCTGGTTTCGCTGCTCAAGGAGGCGTGAGTGGTGGTTTGTACACAGCTACTAACATTGTGAGTCATAATACAACTACAAATACGACTATTTATTCTCAATCGAAAAACCAAAATAGCAGTTTGGAATTTGGGTTTACGATGGTTGAAATAGCTATAGGAATTGCTGTTGGATTTTTTGCTAGTTCAATCATGGTCTATCCAATTTTTGGGGCTCTGGCTAGGGCTCGGGCCCGTAACAAAAAACTCGAAAGCATTTGAATGGAATCGTATGAAAATAGCTAAAAAAATTCCAGCTATGATAACACGACTGACACTGACTAAATATAATATCCCCTAATAGACCTACCGTCAGTCTTTATCTTTTAGTCCTCCGTTTTGTTTCTTTGTTATTTCAGTCTTGTCTTTCTTTACATTGTTTTTAAGGTTACGAATGAAGCATGAAGCTTGCAATATAATGTCATTTATTAATTAATTCTAAATCAAGTATCAAAAATGACAACTTTCTTTAGCTAATAAACTCATGAATCAAAATAGAAAATAAAAACTTTTTTTTACCTTTAGTTTTCATATGCGAATTTCAAATAAACAAAAAAAGTAAAAACGATCAACTGTTTATATGTGGTTCACTGTTTATTAAAGTAAAGGAACGAGTCACAAAGAAATACGAAAGTAATGACATGACGCATATCAAAATTGTTTTCGCGTCTCACTAGATGAATTCAAAACCATACACAACAACTATGGCTGGAAAACGCACTTCAAAATCAAGCGAAGCAGCTAATACCAAGAAACAAAAGACTGAAAATGATAAAGAAGTGCACTGGACAGTAAGTAAAGAGAGTGACAGCCTCTGCAATAAATTATTGACGCGTTCTTCAAATGTAGTTGAATGATTCTGGTAAAAAAAGAGTGACCTTGTCTGAATTTCGTGGAACCACATATGTCCATATTCGTGAATATTATGAAAAGGATGGTGAAATGCTTCCCGGAAAGAAGGGAATTGCGTTGAATCCTAATGAATGGATGCAATTCAAGCGTATGGTTGGTGAGGTTACCAGTGCTCTCGGTTTGGTAGATGAAGATGAGGATGAGGACGAGAAGAAAGAAGAAAAAGATTCGTCTGAAACAGCAAAAAATGACGAGCAAGAGTCGTCTGATGCCAAAGACGAATCTAAGCAAGGAGAGGGATCCAAAGAGGAGGATCAATCTGCCAGTGAAGAAGAAGAATAACTTCGTCCACTAGGTGCTTATCGGCTCATTTAGTTAATGATATCCAAATGAATGACCTTTTTTTTATTAATATTTGTAATGGAAGGGAATTGCAAAGATTAAGGTAAAAATTGGCGTTGAAAACATTATAGCATAAAAGATTCTAGAAGAGACAGTTGACTAAAAAGCTCATGGAAAGAAGATGGGTGCTTGTCATGATTGATGGGAGGAACATCTAAGACTCCAGATTTGCATTTCGGACAAATCGATTCTGTAGCGCAGTCTCTGTGAACTAGGTGAAGACAACTATAGCTGCTGAACGGTATCTTCAATACTCCCTCACAAGTATCACATAATTGATCCTCGGTAGGGATTGAGTTCAATTGGCTTTGGTTACTAACCAGCTCTTTTTGAAGATACGTATACTGTCTATCGTTTTCGTCGATCCGAGACGAACAATGAGTTTCCCATCTTAATAAGAGCTTTTTTATAGTCCCCAAGGTCAAGGTCTGGTCCTTCATCAATATATCTAAAATATGTTGGATCGGAATTTTAAATTGTATGAAACAGTTTTCTAGAATCTTAAAAAATAAATCTTCATGTACGTTAGTGATCGAGCGTTCCTGCACTAGGAATCTTAAGAGGTGAAGCATAGCTTCATCATCATAAATTTCAGTAAGATGATCTGCTGTTTTTGGGTCTTTTAGGAGTTTCTGAATTATTGTATCATTAGAGCCAGAGTTTAGAGATTTTTGGGAGTACAAAAGATCTAGGGCATTGCTCCAATGAACTGCCTGTAAAGACAATATGGATGATTCATAATCCAGTAAACCTTTGCAATCTTTGATTAGAAGGAAAGCTTCTGACTCATTATCCGGATTCATGCATTTCATTTCTTTTTGTATAAGAGCATGAAGCTTTCTGGTATTAATGAACTTCAAAACAATTGGGTCCTTTGAATGCACTTTTACGGTATCCCACAGTCTCATCTGCAAATCTGGTTGTTGCATAAATGTAGAGAGGTAAACAGCTTTTAAAAACGTTATTAAGTTTTTCTCTTTTCCTAGTTTTAATAAACTGACAGATACTTCAGCCATTTTATCTGTAAATCTCAGAGGATCCGAGTTTATAAACCATGTACCAAACTGATTCGAGATTCCTATCATATCGATGTAATCATGGCAATTCTCAAGAAAGTGAAATGCTTTCTCTTTTAAATTTTTCTCCTGGTAAACCTCTAAACAAACAAAAGGCATATTCCAAATTTTACCCAATGCCTCCATTTGATCAAAGCATTTATATTTTCGGAGGATGGGGAGTAAGAGCTCTGTGGAACAGGTACCACTTTTTGCATAGGTCATTAAAGAATTAAATTTTCGCAGCTTTACGTAAAGAAAGATTAACGTAGATTGTTCAAATGAATAGGCGTGTCCCTCTGCAGCCAACGCTTCCAGATATCGAAGCAAGCATTTCAAAAGGCGTTTTTCTAAATAAGTCTTGATTATGAGTGCTGAATCGGAGAAAGGAATTGCGTAAATAAAATAATCGATAGCTTTTTCTGATTGACCTCCTTCAAAGTATTGGAGTGCTGTGCGTAGAGCGCAATCACGGATGATATCCTTGCTGCATTTTAAATAATTCGCTAGTAAATATGACTTTTCAAATTCTTCTGTTTCAAAACATTTGTAAAGAACGAAATCTTGTGGAAGACGAATTAATTGTTGAGGAGGATAATCATCATAAAAGAAAAAGCAATCATCAGATGCGTACAGAATATTGGAGATGCTTTTCTCTTTTATTTCAAAATGAAATAGCGTCAATTGACTTTCCAAGTCTAATATAGAGAACCAAAGAGATGTTTCCTCATTAGTTATGTTACCGTCGCTTTGAGTAGAAAGCGAAGGAGTCGTAGAAACCAGCAGGCAAACATATCCGAAACAGGAAAAAATCTTTTGTATCGTCCCTTCAACATGAAGTGTTTTCAGTAAACTCACGTTTTTCGCATCATAAACCGAGATGAAGGATGAATTGGCACAGACAAGAGATCTTTGCATAAACACTTCAGAGCACCCAATGGCTAGACCACTATTCTCTAAAGTTTCAATGGATTTGGCAAATATATCATAAAGAAAAGTTTGCGTAGTAGTAGATACAAATAACTTTCTAGGAGATAAAATAGCAAGATTGGTTATAGAGTCTCTTTCACGAAACACCACATCTTGTTTTGAGCCCAAGTCACGAAGAAAATCTCCTTGTAATTGAATCACTGTTCCATTTGCAAATCCACAAAACACGAACGAGACGTCGGCTGAAATAGCAATACTAGTTGCAGGGAATAGAGGGTTCGGGATACCATACAGTCGTCGTTCGTATAAGCAAACAACGTCGTTGGAAATGCGTTTACGAACATTCTTGACAGACCAAAATTGTATTAGAATTGCATTTTGTTTATCAAGCTAGACCTCGAAGCAAAGTTAGTAATAACGTATTTTCGCAGACATGTTCACATACACAAATACAACAAAGAGCAGATTGATTATTTGTTAGTTGTAGCTGTTGGGTTACGCCGCCTTCGCAAGCGACAAAATCGACTAGTAATTCAAACTTGCTGTTGAAAACGAGAATATGACCATCTAATGTGCCAACGCTCAAAATCTTTGTCCCTTCACATGAACAACTAGTCCTGCTTTTCTTTAAAAGTCAGTTTCTCAAGGTCATATACGAATTTTCGCTAGACCCATACCAATTTATTTTGATGTGAAACCAATCCTGGACAAGCCTGCCATTGAAAGAGCGAAAGTGAATCCCACTAAATCATATCAGTAACTATTTGAAAGTTAGGTTATTACCTCTTGAATATTCATATATCTCTTAATGGGTTCTTAAGTGTGATGCAAAGAGATTGGGAATAGGTATCTTTTCGTGGATCTGGAAGTCGCATATGGAAAATGTCCTATTTCGAAACAAGAAGATAATTTCTTCAAGAGGATGACAAATTGGAAGTTAAAGATACAAAAAACGAAAAATATCGTTCAAAACACAGAAGGGCGACGAGCTTTAGTCAAAGCTTAAGCTACCTTCCTTTTGTAATTGTATATATATCTTCTATTTACTCTTCTTCAACAAGAAGCTCACATGGTCCAGTGGTTAAGACTCATCGTTGTGGCCGATGCGACCCAGGTTCGATTCCTGGTGTGGGCAAATTGTTTTTGCGGCGGTTTGTCTGCTGTACTCACGAAAAGGATTGTTATTTTGAAACTCAATCTTCGTCTTCTACTTCAATTTCTCTCCTTATTCATTGAACAAAGCTGATGTTGCCCATTGCAGAATTCATATAACACATGATGGCCTGTTGAGTATCGTGCTCTCAAGACACAAAATGTTGAAAATGCAAGGAATTCGAAACAACCCAAGCATTCTTTTCTTTGTTTATTCACTAGTAACGCATTGGAAATATATCAATTCGAACATGTACTTGACTATTTTTAAACTGTAAATTAAATCTAGAAACAGGCTTTACATTTTTAAAAGGTTAGATACAGACGTCTACGGCCATACCTAGGCGAAAACACCAGTTCCCGTCCGATCACTGCAGTTAAGCGTCTGAGGGCCTCGTTAGTACTATGGTTGGAGACAACATGGGAATCCGGGGTGCTGTAGGCTTTCCTTTTTGTTGCTCTTTACTTTTTTATTTGTGGTTTGGTTTTTTGTTTATTCCTTTTCGGAAGGTTGATTCTCTTCCAGGTAAGGTAAGGCATTCTTTCTGCTATGCTGATTCACGTAACAGCAAGCTATAAACTTGAACGTTTATCAATACTTCATTAGCCAATTAGAATAAAAAGAAAACTAAACATATAACCTAACACGAAAATTAAAAATGTTACACGGATTCAAATGCAACTGCAAATGCGAATAAAAAAAATGGCAAGTTCAACGGAAAGAGAGCAAGACTAACACAGTATGTACGATAGTAAAACGTCAGTGCACTTCATGGCCAGATATGCAGAAAGAAAGAGAACAAAACATAAGCAACACTTTTGAAAAAGACAAGAAAACCTAATATGCAAGCAGAGAAGAGAAAGGAGAACAAGAACTTCCTTAGAGCAGAGAACCCGGAAA